AAAAATGGAAGCTCTGTTTCTCATACTGTCCCTGCACCCAACTGCAGAGTGCTGCAATTTATTTATCCAGTATTCTTTTCTGCTTGGAACTGCTTAGTTACTAGTTCTCTCACCATTCAAAATCCTGGTTTGCACTTTAAGAATGCCATTGAAGAACAGAATTGCTATCAAATTCTTTTGTATTTCCCCATTAGAAATACACATTTTGGATGTTTGAGTAAAGTAGTTGAAATGTGCCTGAAGTCATGTACTGTGTTAAAAGGATTCTCCAATTTGAAACTTAGACTGCCAACCTTTCAGCTTGCATTATTCTTTGGCTGTGTGAGATCACTTTTGAAAAGAGTGTTCTGGGTACAACTGACTGAGATTCTGGCTGGGATTCTCTTTTGATGGCTGGCTGAGCAGTGGCACAGACCACCAAGTGCCACAGGTCCCACCTGGGTGGCACTGAGGGCTTTGCAGAGATAAAACTGTGTTTCTGCCTTGTGCAGCCTCACTTCCAGTGTCCCACTTTCATCCCTGGCTGGTAAAAAACCCACAACCAACCCTTCAAACAGCAGAAAGAAAAACGCTGCCTGGCAGGAAAGGAAGTTGTAATAAAGATCAGCTTTAAGATACTTCACTTGCCTTAGAGCCCTTTCTGACCTTTCTTTCATAATTTCTATGATAATGGAATATTCCTTTCTTTCCCTTTCCTGCTGTACTAAAGAGAGGGGAAGTTGCCAGTTTGTGTTGCTGAGGATGGTTTCAGTTGCACAGCAGTCTTTAGGGGTTCAGGCCGATTTTCCCCACGTGAGGTGCTAAGAGCTTGGAAGAATGATTCCTCCCTCCAGGCAATGGTCTGGATTTGCAGCCCCAGGTCCCATAGGAGCTGTGCATGCTATGTGAGGAGAACTGGAAAAACAGCACTCATTTTATTGTAATCCATTTTTCCTTCATGGCAAGAGAGGGCATTTTCCTGTTCTCAGCAGTGAGATCTTGGTCATGATCAGATAAATGCTACAGTCTCATCCTTCCACCTTTGCACCCATTCGATTTCCATTTATTTTAGCAGAGGTCTGTCAACCTTCCCAACAGGTGGTTATCAGTTTGCAAAATCAGGCCATTACTTTGAAACATCAAGAACTCTTTACTGGAGATTTATAGTGCATCTTGGAGGAAAGAGGGACCAGAATTTCCTCCAGCATCCTTGCACTAGCATAATTGTTTAATTCGGGTTCCATTAGTTCACAATGTTTTTAACCTTTATTTTTACATTAAAAACTATATTATGCTTGAAGCCAAGCAGAGGTTGACATGAACTGGGGGCTTAAGATGTGAATCTGGTGTCAGAAGTCTTGCATTATCCTGGTGCTCGGAGTCTCTTCAGTGCTGTCCAGAATTACTTGGAACAATTATCGTTATTTATTGCTGTGCTTGGTTTTGATCAAAACCTGCCAGGACTACATATTTCAGCAGCCTCTCTGGTGCTTTTAGGGACATAAAGGATCTTTTGAGAAGATAACTAAAATTATTGGATGGTTGTGGCTGAAACCGGAACGAGTTCTAGATCAAAATGTAACTTGATTCTTTCCTGTGGAATTAATAAGCTAAATTGTTGCATGCTGTAAACCAGTTCTATTGCCTCTTTTTGACAATATTACAACTTAATATCTTAATGTAGTTTTACAGTTTCTACTGTCTTTTCAGTTGTCTGAGGCTCCCTGTGGAATTATTCCTTATCAAAATAGCTAAGAAGTATGTGAAGAAGCAGATAAAGTTGTTAGATAACTTATGACTATAACATTATGACTAATGCCTTACTGAAGGCTGCTTGCATGTGCTGAAATTTGCATTAGAAGATTTGAATTACCAGTTGCACATCTTTAAAAAATCGTTTTACTAAAGTAATTTCAAGTCTCAACATTCTTCAGTTAAAACGAAATTACCTCTGGGAAAAAAAACCCAAACAAATTGTGTAATAGCTTTTCTGGCTATATTTTCCCTTTTTCTGTCTTTTCAACTCCTGACTGATCACTGGTACCTTGTGTTTCAGCTTTACTTATTGAAGTAGTTTGAATAATCACATATGACATGAATGTTTAAGGAAACTTTGTTGCTGCAAAATAAAGATTGGGGTTTTAAGCTCATATCCCAAGTCTCTTTCAATTGACGTGTTAGTAGAATCCCATTTCCTTCTTGTAGACCTTTATCTTGCAAAAAGTCCTAAACTCACTTTTAAGAATGCTTTGATTTTAAAGCTCTATTTACTCAGCCTATTTATTCTCTATTAAAAAAATGGATTTGACATGTGGATTTCTCTGTGGCCTTAGGTTGATGTGTACATCCAAATGATCTTTTTCTTATGCATCTTCTGACATTTAGAATTTTCCAGTAAGAACACAAAAGAAAATCTTCCTTGTGAAAAAGTGACAGTTTGAGAAAACAGAAGGAAAACTGTATTCAGCAGAAAACTGAGTATTAAGAATAAAATTTATCAAGTCAAAAGATTAGGTGAAAAGAGTCTATAATTCTCCATTCTAGTGTTATGAACTTGAATAGTAACAAATAGGAGCTGGACTTGCTTGGTTTTGAGTGCATATTTGACCTACTTCATGCACTTGGAGTGCATATTTGACCTACTTCAAGATTTGCGTGATTATGAAGTTAACTTCATGGGGTTCACCATATTTCTAAGACATATTAGCCACTGCTAAGTCATTTATAGCTTGAAAGCAAACAATTGTAAATGCTGATCCATTCATATCCTACCATAAAGTACAAGATGGGTTATTCAGTGCTGTATGATGCTGCCACAGAGAACAAAACGACTCCTTTTCAAACCGTCTATATATAAACGGCAGAGGGACAAACTACAATGAGGGGTTTCATTCTGAGGAGGTGCACTGGAGATTTCCTGTCACCACCACAAAACTATGGTGTTTCTGAAGAAATTGTCATCTGTTGTTTTAATATTAGAAGTTACACTATGAGGAGTTTTGCGCAGAGTAAAATATGAATTGTCATGTTGGTCAAGGATGAAGAATCGATCAGGGAAATTAATTTTTTTAATTGACAGGTATAATTGATCATGACCTATTTGTATTCATTTCTGTGTTGAAGGAATAAGATAAAGTTGGTAATACTTGGTTTTGTAGTACATGCTTCCAAAGCTGCATGCCTAGAATGAGAAATGAGAAAGAAGGCAATGGCAGTTTGGACAAAAGCAAAACAAACCTGATGACCTGGGAAAATAAAGCACTTACAAAAATGCTTTAAGATAGGGAAAAACTTGATAGAAGCTGTAGTGTAGAAAATTAATATGGGAAATGAAGGGACCCACTAAGAAATACCAGGCCAAAGAAAGTTATGATGATGACAAGGAATTAAGTAATCAAAGGCAAGAGAGATGTTATCAGACATTCTGACCCATTTCATGATGAGGCTGATGGAATTGCTAGAGAAGGGGAGGGAGAAATGTACAGTAAATGTAGGTGTACTGATTGGAGGGGATAGGAAAGGAATTTTATATTTGTAATCTGAGAGCCTTTAAGGATGAAAGTAATAAGCAGGATTTGCATTTACACATTTTTATACAGCTAGTCCAGCTAACCAGGAAGCCTGAAAATAGCTAGCTAATTGGTTCTCACATCATGCAGGTTAATTCTCCATAAATCTGGAAATATAGAGGCTGAAAGAAGATAGTTGTTCTAGTATTTTAAAAGGAAAAGAGATTATCTGAGTGATTATAGAAGTGTTAGACAAAATATAGAATGGCAATTATAGGAAGTAATACATAATTAATGAAGAAGAAATGCTATTTATTGTCATTTAGTATAAGTCCTTCAAAGTAACTTGATATCCTTTCTGAGATCATCATATTTAATTGATGAAGACAACAGTAGCAATACAGCACTATTGTGTGGCTTACAGGACTTCTGTAAGCTATTTTATTAATTAGATCAGAATGGCTTGATTAATTATCAGAATTATAGGATGTGGACACAACATCCCTAGATTGGCATGAAGATGGAGCAGATGGGAAAGGCATCCATTCTCATGTCTGCCTTATTTCACACTTTCTAACAATGGCTTAGTGAAAACATATTATTTTTAACAAAGTTTGGAAGTGGCATGAAAATTGGAGGAATTTATAATGTTATGAGTCTAAGGCAGTGTGGATTACTTAGTGACCTTGGCTGAGGGACCTGGTAACTACTTCAGTACAAACAAACATCAGGTTCATAATTTGCTGGCTATGCTTACAGGATGCTGGACTCTGTTCTGGTGCACCATAACAAAAAAAGCATTTTAGGGTTGCTTGTGAAGAATTGACTGGAGTGTGCACCCCGGGTGTTCAGGAGACAGCAGAAGTTGGCAATACCACTGTTTGTTTTTTGCCCTCGGAGAATGGAACAAAATAAAGCCTACTAGTATTTCATTAATATCTTAGTTTAATTCTGTCTGTTGGCTAAGTGACCTGTCCTACCATAAACAAATCCAAGCAGATGTGTTCCACATGCCCTCCATTCAGCTGTAGTCAAAGCTTACCCATGTATCTGGTGCAGCTTATGCCTGAGTAACAGTGAAAATTGTCCTCAAAAAAACTTCCTGCAGTCTGTTCTCTTCCCTTGAGCCTCATTTGAGAACAACACTTGTGAAAATAAACATATCCTAACTCTTTTATCAGTATTCTTTTAATTAATGCACTGAATATTTAAAGCAACTGATGAAAAGACCCCTGAAAGAGTATTATGAGCGATTAAACCAAGCAGCAAAGGGGACCTCCAGGATCTTAAGTTTATAATAGTCCTGGTAAAATAGTCACAATTTATATTATCAGTGGATTTGAATGAGAGAAACAAAAAATCCTCTGCAGAACACTGCTAAGTAAAATTGTTGGGTCAGTGGGCAATTTGTATGAAAAAGACTTGCCTAGATGTGCTGTTGTTTTGCTTTATTATGAGTTTCGTTGTGTATTTTTATTGTGATGCTGATTCGGTTTCCTGTGTTTGGCTCAGATTACAGGACCGGACCTTGCTTCACTTTGGTGACCAACCAGATGTGCCAGGGGCAGCTCAGTGGAATAGTCTGCACAAAAACCCTCTGCTGTGCCACCGTTGGGAGGGCGTGGGGCCACCCCTGCGAAATGTGTCCTGCCCAGCCCCATCCCTGCCGCCGGGGCTTCATTCCAAACATCCGAACGGGGGCCTGTCAAGGTAAGTTACCAGCAAAGCCTCCCCCAAAGCTGCTGAAATTGTTACTGGATTAATCTTAATTGAGTTACACTGCTGTGAATAACCTGTCCTAAGCCATTCTCAGCTATATGTGTGAAGAATGGAAAAACACTGTCAGATGCATTACTTCATGATTCAGTGAGTGCCTGCTGTTCAACTGAGTACATTAGTAACTCAGGTCATGTGAGAGCAGCCAGCATCTTAATGAATTTCTCACTGCCAGCAGCCCTTTCCCTTGGTTCTGTAATCATGTTTTTCTGAATGTACCACTCCATCACTCTGTGGAGGAATTTGTTCTGTTGCAGAAAGCACTCAAAACATGCAAAAATCAATCTGTGGCAATGCTGCTCCATTTATCCGGTGTGGGATTTTTTGGCTAAAAGATGTTGATTTTGAATTCATCTTAGGTGTCTTATCTCTAGAGCTACACTGCTTTGACCTAGAGAAAAGTGCCTGTCGTGCCATTTGAAATGCCCTATTATACATTTTATACAATTTTGGAAATGCATTTGCATTTGTTTCAAATTGTAAAATCCACCCAGATGTTGCTTACTTCTTTCAGAGCATGCCTTACCATAGAAAGTCCTTACACTGCTTTTGGCTTTTATTCTAATACTTCCAGCTGTATAAATTCCTTTATTGTCTGGATGTCTGGCAAGAAACAGGAGAAAGTTAACAGGGGCAACTATGTATTAAACTGATGTGGATTATACATTCCCAGGACCATATCTTTGGAACCAGTTTATTTCAATCTGTCTAACATTTTCTAATAAGTTACAATATTTTTGAAAATAGGGGAGATAAAGATTATAAATCTATGAGTTATTTTGTATAATCATGAAATTCCTATGAAGGACTTCAAGGCATTCCATTGCATTAAAAATGTAGATACTTTCTGTCACAAGCCAAGTCCTGGTTGGTGCCTGCAGACAGACATTATGAACTTCGAGGTGGACATGGTTGTGTGTGCTGCATGATCTGCCCATATTTTGACCTCAGTGATTCTCTTCCCCCTTGCACTGTAAAGGTCAGGACTAAATTGTGCAGAAATCTGTGGACCAAGGTTCTGGACACTTTTGAAAACTTATGTACATAAATATGTGGCCCACACCCCTGAATTTATGCCGCGCCTAGTTATATCCCTCTTGTTTGTGTCATGGGAAAGCTGTAGTGACCTCTCCAATGGGTTTTGTGCAGTTTGGAATAAGGATACTTCTGCTTACTGCACATTTCTTAGCAAGCAGCTACATTGATGCTAATCTGCATGTGGTGCCAACACAGTTTTGGCCCTGCATGTTTGACTTGTATTTTCCAGTTTTCTCAAGTGTTGTGTTCATAATTTCAACAGATCTGTTATGGGATCATATATTAGCTTTATTTTCCATGCAATTGTACTAAATCCAGTCCTTTTGAAATCAGATAACTTCCATTTAGACTGGAGACATTTCAGGGATTTCACATCCGTATTCAATCTAAATAAAGGAAAGCAGGTTAAACAAAATCCAGGTTCTCTGAAGAGAAAAAGAAATCCTTATTATTGTGTGGAGAAGTCAGAAAAAATAAAACAGAGGGGAGGGCACGTTTATTTTCAAAAGTAAATAGAATATCACTGCTCAAAGTCTGACTTTGACTGAAAGTTAAATTAATATCACAGCTGAGATTTTTAAAGATACAAAGGAGAAAAATGAAAGCCAAAAGGTGGGATTTTGAAACAGACATTGTGACTCAGAAGTATGACTTCTATTTTTTTTTAATTTTTGAGGTTTTTTTAAGTCAGTACAGTGCCATGAAGTCTGGCTGATTGCTGTTATTAAAGCACAGCATATTGGTGTAGCTTGAGTCCCAGCAGCAATGTGGCTGTCGCAGTGCTGAGGCTGTGCTGGTTCTGTGGCCTCCCAGCACAGCGAGTCCCTCAGGCACAGCTCTTCTCTGCCTCTGCTGCTGCACCCCTTGACCTGGCTCAGTCTGCCCAGGGATCTTTACATAACAGTTTACCATGTGGTACAGATATGCCCCTTGGCATTCCTGAAACTTCCTACTCCCAGGAAAATTGCCTCTTGGCCTTTTGTACGGACGTAATACTTCGCTTTTCAGACTGCAAGGCACATTACAGCTGGCTCTCTGGGATTTATAAAAGGAGATTTGAAGGCATCATCTCCAGCCCAGTGTGAAGCCCAAGAACCAGCAACCAGGTTTTATCAGCAGCAGCTGGTTCTCCTGGGGAGCTGGGGGAAGCACAGGAATTTGGATTGGAGAGTGAAGTGCTTGGTGCTCCTGAGGGAGCTCCTGAGCAGCAGAGACGGGGCAGCCCCTGGGGACTGTGAGCCAGACTTCCTGAGTCTCCTATTGCAATCCACTCCTCCTCCTCCTTTAGCCTCTTCTCTGTAGCTGTTATTAAGCTGTGGCAACACTTCTCACAGCTAAAATAGCTGTGAGGCCAGAAACTGGGGCCTCTTGAAAATATTTGTCATGAGCCTACTACCTAGCCTGTGATACCATCTTTGTTGTTTCATTTTCTTCAGTGAAAAAATCAAAAGCAAAGAGGGAAAAATAAAAGGGAAAAAACCCCTCCAAACTGATGTATGTCTAAGCAGGTCATTAATAATTCCCCTTGAGACATTAATTATAGCTATGAAACTTCTTGAGCCAAATCCTAACCGCAGTCTAAGGTCATTGGTGCCGATCTTGCTGGAGTGATGAGTTATTAATTTCCATCAATAATGACTCTGCATGAGGCCCCTTGTGCTCTCCATGAGGCCCCTTCCATGCACACCCTACTCCTCTGCACTGGTGGCCTAAGCACTGGATGGAGGTCCCAAGATTTTGGAAGGGGCAAGTGATTTTGGGTGCCCAGCTTCAGACATTTCAAAGAAACTTGAGTTCTGGCTGGCTGTGTTCTCTGCACACCATTCCCCAGATGTTTTAGAAAAACAAAGCAATAGCAATTAGATATTTAATGTCTGTAACAATAATAACCATGTGATTTCTTGCAGAAAATATTTAGAGTACTGTACTTAATCATACTTCGCATAGAGTAACTACAAAATTAGTGTCTGTCTTCACAAGCAAGTATCATAATATTATGATGGGTGAGGAAAGGACTTAGGCATATTTACTTTAATTTTTGTGTAGACAAATTATTATGACTGTTCTTGAGAAATGAAAGTGGATGTTTTTTCCTTTTTTATATGATAGATGTGGATGAATGCCAAGCCATCCCTGGGATCTGTCAAGGGGGAAATTGCATTAATACTGTTGGATCTTTTGAGTGCAAATGCCCAGCTGGACACAAGTTTAATGAAGTGACACAAAAATGTGACGGTAAGAACTTCTAGAACTTTCTTCTGAAAGTAAAAGGGGAGAGTCTTCTTTTGGGGACTGATTTTGTTTAACAGTTTGTAACAAACTTTTCAATCTCTTTTGCCTTGAGTGTGCAAACAGCATTATTCACCAAAAATAAAAATAGTGATGCTTTCTCCTAATCTTAAATATTGGCCCTGCAGCTTTTTACAGCCTTTTTTTAATGTAACATTTCACAGACTTAAAAGTACATCTTAACATTAAACATTAAAACATTAAACATTAAAACTAAAAATACTTTCCAACTGATATATTGCTGTAGAAATACTTGAGGCACCTGTTTCTTTGTGGATCTTTTAACCAAAGAGTGTATATTACTGGAAGGTTCAACACATTCCTACCTACTCAGCTAATTTAATCTCACTTATTTAATGTAAGTGAGAGTCTGACACTGATGAGTGAAGACTGCAGGACTGTGCTCTAAACTCACCCTTACAGCTGCAGATGTCACAGAAGGACGAACATTTTATCTTTACTTATTGGTCATCCTAATTTGACAGTACAGCAGGTGCTAGATAATAGTGTGGAAATTTACAGTGTGTGATTATGGAATCTTGCTAATTTTTGACTGTGATTTGATAGTGTTTTTTTCTTTCTGATATAATAATCAAGCATAGATGTCTCCCTTGCTTTAAGAGAACTTTGAATACCTATGGGACATAGCACTAAAATGTGTCGGTTGCACATTATTGATTCATATTTACAGTGAAGTCCATATCATGTTTAAACTCTTGCAACTGATTCTACTTTCAGTCATTAGATAAAAATTAAATTGAGCAGACAAGTTTCATAAGTGGTTAGTGATTTTGGATTGCTAACTTTCATTACCATAAAGGATTTTGACTGTAAGAGTAAGGTGTAGATTCACCAGCCTTTCTTGCATCAGGTGCCTTTTAAGAAGCACTCGAAATTTTTTAATGATTTCAGAGGAATTATGACTTATTCTTTCAAAAGAAAAATCCCTATTTCAGGCAAAACTTTATAATTTATTTGCACGTTAGGGAGAGCAATTTCAGAAGAGTTTGTACACAGCATGGTTTATGTATCATCTGCCAATGGTTTTGGCAGAATGTAACCTACATTTAGGGTAGAACAACATTGCAAGTGTTTCCTTCTGTGGATGAAGTACCAAGACTGTGGTGAATAGGAAAGAATGAACGTGTGCCTTGTAAAGTATTAGTTCCTGAAAAACTGAGAGCTGTAAGTGTGCACAGGCTGCATCACATAAACATTTTGGTGGTATTTTTCAATTGCTGAATCATGAAAAAACCCAACCAACAACAAAAGAACAAAAAACCCCAAACAGCCACCAACTTCAGAGCTTATACTTGGTAACAGTAAAGGGACTGGACCCAAGAACCTGGTGTGGCTTGCTTTGCTTCCAAATGCTGCCACAAATTTCCCACCCCATTTGTGAAATCCCTTTGGATTGACTGCCTGGCTGCAAAGATTGGATGAATTTTTCCTTCTTTAACTTCATACCTGTAGATTTTTGAACATCAGCAGACAGAGTTACTTTTAGTGCATCTTCATTTTGTAGGTACCAAACAATTTTAGTTAAAGCTGTGTAGGTATTAATACAATTCAAAGAATTAAAAGTAGCACCTTTATGCCAGTGTCACGAAATACAATAGAGATTCAGCGTTAAGAGCGTGATCATGCAACAGCAGAATATCCATTCCAGTATTTTAAATTTCTTTTGAGTTTTATACAGCAATATAAGACGTTTGTTTTCTAGTAATTAACTATAATTAATTCTTATACTTAATAAATAACATCTGGTCGTGTGCTTGGTTTAACTTCCAATCCAGCAAGAAGTACTTCCTGCAGCTGTAACATGTCCTTGGTCACTGATCTAGTACAACTAGTACTGCTGAATTACCAGTGCTGTTTTTTCAGGGGGTCCCCATTAAAGTGGGATCATGATAGCAATCGTCAGGTACAGAGAGATGATGAACAAGATGGGAAATGGGGTGTGTTGGCTGAGGTTCTCTTTATTAGCATAGCTGGTGGAAACCTTATTTCATTGCTTCATATAACTATTCCTCTTCCATTTGTATTAATTCTGAGGTAAATACTTTTTCTGTGGTGACCGGGGGGGGGGTAATTTTTCCTGGAATGACATTTAAGTCTGCGAGTACATCAAGTAAACTTACCTTTATAAAACTCGCATGCTTAACAACAGCAATGTTGCTTATATGAATGTCAACACTAGTATAAATAGTGAAATACTGTTTGGGTTAAGCTCAACCCTAAAATAAAGAGTGATGATTTTGCTTTTAAAAAGGTCGGATGCTATATAAACAGTGGCAACACTGACTTTAAGATAAACATTGGTGAATTTGAGTCAGAAAATGCTTGAATCTGATCCATTTACGACTGCATTTTTCTCTGTTAATTAAGGGCTTTATTCAGACCAAAATTCAATTTCCACATTTTTTGTCACTGAGACTTTTGGGACTCCTGTGGAGTATAATCCTGGAGCAGAAGCCAGAAGTCTCTTAGCAGTGCTCCCAGGGCACTCGGACTTGAGGCTTTGGCAACACCCTGGAAGTAGCACTGAACAAAAAGTCACACCCCTCTCACACACCCAAGTGAGGAATGTGACCCACATCAGGACAGCTGGCAAAATGCTGGACAAGAATGTGTGCAGAGGGGGCCCAAAGCCTTGCACACTTAGGATGGGTCAGTCTGCAGAGTTTGGTTACCTGTGTGCCATCCCAGCCCTCTACTACTTTCCTGCAAAGGCAAGAAGCCACAAAAGTATTAGAGCATCCTGTGCCTTACCCAGGAGACAGAAAATGTTAGTTTTTGTATCACTGAGTTTTTGTAATACTGTCTTCACAGGAGAAGTAGAGCAGAGATCCTGTCTACTTGCTAAAACACTCGTTAATGGTCCTGTGGGACTTTGGGTGTTCCTCCATCTGTTGGGGCCAAATTCCAATTTAGGCGTTACATTTAAATTCCTTCAATCGTTTTTGATGACTACGGTATTATTCACTCCTTGCCTTGGTGTGCTGGGTGGTGTTGCAGTATTTCATCTCAGAAATTTTTGTGGTTGGTGAAATCATTATTACAGCCATGTGTCTATCTGTTCTTGGATCTCTGGAGAGAGGTTGGGTAGTCCTGTGATGCCATTATTTCTAGCTGGATGCTCTCTGTCAGGAGAGCAACTGGGTGATTTTAATGGCTGTGACAGACAGTTTTCATGGATCACTCCAGAGAATAATCTCCCTTTCTGCCCTGCTTTGCTGACCCTTCTTGTAGGTACTGTGGAATAGAGCGAGCTGTTTTTTAAGCTCAGCAGAACTCCAGGTCCCTACAAGATGAGAGCAGTGCTAATTAGATACAGCTGCATTTTTAAGACTAGAAACCAAAGGGAAAGTAACTACACATCCCAGGCGGGCTACTGGTGGTAATTAAGGAGCAATTGGGACTGACATAGGTTGTTGTTCACATAGCTGTAGATAATATAAACTAGCTGTGGAAGAAACCCTTCAAGTTTCCTCTGTTCCTGTGTGCAGCTATGACGAGGTGTAGGAAGGTATTTGTTAGGGTTTTTTCCTGCACACTTCGAAATTTTTTCTGCATTGTAGCTGTGATGATGATTTAGTATATGGATTGAGATTTGTTAGTGAAGACAATCATGATATGGAAATTTTTTTTTAAAATCACTGACAAAATATAAGGGGAATTATGGACATTGCCTGACTTCTGCAGTAGATATTTCAGTACTGTCTAGAAACCTCTTGAAACTTCAGAACTTGTGAGTGTAATTTGACTTAGTGGAGAAAGCTAGGAAAGGTGATTTTTGTTGCCTGCAGTCATCCTGCTCTGAGCTATAATCCTGTCAGATTAGTTAAACAATACCTAGCTGCTCAATGCTTTTATGTGAGGGATTTCCAAGACAAAAACCAAGTGCAGCAAGAAGGAAGGGCCATTCAGTAAGTGCTGCACTTCCCTTTGAGTCTGTATTGAACTGGTGCCTCAGTATGGTACCAGGAGACTGTTGTGCTGCTGGAGATAACGTTAAGATCCTGATCACTATGGTCATTGCACAGTTTACTCTATGGTCCCAATAGACTTTTCTTAATTCTAGTATGCAGAATTCAAACTGAAGGGGTTACACTTTACTTACAGTTAGTAAATCTCCTCTGCAGTTTAAGATTTTCACCCATCATTATTTAACAGTAAAACAAACTCTTTGGCTTTTAGCAATTTACAGATACAAGATTTTCTTTGGTTCTGTTTCATTTCTAAGATGCCTAACAGAAGATGCTGATTCAAAACTGCTGATTATGCCCTTAGTGCATGAGTTAGGAGGGGTCTCAGACCACACTGAATTTGATCATTAATACTAATTACAAAATAGCTATTCTTGTGCCAGAACTAATTTAGTTAACCTTCCCCTGCATCTTTTTTTGCCTTGAAGATATTGATGAATGCAGCACCATTCCTGGAATCTGTGATGGAGGAGAATGTTCAAACACAGTAAGCAGTTACTTCTGCAAGTGTCCTCCAGGGTTTTATACAGCTCCTGATGGCTTAAAATGCATAGGTAAGTACAATCCTGTAAGCAATAGGTGTTATAAACATTCCTGAATATCTAAAATGAGTAAGTGTGCCAGAAACATATTTCAACTTGCAATCTTGAAATCCGTCTACACAGAAATACATCATGTGCCTGTGTATGTATTCTGAAGTGAGTTTTCCATTTGCAGAATGTTTTTTCTTTCCCCCTTCACTGTGACCTTCCCTTTCATTTTTCTTACTGCAGTTTTTCTGTTATGCCATATTTGTTGCCTTAGAACTTGTTTAACCCATCCCCTTGATATTGTTGCTCTCCTGTTTGTCTTGGATGTAGTCCATGTTATATTCAGCAATCACTTAGAAAAGCAAATTTGCATTCCAACAGTTACCATCCTAATACAGGTATTTTTCATTAAAGGAAGTAGTGTGATAAACTGGGGACATTTGTATGTGGTTTCATGATGTTGATGATTTGGCAGGGCTGTTCTCTCAGGTTTTCACTGTGGCAGAGCTGAACCTGTCTTCCAACACTGGTGAGACCAGGCACCAATGAACTATGTGAATTAATGCAATGCCACAGCCATGAAAGAACAGTGTTAGCAGTTATTGCTTCTGGGAAGCAAGCAGCCTGCTCTGAGGCAGGCAGGTCTAGTATTCAGTTAAGTTATTTATTTCTCATTTTTGTGCAGGAATTTCTTTTTTCAATGCCACTGCTGAATTTTGGGCAAAAATCAAATTAAAGGTTTATTTCCTCAGTTTTAGCTTGCTTACTTAAAAGCTCATAGGCAGTGCCAGCACTGGGGTTCAAGAAAGCATCCTGTATTTAGTACCTTTGGTAGAAAATAATTTTGGAAAAAAATTGAAAAAAATCCCAAACTGTGCAGAGTTCAGTATCAAATTATATTAACCTGCCCAAGAGATCTGGAAACAGTTTGGGTTATGATTCATTTTGAATGATTCCATTAGATTTCTACAGGTTGTAAGTAATGAACAGTATTTCTTCCATCATCAAGAATAGCATTTTTCTGGATTTGTTCCATACTCTGCACTTAAAACGTCAGTGGGATTTGCTTTTATTGCTTCAGATTAATAACTACTAAATGACTATGGATCATTAAATCATTGATTGCACTTAATATTTATAAAGGAGACTCGCTTTTCTGTAACAAAAAATTTCTAGAGATGCACAACTTGCATTTGCTTTTTGCTTTTTATAGTCACCACTCAGTCAGAACTACCCAGCATTCACACCCATATTCCTGCATTTTTCCAGCATTTTTTACCCCCCGTATTTGTAGGCTGAAGTAGTTCAGCTAAAGAATTGAGGACTTAAATGATGACAAGATGTGATAAATAATATGCCAGACTATGAGCCATCATTAACATTTTGGCTTTGTGTCTAAGGCAAAACGTGCTAAATGGGAAGCATTATTAATTATCTGCAGATATTTTGGATTCATGTCTAATATGCAGGCTGCATACTTGCCATATTCATGAGAACAGAGCCCAAATCTTCAGTAGTGTTGGGCAAAGCATGTAATCTTGTTTTAATTACCAAATGCCTGTCTTAAGTGAAAAGTGTTAGCTGAACGTGTCTGTTCTGTTTGAGAGGAGGAAGTGCTTCTGAGAAATGTATCCCTTCTGGGACTCAAACTGAGCAGCACTGGGGCCAAACATCCAAAGGGAGAACCGGGAGTTCCATTATTACAAACCTTAGAAATTAGAATAGACAAAGCAAAGATAATATCTCCTAGAGCTGAAGAGCAGAAACAACAGAGGGGCATCTCAACCCCAGTACACAAAGAATGCTGTGAAGAAAGCTGCCCGTGCTTCCAGCTGGCGTAAATTTGTTTGGTCTGTGTCACTTTTCGATGGCCTTTTTTAATATTTTTTTTTTAAGAGACAATTTTTTCTTGAAAGTTATTCTCACACTGATTTTTTGCCGTTTCAAAGGACTATGTTTTTAGTAAAAATAATAAAATATTAAAAATGAAACGGTGAAAATGTTGTTTCCTGCTGTTCTTGCCCATGTTTGTATGTTTTACCATTTGGAATAGAAAATTTAAATGAAAGAGGGGGAAAAAAAGGAAGTACAAATAATCACATTATGCATATGGAAAGATTTTATATTTTTCTTACAACCTTACTGCCTTTTTCTGAAAATGATGTGGCTTTTGAGCACACTCTTACACCTGTAAGTAGACAAAGATGTTTGCTGTGTGCTTCCCTCTTCATGGTACATTGTGTGCTTGCACAGATCCCATGTAGATTCTTTTTCCACTTTTTCCCATCACTGCTTTTAAATGTAACAAAACTTGGTGCTGACCAAAACTGAGAAAGATGAATTACAGAGGATGATGATAGGGTCTGTTAGATTACTTCCTTCCTTGCCATCCACTTCATCATCACACCAAGCATCTCAATCTCTCTCCAAGGGTACTGGAGGACAGTTTCCTTTCCACCAACAATTTGCATCAGAGCTCATTTGATTTTTAATAGGGTAGATGAAGGAGTAAATGTTTGTGGCAGTTTGCTGGGTACCAGGAGAAAATAGAGGACCAGTAATAGAATGGAGTAGATTTTTTTCCCTCTGTTATTTATCTATTATCATCATAAGATAATATGAGTGACCTAACTAAAGTTTGGAAACAAAGGCCAACTGACTCTTTTAGCTATACTGCCAGTAATATCCATGTTCAGGGTTCCAGTTAACAAACAGCAGAACCATCACAGACTCTCCCAACATATCACTATATGTCAATTGCCTCAAAAATAGTAAGAAACTCCCCTGCTTTTTTTTATAACCACTTGAATAGCTGGTAAATTCTGGAAAGCACTGGTACTAGACAGATGAATCCACCATGCCCTGGATAATTGAGGTACTGTTTCTTTAGGAAATGGTGTCTACTGTTGTAAGATAATGTGTGCAACTTATTCCACTACATTTTGACAGCAAATATTTGTATATGTTAGAAACAAACTTGGTCTGGTTTATCATGCAGCATCAAATCACATCACAGCTTATACTGAGTTTGACATGATGTGACATATTGTGAAACAATTCCTCAAAGCTTGAGATGGTATCACAAGATTATTTTTTATGATTTTTTTTCTTCCATCCACATTTTCTCTTCCTTTGCTAAGCTGGGGGATCTCTGTGCAGTGTTGTTAGAGCTGAGTATATAAAATCTGAGTACAGGATGTTCTTTGCACAGCACGTGCTTATCCTTTTCAGACAGGAAGCCAGCACATCTCCATAAACAGTGTGATGGCACAGTTAAATACAGTTAAAGCTGTATTGCTCTTTCCTGCCTGCAAGCCTATATCTTGTCAAATCACTACATGCTTCAGCTGGGGAAGCCATGACTAATGAAAAATGAAATAATGCTTTGAGAGCTGTGATGCTGTGAATTTATTGCTGTGCTTCAGTGCCTTTCAAATCAAGGCTTAGACAGAACTGATCTGGTACTATCTTTAAAAGACATGACACTGCAATTTTTCTTTAGGGGCACGGAGTCTTATTATGTACTGAATATATGTTTCTATTGTTTTTTTGCCTCCTTTAATTCATTCCTGTTCCTAATTTCACTGCAGCTTTCTCACAGGAGGTGTTACACCTGAATCCAAAGCAACCCAAATATTATCTAGGTTTTTCTGGTTTTCTGCCTTTTGTTTTCTGGTGGTTGTAACATTGAAAGGGCTGTGTCATTGATAATGTAAATCTGTCAAGAAAAATGGGACATTTCCCTTTTGTGAAAGTCCCATTCCTCACTGGGTGATTACATATATCCATTTCTTTCTCTCGGCAGACGTGCGTCCTGGATTCTGCTTCTCCACCCTGAGCAACGGGCGCTGTGGGAATCAGCTCCCCCAGCCCATGTCCAAGATGCAGTGTTGCTGTGACAGTGGCCGCTGCTGGTCCTCCAGTCCAGCCAGTGCTCCCGAAATGTGCCCCATCAGATCCACCGGTAGGAATCCACCTGAGTTCTTGGGAGGGTGGCTGAATGCTGACTGCCTTTTAGCAGTAATGTTTTCATTAAAGAATGCACAGAATGGTTGAGGCTGAGGGGCACCTTGGCAGATTGTTCAGTCCAACCCACCCTGCTCAAGCAAAGCCTCCTATGGCAGGTTACTCAGGACCCCCAGGAGGCTACACCAAGCAGACAGAAACAATTACTTGTTGCTAATTCATATTTTGTGACCAAGTTATTCTGACCTTACCTGGTTCAGATTTTGTTTTCAACATCCCCTTCAGGATCAAGTTACTTCCTCTAGAGCCTTCTAATAGGTCCCTATTCCCTCTGCAGTTTCATTCTCCTTGGGAAACTGGTTTTTCCTTCCTCATGACAAGCCTTCTGAAGTGTCATATATTTCCTGAAATTTGACACAGAACGTTGCTTCTGTCTGCTACCAGAATGTGCTTTATTTTATTGCCTCCCTGTGTGTTGAGATCCCCAGATAACGTGCGACTTGAACTGAGGGAAGACGATGAACAGATTGTGAAACTCAGTGTGAGGGGGTGGAGGGAAGATGTTTTTGACACTGTTTAGGACTGGAGACCTAATGAAATGCTTTAGAAAAGGAAAATACAAGAAATTTCAGGATTGATGGGAGGGAGGTCAAGAGAGGTGCAGAGTTTAGGGAGGAATGGGGATTGTAACACTATAGCAGTGTAACTCAGACATTGTCAGAGCTCATATATGGGAGTCTTTATTATTCTTGTTTTTAATCCTTTGAGTGCAACTGCATAGTACTAGAGCAGAAATCTACAGTCAGAACTCTTGGAAGCCTTTCTATTTCTGTCACTGCCTTATTAATAATATTTAAACATGTTGAAATTTCAAAACTGGCTAGAATAATGCTGAAAAAATAGTGTAATCTATTGATAATCATCTGAAATAGGAAGACAAGGAGAAAGCTTTTAGTCTTAACACAGTTCCTTGTTTTCTTTACATACTTTCTAATTATTCGTATCTAACTGGTGAATAAACTGTGTGGAAAAGTAAAGTAACTTGGCCAAAGCTGCAGACTGAGACGTCATGGAGAAGGAGTTACAACCCAGGACTTCCTGACTCATAAATCCATGCAAGGTCTTCCAGATCAGGGTTACATGCCACTTTTTTTTTGGTTTTATTTCTGACTTGGGATATAAATTGACACTATAAATTACTCTTTTCAAAAGTGCTTTGAAATTCTTTGTAAGGCTTTACATGTATTTAAGGTATTGCTGTCATTATTTAATCAAGTTCAGTTATTCCTTACTTAGCATATCCTGAGAAAGCAAGATGAGGAATTTAGAGCTGTCAGTGGCCCAAAGTCTCTCTAACTCTGAAATGGAAATTTACTGCAATATAAAGGGGAGCACTAACTGCATAATATAACTGGGCAGTTGCATTTTCAATGTGGGCAGCAGACCCACTTGCTACTATAAAATAGACTATTTATTGCTAGAAATTATACACAGAGATTAAAGTTGCAATAAAAAAAGGCTTCCACTGTATTTATTTGTATAACATAACAAGAATTGTTTATGTGGAATAATAGGGCTTACCACTGACACTATTTAAATACTAAAATCAAGGGACAATAGAGGGAAATGCAGTGACACATGAAACAAACTGATCATCTAAGAGCATTAAATAAGTGCAGATTTCATAATCAGGAAAAGCATAACTTAAGGAAGACTACTATGTTTATTTAACAAATCCTCTGTCATTCAGGAAAAGCTTCTAATGTGTTTTACAGGTGGAAGCAGAAGTGAGATGAAAGTGTTGAAGGCTGAAATATCCAGCTTAGTTGTCCTAACATTTACTTTATTTTTCAGTTCTCATTTTTTATATTGTTTCAGGAATTCATTAATTTTTTTTTCATTATGTAATTCCTCTCTCCCATTGTGCCACTAACTTTAAATTTTGAAGTTCAAAGGTATTGGCTGCACAAGTAGTTATTTGTGTACACATGAATTGTGAACATGAATTAGGTCAGCTGGAAATGTGGTCTTTAATTGTGATACTCTGTGTGCATTTTTTGGATCACAAGTTCCAAAACCACACTTACCAAAGACAAAAGAGTCGGGGGCAGGAGGAAAAGTGGGGCAGTAGGGCAGATGCCACTAATAGAGATAAACAATAGGAGAATGCATCAAACTCAGAATTGACTGTGCTTACAGCAAAATAGATAGTTTTCACATCATGTGGAAAAGAATGAATATCATGTGGATCTGACTTGGTTTCTCCTTGGCTACACTCCTTAGACTGCACCTCGTTTGGTTTCTGCTTTTGTTGGCAAACCTAATTTTCACAGGGAAATAGTGTTAGTGTATTCATTCTCTAATTGGTTTTGCCTCATTGCTTATATTTATATTTTTTTGTTTTAGGAGGTTAACTTTTAAGAAATCCAGTTGAAACTGGGCTTTTTTCCCTGTTAAGTATTTTTCTAACTCTGTGGCAAGCTTTCTATTAAATTAACTTGGGATCAAATCCAAAAGTCCTTCTTTAGGTAAACTTCACACTGAGTTCACCAAAGACTTTGCTTGAAAGAAGACTAAGTAGGTTAAGATCAGGTCCCCACCTCACTGTTCCATTTCATATCCAGGATGTCAGTTATGTTACCTTTTTACCAGCAGTCTTTGGACACGTAGTGTTGAGATTCTGTGCATTAATGACTCAGTTCATAGAACAAAGCTTGTTACTATGAAGAAAACATACAGACTCACATTTTCCAAATTATTTAAGGTTTGTTATTGCTAATCTGAAGCACCACAAAAAGGGGGAGAGTTGGATTAAATGGAAAGGCTGCGAGAGTCTAAAAGAGAACTTATTTTTTCATGTTTCAGATGAGTACCGCAAGTTGTGCACAGTAGCTGCTCTGCTGCCAGCAAGACCTGACCTTCCTCCGGCCCGTCCTGACGTCATCCCTCCACCACTCATTCCTGGTGTTTTCCCTCCTCCACAGCCAGAAATTGTCTATCCATCTAGGGCTCCACCACCTCATGGTAAGAAAAAGAAAGGAAGGACCTCTCCTTGCACTATGTGCATTTAGCTTCTTTAAAAACATGCTTTTCTCAGCAGCAGCATGCTCCCTTCAGCTGTTGGTATCTTTTGCTTACTTCACGTGGACGTGTAGTCTCTGGATATCCTTTTAATCAAAGACTGTTACCATGTGTCTTATGCCAAGTGTACCTTGTGTTTTCGCTTTTAAGATAGAATTCAAAAATTACATTCTCACTGTCTGTACTGCAGTTCACATATTGTAGTAGTTATATTACTGTTGTTCTGAGGCTATTATGAGTTTTGCTGCTTGTCAGCATTGAGGGATGTGAATAGCTCTTTGACTAGGTTGTGAAAGTTATTTACATTAAAGAGCTTGTCTGGGAGAAAGCAGCTTCTTTCAGGTTGTTTTCCTCACCCTCACTTGGCCAGGGAGGAAGTGTACTGATAAAAATACTATTCTACTGGACACTGAGACTGACCCAATGTGCAGAAAGAACTTTTTTAGTGATACACACAGACGTGTTAGTTTTCTTGACAGCAAGGAGGAAGCCAGAGCAGACTACCAATATATTCCTTGGTCTGTCCCTTGCTTAGGGAATTTACTACATGCCCATATAGTCTGCAGTAGGCATGTGCCACCTGAAATCGTTTGGCATAGCCACACTCTTTTACAAGTGAACAGAAGCTGATTTTGCCTGTGCTCTGTGCAGATGCAAGCAATCTCTGCTTGCACTGGCACCAGCTGAAACTATTTAGTCTTGGTTCAGCACCAAGCTGAGCTAATAAGCCCGAGAGGCGAAGTATGTTAGCTCAGGCCTGACACGGCACTGACGTAGCTGCACAGCTTCTGGTCAGCTGGGAGCAGGGACAGAGCCAGCTCACGCCTGCCTGCCAAAGACAGTATAGGGATATCTCCCAGGGCTATCCCTGCCCTCCTCACTCTGCTATCCGTGAAAGTGAAAATAACCAGTCTGCCTGCTCTTCGCTACTCTAGGCTTTTAGTAGAGTCCCTGCAGTGCCACATACCCACTTTATCTCTGGGTGTGAGCAGGCTTTGTCCTCTTTGGCAGGAGAAGAGGCTCAGACTTGCTGCAATGAAAAGATCAGCGATGGCTAGCTGTTTTCAGACAAATCTCTAGGAGTCAAAGTATCATTTTCTCTCTCCCATTTTGCTAGAGAATTCACATTACAATGGAAGGCAAATGTTGACTTTTAATGGAAAATGCTGCACAAGTTGCAGATTACCAGAAATTATTAAGATGAACATTAAAATGTTTTTGCTACTCTTGTTATTTCAGTGATCTTGCCGGTGAACTTAACTGACTTGTGCCAAACATACCGACATCTCTGCCTTAATGGACGTTGTATTCCCACTCCTGGGAGCTACCGCTGCGAGTGCAACAAAGGATTCCAACTGGATGGTAGAGGGGAATGCATTGGTATGTGGTTTTCTGCTGTAAATCACAGAGAGGAATATATTTTAAAGGAAAAAAACCCCTATTCTCCACACAATGTAACAACTTGGAGTCCTTAAATAAAACAGTCCCTCCTCCAAAAAATCCCCAGTAAATAGACTTCCAAGGACTAATTGATTTCAATGGCAAACTTATTTCTACAACAGTTTTGCCTTTAAGACAGTATTTAGCAAGTCTTGTAACTTGTAACAAAATTGTACAGAAGCAAGGATTTCTTATTTTACTAGCCTATGACTATAACGTGTTTATTAATGATTGAAAATGATCTTTTTAAAGTGCTACCAACTCTTTGAGTATACAATGACCTGTTGTTAAAAAAATCATAAACTAGGGCTCAGTAAGATTTACAAGTCCTCTTTCAGCTCCTGAGGAGTATCTTGTTGGGCTCTTGAGACCCTTAATTTTGGAGCTTAGCAAGAGCTTGATGATGGAAGCAAGTATTAGCTGTCTCTTACAGGCAAGATTTTGGTTCTATCAAAATCTGTGTCTTCAGTGTGGCTGGGAATGTGGAGATGTAGGACTGAAGCCTTTACCTCTCACACATGCAATGTCTTTTTGATTATTCCTTTTTCCCAGCTCCTTCTTAGCTTAGAATGTGGGATCCTTTTCCTAGGAATTCTGTGGTGTCCGCTTTTGTTTCAGAGTGAAGGACACTGTTTGTCCAACTACAAAATGATAAAATACCCCTACAGGCACGAATAACTTTCAACTAGTGTTGTAATAAAAATATATTGTCTCTGTTCTGCAGATATTGATGAATGTGAGAGGAGTCCCTGCATTGGTGGAGACTGTGTGAACACCCCGGGATCCTACATCTGCCAGTGTCGTGTCGGATACCAGAGCACGGCCACAAGAACAGAGTGCAGAGGTAAATCATGGCCTTATAGCCTGGTCTGTACTATTGTATACATACCAGGAGGGAAAATAGTTCTTAACAGATGTGTTAAATATGAGGGTTTTTTTAAAAAAAAGATCAGATATGGCAGTAAAAATTATTAACCTGCCGGAGCTGCTGTTCACAGACGGGTTTTGTCTTGTGCTGAAAGTATCTTGGCACCGTTTGTGGCTTTGAAGTGGAAAAGACATACTTTCTTTTTTTTTAAATATTGAGAAATTTTTTCTTTAGCTACTAGAGGATCTCAAGGACAATTAAACATCCCTTCTTTGGAGAAACCTTTTATCTACAAAAGACTGTTAAAAGACTAAAAGGGTTGGAGGGGGAAAGATAAGTCTTTCAGCGCCCCTGTGTTGTCCCTGCTCACTGTCAGAGTAAAAACTAAACATAAATTATGGCGATGAAAACTTAAATAAAATATGGAAAAATAGTGAAGCACTGGGGAAAGTCTAGATAGGGAAGCTGTAGAATCCTCATTAGTGTTATTTTGAAGATCAGGCTCAACAATAATCATGATGGTTTTCATCCTGTTTTCCTATGGGAGTGGGGAGCACATAGCTCCTCAGCAGTCAACTATCTATCAGGGGTCTGTCGCTCCCAAACTGTCCTATGATGGGAATTCAACTGTAAAAGTGGATGCAGTCCTTTATAGTTAAGTCATAATGAGAGACTTCTGGTGGGGGAATGAAGGATTACTTTGATAGTTCTTAAGAAATGAAGCATCTAAATGAAACAGGATGTTTGAATGCTCAGAGTCACAGCTTGTCTTCGTATTTTGCTCTCTGGGCTGAGTGTAGGGCGCAGAGCATGCACTCATTCTGGAGCAGAGAGTTTCTGAAAAGCCAGAAGAAAGTTATCTGTATTAGTGTGCGTTTTTTTTCTTCCTTTTGTGAATCAGAAAGGTATTTGTGGTACAGAAGCTTACTGCAGCCCAGGAGGACATGCAGAGCCAGCACCACTGCTGCATGTTGCTGGGAGGGTTCGACCTAATTGCTGCCAAACAGCCATGCTGCGGAAGCATCTTCACAGTTCAGCTGACTGGTGGTGAGGGAGTGCTGAAGTGGAGTCTCAGCCGTGATGAATTTACTCATGAGTCATTTTTGTCACAGGCTTTTAATTTGACTGATTCATTACACAAACACATGGTTGTCAGAAGCCCAGTAGCTTAATGGCATTTAAGTGTGGTCACTTAGCAGTTCCTTTGCAGTCTATGGGAACTGTGCTTGCTTGACAGGCAGTGCAGAAAGTGCTGCGATGTGCAGAATCTTTGTTTTCTGAAGGAATTTTTAGGGCCAGTGTAAGGAAAAGAAAAAGGCTAGTAGGGTGCATTTGGCAAAATGTGGATATAGCACTGATGCCTGCCAAAATCAGCATTTGCTGTAAAATTACTTTGCATGACTACTTTGGATGTTGAGATTTTATTTTTTTGCATGCACAAATATGTCTGTGCTGATACGCTTTTGCAAATGTATTCCTTACGTCTGCTGTTGAAAAACAAAGTCTCCATAATGACCAGATGTTTATCTATTCTTTGCTCCAAGCTTCCAGGGCAGGTTTTTTTCTGCATGATGACTCTGATTAATGATTAAACATTGCAGTCTGTATCACAAGCTACTGACTCAACTGTTACTAGGACCCCTTATAATTCTAGTAGGAGTTTGGCTGAATGAATATCTTAATTGGAGACATAGGTGAATAAAGTTGTCACATTGTGATTAGTGATCTAAACAAAAAAATGCTTCTCAATTGCAGAAGAGGGGATATGGACCTCCAAAAAAAGTGAAATTTTATGATGATTAGCTTTAATAGCTAATTGCTTACTGTAATCTGCTCAGCATTTCTGAGAAGAGGAAGTCAGGTCTTACATGGAGATGACAGAAGTTATGGATATCTCAGTGAAAGAAGGGCTTTGATTTTTTGCAAATTTCTCTGAGGGGGAAAAAAGATCATGATGTTTTTTTCATATTTTGAAAATTAGAAATGTGTCAGACTAGTGGTGGGACTCTGCTCAGCTTGTGTGTATATAAAGAACAATGAGATTCAGTGTTAATTTTCTGCACCATAATTTAGATGGCATCAGATGAATGAAAATACAAAACCTAATGAACTCTAAAAATTAAAGGGCCAGAAAAATCTTATGGCATGTTGGCTGTCCTAAGGAAGAAAGCTGGTAGGGTGGCTGAAGCCAGGCTCAGGTACAATCAAGTGCCAGAAAAGTGGGGGGGAAAAGGGACTGAGCAGAGAGGAGACTCACTTTTATGCATTGCTGGTTGATGATGCTTGTTTATCCAAGGAGGGGATGTTTATCAGGCCTGTACACTTTTGCTAGAAGCTGCCAGTGCCCCAAGCTCTCATCAAGCAGCTCTTGCTCCTGCTGGATTGGTTGCTTGCTTGCTTGCAAAACAGTTATTTTCAGGGGTTTCTTAGCAGCTTCCCAGAACTACCACCCTGCTAAGAAGGCCAATATAAGTTCATAATTTCAAGGGGCATCAGTTCCCCCTGCGTAGGTGTCCAGAGAGCAGGGGCATTGAGGAGGATGCCCTGTGCTCTGCCTCTTCCTGCAGCACAGCAATTTCTGTGGAGAGGGTTTGGGGAGGGGCACCCCCGGGATATTTGGGAAGACAGTGTGGTTGCATGATAGATAGGTCTGCATGGGCTGGTTGTGATCTCTGTGAGCAGAGTCCCCTGTGTGCAGGAATCTCTGGGAGATGGTCCAGGCCTTTATGGAGAATACTGAGCAATCTGAAAAATGTCTAGACAGTCTGTCTCAGCATCTCCTCTCCCCTCCTTTGGAGTAGAGGGAGAGCTGCCAGCCTTGTGTGATATCACTATTCAGGTCCTCCAAAGCACTTGCCAAGCACCTCCTGCAGAGAGAGGGAAATGAGGATCTGATGTTTCAAATATAAAATAAGCAGGAGAAATATCTTCTGAGGTGGGAAAGTCTTGAACTTTCCTGTTATCTTACAAAGCAGCAGCAAAAGACAAGCTTCCCCCATCTTTTCTTAAGTAGTTAGATACTGTTAAGTTAAAGTTCAGCAAAAATATTTTAATGATGAACAAAAACAAAAAAACCCCAAACAATTGTGATTCTTGTTTGAGAAAGCTGCAGGGTACTGTTCACTGAAATTCTTTCACAGCAACTTGAAATTTCAAGCTGATGAACATTTTCCACCCCCATAACATTCAGTTATGGAAATCAAAATAAATCTTTTTTCAGGTGAATGTAGTTTCCATGTAGGTTTAAAAACCCAAGAGAAGGGGAAATGGGAAAAATTCCTCTTGAGTATAAAAAAGAAAACCCCCCCAAATGTTATTTTTCTTTTCGATTGGCTTTCAGACATTGATGAATGTTTACAGAATGGTCGTATCTGTAATAATGGACGATGCATAAATACAGATGGCAGTTTTCACTGTGTGTGCAATGCTGGCTTCCAAGTGGCAGTTGATGGGAAAAACTGTGAAGGTAAGACTTTTCTGAAGTTATTCCATATCAGTAATTACAGTTGCAAGAGGTTATTCATGTCAACGAAAAAGAAAAGGACCTCTGGTGGGGGGAAGGGAAGGAACAAGGAATCAGATTTCTAAATACCTTTTGCTGTATCTGGGAGGGCAAGTGAAATGTCTTTTGCAGCCAGTTCTGGAGCCTTGGCTTGGCAATCCTCAACGGGATGTCTGTCCAGCAGGAGAAATAGCACATACCACTATCACAAAATGCAGTTTCTTTGATGGGAGTGGTACATTTTAAAACACAGCACAAGTCACATGCTGCCTGATTTTACTGCGTGTTTTACAGCGTGCTTTATGGGATCTTACTGGGTGACTAGCAATGTGTTTTATGTAGATGCAGTCTGGTCTGACCTATAAAAACTGTTTTAAGAAAAATTTGTAAACATAATTGATGTGTTCCTACCTCCCAGACCTTTAAGAAAGGGGGAAAAAAGAAGAATGTTCTTTATCATGCTTCCCAAGGTCCTTGGGAGGGTTCCCAATGATCTATTCATACGTTAAAAGAATTTCAAGCACTGTTCTTAGAAACATTTTTGGCAGAATATTATCTCAGTGATTCAGCTCAAAGACTTAATGCCAAAATTCTTGGTTGGGATAGATACACGATTTTTTTTTAAATCATAAATTATTTTTGTCTGACTTAGCCTGTAAGTAAAAAGAAAACACACCATGTCTAGAAGTGTAATTTCTGTCCAAGACAGCTGCAATATTAAGGAAAATAGCACGATTCTGAATATATTGTAATGTCATTATGATCCAGTGATTTTATGTGCTAGTAGTGATTCTGTTAATCCTTGGTAGAGACAGACATTTTAAGACTCTGTTTTTCCTGACTCTTTTTTAGATACAGTTTAGCACTATAAGCTGCTTTTTAAATATGTTATAATGGAAGTACATTGACTAAATATATTTGGAAATGAGTCTATTTGGGAAAAAAAACCCCTTATGCTGATTTCTTCCTTTCCCACCAAATACCATGTGCTAATAGTAATAAGAACCAGGACATCGGCAGTCTGGTAAAACAGTTTTAATTCCATTGCATGTGCTGCCAGAATGTCTGTTGCATCCACTTATGAAACAGTTTCATCTCTGGCATTGTAATGCATCAAGTTTTGTTCTTAGGAATACATGTACACACACACTAATCAGAAAAGACCATGGCATTGTGCCATACCTTAATGTAACTGCGTGTATTCCTTCAGATGAAACTGGTGAATAGTGCTGATTTTTTGAGATGTAACATCCAAAACTGATTTCATTTGTGCCAGGACAAAGTAAAGGCTAAGAGGATATAAAAGCTTACTCAAATCAAGCACAGAATTCTCTGTACTTGCCTATTTTTTTTCTTTCCCATTGTGTGAGTAACTGTGCAGGGTTCAGAATAGCAGTGTCTGAGACCTCCACCTTTTCCTATTTGAATCCTTCATGCTACCCCATTAGGTCAGAGGGATAATATAATGCTATTATGAAGCTATAATTAGTAAGTATCCTCCTGTGTGACCTGTTATGCTAAATCTGAGGAAGGGGCAGGTTTTATTTTAAATGGAAGTTGAGGATGACAGTGCCCACAGAATGCCTGCTCGAGTACAGTGCTGGGAATTCTCCCACATCATAAATCTTAGACTCATCCAATGGAGGCTACAAAAGTTTTCACTCCAAACCCAAATGTTCACTCCTCCCCTTCCAGGTCTTCTTAGTAACATAAAATTGTGTTTACCATTTCAAACAGGAGGCTGCTTCTAACCTAGCTTCTATTTAGATTAAGATTGCAAACCCTCTTCAATTACATCCTTTCTCACTTTTTGATGGCTTTTACCAACTGGCAGTTAAACTGTCCAGTTTCTCATCTGGTTTTCGTTCTCTTTGCTCTTTTTGGATGTTAACGATTCATTATGAAAAATGGAGTCACTGCTTTGACACATCCTCTAGGACAGTGCAGTATGTCCCATCATATGTTTCTCATTATCATATACCTCTGACAACTAAGAAAGAAATTAAGGTTTATCTTTTCAATATAACTAATAAGAGTTCTTTTGCTTCAACATTGTGAGTGTTATGTCTATCATGTACATTTTCAGATATGGATGAATGCAGCATAAGGAACATTTGCCTCAATGGGATGTGCATCAATGAAGATGGCAGTTTTAAATGCATTTGTAAACCAGGGTTCCAGTTGGCATCTGATGGACGCTATTGCACAGGTGAGCACAATAAATTATGGGCTCCCAAAGCTTGTGAGTCATATCTCTCTGGGTAGCTTCAAGAATCACGTTATTTCCTTACAGTGATCCTTGGGAACAAGAGGTACTGGGCAGGGTTCTCATCAGATGATTCTCATCTAGAATGATTTGTCATTGTGCAGACAGTACTCAGTCTTCTCCACAGTGTTGAGCAACCACCCAAACCAGCCAGTGGGAAATATCCTTTAATCAAGGACTGTGTGATCTGACCTAGTTAAACTCCATTTTTTTAGCCTATGAGGTCTTCTGCAGTTTGGTTCCAGTATATCTCATATTTTATGTTTGGCCTTTTAAAGTTTTCTGCCTTTGGCCACCCAAGCATCCTGGCTCATTGCCTCCTTTGGGCTTTTCTCCCATTCCTTACTGTGTGTTCCTAGTCAATACTCCAAGGAGTGGCCAGCACTCTGTGTGACCAAGGTGCAGACATGAGCACCACAGCAAAATTGTCCTTGCCATTTGCTGCAGTAGCTCAGCAATACCCCCTGTGGGAGACACTCCTGGTTACTGGTTGTGTCACTGGAGTTTCCGTTCAGTCCCATCAGAAACTGCACATTTTGTGTGTGTAAGTCTTCATGTTTCAGTAAATTTATAGGCACAAAGCAGAAGTCAAAATAAGGAATAAACAAGTGGTGGGCCAAGTTGCTTATAGTTTTTCTTTTGAAAAATTAAAAAGCTTTTAACTCTTGGAATCAAGGCAGAAAAAGTGCTTGATTACACTTCAGCAAATTTTAAAAAATGCCACATTGCAGCATCTTGTTGTGGACCAATAACAAAAATAAATGTTTGAATAAGTAATTCAGTTTTGAGAGTTAGTAACATGAAAGATGAATTAATTTGATCCTTTTGCTTATTGAACACTGTACCAGACCTACTACAGGCTGCCTTGTGTTAGCAGGGATGTGACTCATGGATGCAAACTCAGCCCAGCCCAAATGCTTGTCTTGATTTTTGCCTTGAGTATCTTTTGGTATTTTTTGTATTATTTCTTTGTGGGTTTTGTTTGGTTGGTTTTGGTTTTTTGTTTTGTTTTGTTTTTGTTTTTTTTTGTTACATCCGTCTGTGCACTGAAATGCCACCCAAGAAGATGGTATCTACCAGGCTGCTTAAAACATGATGATACTCAACTTTACAGCCTCTCTTATGTGCCTCCTGGCTAAACAGCAGTATGGATACAGTCAAAAAGGGGTTTCTGGCCCTAGAGAAATCTTACTTCTGTGCATCAAAGGAGGAATATTTGAAAAGTATCCAAAATTGCAGGGAACTCAACTGATTCCTACTGAAACTTGGAACAGACCTTATAGTAAAATGAAGGATTTCTCCTACTGCTTTTCAACACCTACTGTAAGCCTTGTTCTTTATGAATGAGCATGCAAACATCCATTACGTGTTAAAATTACTGTTGGGTCAAAATCAAACCAGATTTTGAGACCTGGACACACAAATTACACTTTTTACCCACTTCGTATTTGTCTCCTTTCTTCCACTTGCCCAAAGTATCATGAAACAATTCCCAGGTCTTCAGTGGCTAGAGGAGCACAGCTCTCTCCAGTCATGTTACTAAAAGTTTAAAAGTTTGATCCTTAATAATGTCTTTTCCTGTATATTTGGATGTTTGTCCTTATTGAGTCCTTTCCGTACATGCCAAATGTATGGAGTAAACACCTCGTGTCCCACAGAACTGGTAATCTCTGAAACACTGTTCACACTGCCTTAGCCCAGTTTGTTTATGAAGTACATGCATTAAATTTTACACAAGTTTAAACTCTAAGCTCATGCTTGCACATGCAGTGAGTGCTTGTGCACGTTGGGAATGTGTGTATGCACAAACTGACAGTTCTGCAGCAAATTGGCTTCCTGCCTGAGCAATTCTGATAGGGAGTTGAACATGTGTTTTTGCCAAACTCTTTAGGGGATCAACAGAGGAATATGAGTGCAGCTCATTGCTTCTGTAACCATCTCATTTGATGCACTCTAGGCTAAATTTTCAACTACTAAGAAGGGCTTCTAACCCAAAGATGGGGGTAATGTAATTGGCAGTTCCATAAAATTGGAATTTAAGTATAAGTACAGGGCAAATGCTTGGCTGTCTGGTAAAAAAATTCCACTTAGACTTTCTGAAATAACATGCCAAAAAAGAATGTTACACCATAGTCTTGTGTATTCCCTGAAATACAAAACATGCTAAACTTATTCACCATTAGCTTTTTTTGGTGGTGATTTGCTGATGATTTTTCAGAAACACTTAAATGGAGCAGGCAGAGGTTTGAAGCATTATTCCTTTTATTGTTTCATCTTGAGATTAAAAATTCCTCAAACTGAAAGCTTCTGCAAAGCAACTGAAAATGGTAGTTTGGTAGTTTAGTAGTCTGAGTAAATTTTTCCTGGTTAAAATTGGACTTATTGTATTCAGCTAGCACTAATAACCAAGCTAAGCAGAAAAGGCAAAAACTCATTGAACATGAAGGACAAATCCATTAGTTGGTTTTCCAGAACCAAGCTGAGTATATTTTAAGTTGTCCAAGTAGTGACTTTTACCACAAAAGACAGCAGAGCCTTCTCCAGGTTAGAAATTTAGACTTTATGCCTATGTGTGAAGTTGATTTACTGTGTGGAATCTCAGCCCTGGTAAAAGCAGAGGCTTTTCACCCCGTCTTTACTGAAACCAGGTTTTCAGCTGATCTGCACCATCCTGAGTGACCCACTTTATCTTTCTGAAAAACATCTACAATAGTATTTCCAACACATTTATAAATCAGTGCAAAAGACTAAGGATTGCACATCTCACCCTTCACTAGCTTACAGAGTCTTTTTTAAAAATGTACTGCAGGAAACAGAAGAAAATTAGTTTTGCCTTTCTGTTTCTATAAATGACCTTAAAAAAGGAAAGTTAATTTCTTTTCCCACTTTTAGGGGAATCTGTCTGTCTCAGGAGTTCAGTGTTGTCTAACAAAATAACTGTCTACACTGTTAAATAGTATGGGCACATTTTGAATCCCAACTTTGTTTTTACCTAAACTGAGTAAAGACTAAATTTAAAGTGGGAAAAGCAATTAAGATTTGTCTGAAACAGAACAAAAGATTGCAAGATGAAGTAGAAATGCATTGAGCCCATGTACTTAAATATAGCTTTTATTTTAAAATGCAGTTTGAAAAAGGAATCTTGGATCATACAAGCCAAGTTTTATGCCAAACAACACAAACTAAGTAAAACACAGAGGTGTTTCACTCTCAATTTGCCCTTTTAAGGTCAGAAAAAAGGAAATTGTCACACACACTGTCTCTTGTATATATTATGGAGAGTTGTTATGAAGTGATTATTTTATAAAGGTTATACATACTTCCAAACAATATTTTAAACACTCCTTTTCTTAATCACTTCTAAAATGATGACTTGCTCTCTGCACCTAGAGAATGATCTTACTATTAACAGGATACACAACCTATGTCATTTTTTACTAATTTAACATCTCTTTGTAATAGTTTAATATTATAAGGCTTCATTCTTGTATTTCCTTGCTCTGGGCCTTATTGTTCAATGTACCATTGTTGGGCAAAGATGGCAGCTTGTGCTGGGCAATTGCTCAGGGCTCAAGTCATTAACAAATTCCTTTCAAGGCTGGAGTGCAGTCTGTTCATTGAGAGTTTATAAAATGGGCTGTAATGAGCATCTGATAGGAAAACCCAATTGTCATGCAGATCCACCAGAGGGACACTACTGTGGGCAGGGTCTGACTGTGGAGATTCAGATGTGCTTCCAAAAACTGAACCCGCAGCAGGAGGAAGGGAAATTCTTTAGTGGCCCTGTGAAGGCACCTTGTGGGGAGTGAAAGGTTCAATTTGCTATTTTGGGTGATTTCTTACAGCATGAACTGTTAATATGGAAAGGGAATGTCCTGTTATATACTACATAAGTCCTTTGTGTTAGCAGTCACAGTTTCTTCCTTCCTCCAATTATGATTTTGCCTGAATGATCCTTGAATCGGAACATGTACCTCTTGGGAACAACTTAGGAAAATGTAGCCCCTTTTCACTTTCCAAGGGAAGCAAAATTGTTTTGTTCTGTTTATTTCTCCTGAATTTTGCACTTTCTTATTCTCTTTCACGGAATGAATTAATTATTATTCCTAACAAAACCTTTACTTGAACTAGTTTCCATTTACACTTGATATTTTTTTAGGATACATTGAAAATAAGCTGCACAAATGCAAGTTTCAGCCAGGCACTGGCACTGGTTAACTATGTAATTTAATTTCTAATAAAGCTCATTCTGTTCTCCAACAGACATCAATGAGTGTGAGACAGATGGAATATGCATGAACGGGCGCTGTGTGAACACTGATGGCTCTTTCAGATGTGAATGTTTCCCTGGCCTTGCAGTGGGACTGGATGGACGTGTCTGTGTTGGTAAGACAAGCTTAATGTGTGGGGAGTCACAGTTAACCAATGTTAAGACATTAATGCCAGACTGATGGACACATCAAGTTTGAATGTAGAATGGACCATATTTTTATGGATTGGTGGGTAGTAGTTATGGTGGATACTAATAGCTCTGAAGTATTTACTGTAATAGCCTGTTTTGCTCTTGTTTTCATTTCCTTTGCATTTAAAGTGAAAAAAATGTGTGATTCCGGTCACAACGTCAGGTAGACTATACAGCATAGAGGTGACTAGTTTTGTAACAGTTTTGAGTAGATGAAAGTTTGCCCTGTTTCTGTCAATGTAAAACTTTTCATTTGTCACTAAGCTTAAAGATTTAATTACTCTTTCACCTCTTTTTAACATGGGAGGTACCCAATTTTCTGTCTGTTTCTGCACAAGCTCAGTGTTTGATTTTAAAATACTTGAGAGCCATTTATGGGCCAGTTTTTAAAAACTGAGAAAAGTCACCCCTAGACCCGAAGACATAAACATTTGAAATCTTATGTACTGGGACAGCACTACTGACTTTCCCTTGTTTTTTTTTCCTTTTTTTTTTTTTAAAGCAAAGAAAGAGCAGAGACTTGTCCATTTTCCCCATGGCTTCTCACTAGTTCATGGTTAAGAAGTGATTGTTCACTTAGTAATTCACTAGTGCATTAAATGCAGTAACTAGTTGTATGTCTGAATTCTTGGGGGCATGAGGAAGAAGAATTTCCTGTGCAGAGTAGAGGAAGGGGAGAGGTGGGTGAAAAGCATGGGGAAACAGTGAAAGATATTTTGTTTTGACAGCTCTTTTACAGTGTTTATGACACCCGAGCTACATTTAATACTTGTTATAATTTATGACTGTAGTTGGCTATGGCAGGATTAAGAGAGATTTCTTTCCTCAGACACACATATGCGGAGCACATGCTACGGTGGCTACAAGAGAGGACAATGTGTGAGACCATTAACGGGAGCAGTTACAAAGTCAGAGTGTTGCTGTGCCAGCACTGACTATGCCTTTGGAGAGCCCTGCCAGCCCTGCCCAGCACAAAATTCAGGTATGGCATATTCACTGGTAATTTTCTAATTGAAGCTTTCAGTCAATGAACTGTTTTTAGAAAGGTAAAATGCAGTTTTATAGTAATAAATCAGGAGAGTTACGTTGTTGTAGAATGTTACGCATTTTGAGCCATCCTCTGTTTTGTGTGTTGTAAGAGTAGAGAAGCTGATTTTTTAAAGCAATAGTAAAGTATGATATCTGGTTCCAGAGTTGTTACACACATGAAAATAAACAGTACATTTTCAAAAAGCGAACTCTGTTTTGGTAGGTGTAGATAACGAAAAACATAATTTTGAAAAATTGTGATTCAGATCTTCATGTACACCTGCCAGTGAGATGTTTGCTGCCTGAATCCTACATCCTTCAAGAGATCTGAAATCATTTATTCAGTAACCAGTCTGTGGACAGTTATGCACAAACAAATGTCCAGTTAAGTTGGTTTTGAATACTTGAGTCTGTCACTGAAATCCTCACCAAGTGAAGCTGGCTGGAACATGACTTCTCTCTGGCAAGGAAGCAATCCTAATCATTCTGATGGGCGGGATCTGCTCTTAGGAAAGCACTTCTTCCAATAAGACTCTGCTGACACAGTCCTTGCCATGAAGCCAGTAAACAGTGACCTTGGTTTTGTGGAGGTGACTGACTGCAGGGAGCTAGTTTGAAGCCCAAATTTGTTAAGTGTTTCTTTTCACTCAGCAAATTTGTTGTTGCATATAAACAAAATAAGCCATTTGATATGTAGTTGAAAAGCGTGTCATACTAACAAGGTATCTGCTTGGTAGGCTAAAATAATTTTAGATTTATCTTTTAAATCTTTTTTTTTAACTGATAGCTTTATGGAAAGCATTAGGGAGACAAAACCAGTTGGAACAAATTAGGCTGATTGAGCTGCTGTGAGCTCCTCAGCAGGAACTTGCTGACGACCATTTTATAACTTGGTGTGTTGTTTAGAACAGCAAAACACCAAGGAAATGTTAGAAAAATAGGAAGGACCCTTTCCAGCAGCCTGTGAGGATGTCAGTGGGCCCTATTGTACAGTAGAGTTGAAATCTTTTACAAATGTTGGACTGTCTATCATTGACTTCTGTTTTGTATTTTATTTCCTTTTGCGGAACATTTACATAAGTGGAAGCTATTTTTCCTGTGTTTTTTTCCTCACCTCTTCAATTATTAAAAAAATGCCATCTCATGTAGGGTGAAGTGTAACATTTCTCTGGGCTTTGAGTGGGGGAGGGAAGGAGAAGATTTCTTAGAGAGGACCATTTTATCAGAGAGACTGAAAAAAATTCCTGAAAGGAAGACATTTTGCCCTCTGTGCTCCTCAGAAACTCTTTGCAAAAGTTTCTGCTGTTTGAGACTGAAAGTTTTGCTGATGCATGTTCAGAGCAGGTCTGCTTTCCCATACAGTGACAGTGATTATTGATTTAGGTAAGGGTACACATTAATCTGCTGGTTATCTTAATATTGGGAGATGTGTTGCATGTGATTTCCCTCAAAGAGAAGACAGCTAATTCCATAAATATTTTTAATATTTATTAATTTTAGCAGTGTAGGTATTTAGGCTGTTATGAAAGTGAAAATATATTGGACAATGTTGACCTATATGGCAACAATTAATGCTGAGCTGGCTGACAGTTCATTCTGTTAATTGTTCTGAACTCAAAAGAAGAACTTGAACTCAGCAGTAGTTGAGACATTTGAGATGCTTTGATACATATTACTTTTGTTAAGGATAAGAGATAGGAGATAGTTGATCTGTTATGAACTCCTGAAGAGACTCCTGCTAAATGGAGTTAAATATGGTCTAGATTTATAGGAAAAAAAATTGTTTCCTGGTCACTTTGAATATGCACCTTGAGTAAGGACTTGGACATATGAGTTCTGGAGAATCTTGCTGTGAATATGTCATGGTTCATTTGTGTGGGAGGGCCACCATGAAGTTTATGTCTATTCCTAAATGCCATGGTTCATCATGTGAAGTTTTTACTCATCCATCTTCACAAACAGATGCAGACCCTGAATCTGCTAAAATGTTTTACAGGTTCAGAACACTGTGGGGTTGTTAATGTTTTTGGAAGAGTTGCAAAGCATGTTATTTCATTCGAATAATTAATTGTCATATTGTAAATGGTGATGTTGAAAGCAATGAGCTAAGAAAGAATATTCCAGTAAGTATTTTAATATTTTTTCCAGCTGAATATCAGGCTCTGTGCAGCAGTGGAACTGGCATGACTGCAGGAGGAAATGGTAAGATCACCTAATGTAATTCAAACTATAGCAGTTCTACCTAAAAGAGTTACTTTGATATCCTTAATTTGTTAGCCCTGCTGGTGGGGGTGATGACAGGAGAGAATGGGAGAAAGGCTTAGTCAGATAGCTGTTTACAAGACATTAGAATGCTTTAGGGTGAAATGAATGGAGCATGCCATTTCACCACTGTGTCTTCTCTAGTTTACATCATGGAATGTATGTGAGTGCTGTTAGAAAAGAATGACAAACTTGTGAGAAGTGTTATTACCTACATGGCTTTGAAATCAAGTATGTAAATAATATTTGCATATTTCAAGCGAAATCATCCTGAAGAATAAAGCCATGTTGAACACTGAGTTTCCTCATTTTTTGTCTTTCAAAATAGGCCAGACTCACAGAATTTGGCTAAATACAGAGAAAGAGGAAGTGATTACAATAAAAGTTTTGTAGTCATAGAATTGTGAAACTGCAAACTCTTAAGTCAGCCAATGTCAGTTGTAGATTTGCTGGCAGTAGACAGGGAAAAGCACTCAGAAAAGAGGGATATTAATGCTTTGGGAAGTGATGCCATCCAGAAATGCTATGAACCAAGAAATGGGGGGGTATTAGTACATGGGCCTCTCTAAATCTAATCTCTGATCCCCAGTTTAATATCCCAGTTCTTATCTACAGTTGGAAGTCTCTTAAATGACTGTGGGCTAGAAATGGTCTTAAATCAGGGCGAAAGGGATGCTTCTTTCTTTTGAGTGTGAACATTTAAGTGGAATTTCCTATTCAGAACTACACGATCATAAAATATGGAGCAGCCAATGTTAGTGATATTGAAAATGTCTTTTTCTAGTTTGGAGAATTAACCCCCACAACCCCTCAACAACTGGCTCAGATGTTCATTATTTTTTCCCTTTATTTAGATATTAATGAGTGCTTATTGGATCCTGATCTCTGTCCAAATGGAAGGTGTGAGAATCTGCATGGAACGTACAAATGTTTTTGTGACCCTGGATATGAAGTAGATTCAACTGGGAAAAACTGCATTGGTATGAAATATCCCATTTTTCACTTTGAAGTTTGATGCTTGTTTTTATCCTCTTTCACTTTTTTTTCCCCAGTGTTTCAGCAGATCCACTAACTGCTCTTCTGGTATTTCTGGATATTTCTTCAGAAATCCTGTTCTAATTTCAGAGCTTTGCAATGCTCCACTGTGGGGCTGTAAGGGACTGTTTCTGTCATTGACTCAAATCACTGGCAACCAGGCAATAAATACCCTGTTCAGTTAAGTCCACTGGACATGCACTCATGTTGTGCCAGTGTTTCTCAAAATCAAAAGAAGCAAGATCCTGCAATTGCAGTGCACCATAGGGAAGATCTAGGATCCCCAGTGTGCTAGGTTGCCTCCAAGAGCAGGGGATTTAAGTAAAACTCCTACTGATCATAGGAAGATAAGCATCCAATATGCCACAGAAGGCTTACATGGTTTATCCCAACTCTACCTTTGGGGAAAATTCCTTTCAACTTTCAGACAGGGCATTGGTTTAACTGTGTTAGGTGTACTGGCCAGACACAGGAAAGCTTATTGTCATTGGAAGCACCAGCAGAATCTGATGGCGTGGTGTCTCTGGCTAGGGCTGGTTTCCTATGTTGTACAAGTGAAAAATATCTAAAGCCAAATTTTTTTATCAGAAAGGTTGAAATAAGTCTTTTGCACTCCTTAGAAGTGACTAGTGGAAGCACTGTGGCATGGGATAAAAAGAATTCAAATATGCAACACACCAGTCTCTTCTCACACTATTTGGGATGTAAAAAACCACCATCAGATGCCTGCAGACTCCTATTAGAAATTTAAATTCTGGCAATTCTCTTGTTCCATTACATGGTCCCATCAAAAGCCCATAACTTACAATCCTTTAGATTCCTTTCTTCCACTCCTGCATTGTTCCAGACCTCCTTTGCATGACTGATTAGAAATTTTTTATGATTTCCTGTTAAAATTTATTTGTGACCATTTTATTACCAGCTGATGTTGTACTAATATTATTCTTTGACTTAGCACCATGTCAGCGCTTCTCCCCAAAGTATTTATAAAGAATCATTGTATCCTTTTCTCAAACTCTTTTGGCTAAGCTATCCAAATCCACACTTCCAGTCTTTTCATAAAAGCAGAGGCTGCAGTCTTCTCTTGAACACAACTGATCTGACCAGTGTACAATGTTCTGATGAAGTCTGACCAGTGGCTTGTATAGTTGTGCCAGAAATTCTCCATTGCCCTTAGGAATATCCTGCCTAAACTGATGCTAGAGTGCATTAGTCTTCTCTCAAATACATGTTACACTCTGGGATCAAAGTCAGCCTCTAATTGGGAGTTACATCCAGAGTTTTCTCACTAGCCTTCAACTGATGAGTTCTGGTTTCTAGCATGTTATTGTTACTGGTCCCTAATTGCAAAGTTTTGAACGTTGGTGATTATATTTTATCTTATTTTTCTCATTCATGTTGTCAGGATTAATTTAGCCTTGCCTGATTCTCTGTATTGGTAATAACTTCCAGCTTAGTTTTGTCCACAGTTTTTGATTCCATTCATTTTTTATTTCTGCATTACAATGAGTATTTTATAGGACCAGTCCCAAGACTGATCCCTGAAAGGCATTTCTAACATCCTCTCTTCATCATGATTACTCTCTTTTTTAATATATCCTACTGTAATCTCTCCTTTCCAGCTCTGGAACCACCTTAAAATTCTTAAATTCCTTCCTGTTATCTCCAGCTGACATAATAATTTTATTTGGGTTCTGTATTCTCTACTTAAACCTAAATAGCTTAGGTCATCTGTGTTATCCAGTCTAAACTATCCACTATCTTTGCAAAAAAAAATAAAAAAGGGTTGATATATCTTAGATAAAAATCACACCATAATTCATCCCATTTTCCCATTTGCTTCTTTGGCTTTAATTATCCATGTCCCATTTCAGTGTCTGCCTGTAGCTGATGGCATCCCTTCTCTTTTCCCCATCCGTCTGTGAGTTTTCCAGATGCTCCCCAGCCCACCCTGTTGTAGCCTACATCCATGCTCTATCACAGCTGTTTCCCATTCTTCCATAATGTTCCACCTGGCCCTCTCTCAATTTTTCTGAACTCCTGTGAAGCTTCCCACATGGTCTGTTTTACTCTGCAAGTCTCCCTTCTTTTCCTAGCACTTTTGCTGTTCCCAGCTGCTGCACTGACCCTCTGAGGCTTCCCAACTTCTCTCAACACGTTCTGAGGCCTCTCTGACTTAGCCAATTGTTCCTGTCTGCTCTTGGGGTCTCTCTTGGTTTTCACCTGCCATTCATGGCTCATTGCCACCTTCTTGCAACTTCTCTGTGATAACCACAGTTCTTCCAAAGATTTCCTAAGGGTACTTGAAATGTAGCACTAGCATTTCTATTTAAATTTTTCACCTCTGAAGCAAGTGTATACTTACATTAGCCTTTTTAACCATAACATCTAAGATGGTTCAAAGCCAATTTGGAAAAAATGGTGTTTTAAAGACCAGTATGATCAGCAAACTTTTCCAAACCAGTCCTCTCCTTACTTCTTTCATGACTGCGGGGGCTGCAGTGCAGGGACTCAGAATCTCCCAATGTTAGTCCACAATAGAGGAAGAAAGTGTGATTCCCAGCTTTATTTTGAACTGTGGTGTGACTGTCACATATTTTGAATATGTGAGGAAAGAAAGTACAGGCTCTTGTCCAAACCTGTTGTCTACTAAAAGAATCATTTAGTATTCATATTCCACACACCCCACACCCCCCTGCCCTGTTTGTTTCCTCTGAAATGTGGCTGTCGGGAGGGAAATTCTGTCCTGACTTCTGTTTTAGGAATTTCTTAAAAAGTTCTTTGTTTTCATTGTAGACATTGATGAATGTGCACTGAACATGCTGCTTTGTGACAATGGGCAATGCAGAAACACCCCAGGAAGTTTCACCTGCACCTGTCCAAAAGGATTTGTATACACTCCTGATCTAAAGACATGTGAAGGTAATTGGTAACACTCCATTTCATCCTGGTTTTATTCATTTGGATTGTTCTCAGCTTGTGCCAGAAACACTTTGAACCTTGATGAGGATATAGTGTGTAAAACTGAAAAAACCCACTATAAATAAATTCTATGGGGAAGTAGGAGAATGAGGAGCAACAATGCCAAAATGAAACCGTTAGATAACTTCACGGAATTGCCTGTACTATGTCTGTGCTAATTTACTCCTTATTTGCTACTACCAGTGAGCCCACGCTGTGCCAAGGGTGAGAAAAATTTGAGAAGAATCAAACTCTACAAATCTGTTGTGTGAAGAAGAGAGCCAAGCAGCTCCTCATTTGAACCCACAGACAGGATGTGTGTCAGATCATTGTAACAGCACAGTCCATCACCACAAAGCTGGATATCACTAAAAAATTATATACTTCTTCCAAGTTCAATGTTTTAATGTTCTAACGTGTTAGCGTGTCTTTAGGACATGTGCATTGTTAGTCTATTGTGAAGAGTTCCATAATGGAAAAGTGGAGTATCAGGAAGACTGGTTATGAGGAAAGCTTCTTCCCTTTTTCCCTAAACTGCAAAGAGCCTTATGTATTTTTTGTTAATTATTTCTGGCACTAATGGCAGTTTATTTCTCTTTTAGATATTGATGAGTGTGAATCCAACCCCTGCGTTAATGGAGTGTGCAAAAACACACCAGGCTCTTTTGCTTGTGAATGTTCTCCTGAAAGTACTTTGGATCCAACCAGAACCATCTGTATAGGTATTTATTCTTCTGAAAATTGTATGTTTGCTGGTTAAAAATGTCCAGTGACATGTGAACATGGTACACCAAGTTAGAATATACTTTAAAATAACTTGTTTAGATAAATTTAGTGGAAAACACTACGGAGACAATGTTAAGAAAGGGTTTGTTTTCACCATTACTATGGGTGCACTTGGGAGTGTGGTGTGCTTCCTTTTCAAATTTGAAAGAGGTGAACATTTTTTGTAACTAACACAGAAATACTAAGACTGCTTCTCCAGGTCTGTGCTCACCTACTTAGTTTCTCCTGTAAGAGGGGTGAACATGTTCTCATTAGGGTCTGGTCTCTGGAAAGACCAATTTTCTATTTGAGATGGAGCATAAAAAGTTATGCGTAGTCCAGACTAGTTCAGGAGCATCCACAGACAATGCTGTGACTCAGATACTTGGTGGACTCATAATTTCTTCCCTTGCCTGTTCTGGAGGGGACAGTAATTTATAGCTCTTGTCTAGTCAGTGAGGAAAACTGTGGAACTACAGCTGTCTGATCCTTAGCTATCTCCTGGCACTCCCTGTATGGGAATATCAGATATCCAGACTGGGGGATCTAATAGATTAATGGAAGATCTACCAAGGTTTCATATCTACTCTGTTCTTCTGCATGTGCCTCTAATCTGAGTCATAATAAATACAATGACTCAAATCTTGAATGGTATTGACATAGTCCCTGTTAAGGACAAAAAGCATAAACTAGGATTTACAAGAGCTCTGTGCTGGGATGATTTCAGGCTGTAGTCCAGCATAGAGAAGGATAAATTAAGTGATTTTAAAATACATTTAGGTCTGATGTGGTAAATTATAATGAAAGGATTATTCTTTTTCTTGGTTAAATTCACATGTGTTTATAAATATAGTTATGGATAATGCTGAAAGTCTGCGTGACAATACATTGGTTTTTTTCCAAACAGAAACTGTTAAGGGTACCTGTTGGCAGAACATAGTGAATGGAAGGTGTGAAATAAATATCAATGGAGCAACTCTGAAGTCCCAGTGCTGTTCCTCACTAGGTGCTGCTTGGGGAAGCCCATGTACACCATGTGAACGAGGTAACGCTCTTCATTTTCCTCAGGAACTCAGGACTTTTCTTCTTCTGAGGCTGGTCCAGGTTATTATCATAGAAGTTGGGCACAGCCTAGACAAATAACTTTACTTGTTCTGTTATCAAGCACCTTATTCAGTCTGAAAAAGAGAAGTTTTAATATTTGAGAGGTAGTGTGTAGCTATAGGAGGTTCTAACTCTGCATTTTACAGTAAATATTTTACAAGATTAAACACTGAAGGGAAGGGACCACACCTACAGTCTGTAACTTGCAGCATTACTTTAGCATGGTTTGTCATAATTAGTGATCTAGAATTCCTAATGATGTAGCAATAGATGCATTTTCCCCAGAGTTCCCAAGAAAATGTTCACAACAAATGGATCTTTGGTGTGGTAAGGGAGGGAGGAGAGGGAGTAGCCCTTGTTATACTCTGTAGATTAACTGATGACCTACAGAATCATACAGTTGATCAAGAAATGGGTTGAGGTCGCTTCATATTCATTTGATAATTTGACTGAACAATGGGATGGGCTGGGAACCCAGGGATGAGCTGATGAATGCAGAAATGTGTGTGGGTTGTTATTTCTGTATCCTGAAAGCTGCTAGTTTGCTCAAAACTTTGGTTAAATTCATTCTGTGTATCTTAACAGAATTCATCCTCATTCATCCATGGTAAATAGGGCTGTAATGTGCTGTGATCAAGTGAAATGAATTAATTGGTTTGAATGAAGCAGGAATCATAACCACTTTTGGGTTAGTCAGCTGAGACACATGGGAAGCAAAAGATGATAATGGCTGACACTCTGTATAGTTTATGTAGTTGCCCCATCTTATCTCTTTATTATTTCAGAAAGTACTGGGATACTGTCTAAGCACTCAGACTTCTCATAGCAATAAACTAGATAATGTTTCACATGGTCAGTTTTGCACAATAAGTTAATGGCCAGTTTTGGACTGTAATGTTCTGAAAGTTCTCTTTTGTTTGTTTTACAGACCCAATATGTCAAAAGGGATATTCGAGAATAAGAGGAACATTGTGTGAAGGTATTTATTGTTGCCCTAACATAAATCAGAGCTTGAATGAAAAAACGCCAGTGTTTTGATTTAAGTGGTTAATTTAGCATAGAGGAACACTATGCCAAATTCTTACCTCGTGTGGTTCAATTGACTTCATTAGAGTTATGTCAGGGATGAATTTGGTTTCAGTTTGTTTAACATTCCTACATACTCACAGTTTATCTCAAAGTACACACTTGCAAATATAATGTCTACCAGTATAAGGAAATAGTTCTCTCTCTTCAAATCCTGCTAACCGAGTAACCTGTTTGGGCAAAGTATGCATCTTATATATACTATAAAACATGGCATTAATAATACAGTGACATGAGAAGCCATTACTATGCTTTAGAAAAAGAATGTTTAAAGGCTATATTTCACATTGAAGTTTTTTTGGTTAAAGAAAAAGTTAAAGATTTTTTATATGTGTAGCTCTTTGCTTGGTGTGAGATGACTCTATACTGTTCTGTAAGAATTGAAGGTCCCACCCTATTTCATTTTCTTTTGAATTGATTTGAACCCCTGGAAAAGTACTGCATATTTACATAATATGCAGAAGCACAGAGAGTCTCAAACTGCTGTGGGTCATCCTGACTGACAACATCTGACATGACACTGCAGTTAAAATATTTTTTAAAAATTACTCCCATATGTAGCTTCCATAAAGAAACATTGTTTTTTTTCCTTAACAAAAAAATAAAAAAACAGAGGAACACCCTCACACATACTCTTTGCTTTCCAAATGATGACTGAATATCTTGGCACGTCTGTGCTGCAGACCCACTGTACATAACTTATCTGACCTCAGCAACACTTTCTGGAGTGTGTAAGTGAAAGAAAAGAAAAAAAAAAGTGGCCCCACCTATCTCTCTTCACAAGGAAAGTCTTAGAACATTTTCAACACTGCTGGGATGGAAAGTTTTCCAAGATGTAGACATAACTGTTTTCAGCATTTCCTTTACCAGCACTTTGGATTACATCTATTACATGCTTTAGTCTTTCTGATTTCAATGGGACCTGGATAGCCCCAGGTTTTTCAGAGTAGTTTCCCTTGCTTGTAACATTACTGAAGCCTTATTTGGTTTTCAACCAATGTAAGCGTTTTTCAAGACAGAGAAAGGTCTCTAGGAAATTTACTGGCAAGTGAGAGACAGGACAAGGGAGTAAGTTTAGTTCCCAAAAGGTGATACTCAGTTCTCCCATATACAGCCCGTGTAAAATGAGTAATAGACCTTGTGCAAGGAAATAAGCAAACTAAATTGGCAACATTCCTCTCGTTTACGGGTGAACCCTGGAGTTGTCAGCTGCAATATTGCTCACAGGCCGTGAACAGTGTTGCAGTGGTTTCTAGTAATCCACTGGCTTTACTTTGTACCTTCCAGTCAATTTATAATATCTATCCAAGGGCAAAAGGCACTGATTTCCCCCTGTCCATATTTATCCTCCGTCCTGCTCCATGTGATTTGAGAGCTGCAGAGTCTGTTTGCACCAGGAGTTTTGTCTGGGGGCCTAGCCAGCCCAACCTACCCACTTCTTGATTACTCTGTACATGAGTGTTCATGCACAGATTGTCAGTCATTCTTTTCTCATTTCTTGTTCTTGTCCTCTCCTGTCTTAAAAATTGTCATGCTTCGTCTTGGGCCATATTTAATGTTGGAGGCTTTTTCCTAAAGGCAGTTGAGAAGCATATGCTTTTCACAAAGGACATAGATGGGATGACCCCACACTTAAATTAGTAAACATTTGTTTATGCTCAGGCCAAGCTAATGCATTTAATCAAATCATCCTTACCCAAAAGTGCTAAATTTGCCTCTGAAATATAGAAATACAGTCTTAATGAAGTTAAACTCTCTGTGCAGTCATAAGGAGGTTCTTTTAATATATAAAGTTGCTAATTGCTGACAAGGTCATAGGGCCAGATTTCAAATGGTGTTGTAGTTTCCAGACATGCAGAGGTGCGCCTGATAAGACAGAAAAATGAAAAATAAATAAAAATACAGAAAACTTTAAAAAATCTTTAAAAATACAACATAATTTAATCTAATTGAAATAATAACTAATGTATTATGCACTTACCTTTGTCTTTCTTTGCCCATTTGCTTCAAAAATCTGGCCCACAGTGAGTATGAAAAAGGATATAATTTTTAAACACCCCTCCCTTTTCTGTTACTTTTGAATTTGATTTCAGTATGTGTAGAAATGGCAAATAGCCACATGCATTATTTCTGATCATCAGCAGTTTTCTGTAATTATTGGTTCTGGCTGACTTGCGTAGGAAATGGTAAATTTTTGAATTTTGTCAGACCATGTAAACTGCTTTGGTTTTGTATTTTATCTTAAAAAACATTAGCATGTCAATATTTTTTTCTATTCTGTTCATGTTTAGCATGCTAGTGATTACACTTTTTCTTTTTGGCAATAGATGTAAATGAATGCGAGGTGTTTCCTGGAGTTTGTACAAATGGGCAGTGTGTCAACACTTTGGGATCATTTGTTTGCCAGTGCCCCAATGGAATGACTTTAGATGCTTCTGGACGGACTTGTCTTGGTAGGTATTAATTCCATGTACAGGTCTGCTAGGGAAGAGCAAATCTATGTGGTGAGTGATGATTGCACTGCGTGTTTTCTTACAAGTAAAGAAAATTATCTTTCCCCATTTTTCAAATGGAATTAGTCAGGGACATGAACTTAGTTCAACTGGGATAGGAACAGATTCCAATGGTGATAGCTAAAGCCCATCACTATCTGCTAGCTGGTGAACAGCATTGATTTAGTTCCAGATTGTTCATCTGACAAATCCCTACAGATTATCTGTACTCTTAGCACTCTTCATCTGCAACCCCTCTGAAACCAAGGCTGGAAGAGTGAGGGACACACCATTGTGGGCTGGGACTTGGGTGTGTGAGGAGGGATGTGATGTTCCTCACCACGCTGTACACCTTAATGGAGGATGCACCAGAATATCCAAGTTTTGTGTGCTGTCCACCCAAAGCACACTTGTCCACTTATGACAGTAAATGGCCAAGATTTCTCTTGGAACAAGGCAAAGCTTGTAGTAATTAAAAGGCCTTATGTAAGTACAATAAGCTGGAATGCTTAAAATCCTTTTCTAATTTACTTCAAGTATTGAGCACTGTCTTTCAGACTGGTGCTTTAAACATTCTTCAACTCTTAATTTCTGAATTTAGCATTAATATTTTGCTGCCAGGAATTCTGCAGTGAGCTTAGTACACTCCTCTGCATCCAGAAAAACGTGGAGCAAACTACCCTGTGGAGGGATTCTGGAAAAAAATTCCTCTGCAGTGAACTAAATTTTCTCTTTCTTTCTCAACATGTTGTTCAATTGCCCAACAGACATTCGCTTGGAGAGCTGCTACCTGCAGCACGAGGACGAGCAGTGCAGTGCCCAGATCCCAGGCCGGCACCGGATGGATGCCTGCTGCTGCTCCGTGGGGGCGGCCTGGGGCTACGAGTGTGAGGAGTGTCCTCTGAAGGGATCTCCTGAGTTCGAAGCTCTTTGTCCGAGGGGCCCTGGGTTCTCCACGAAGATAGAGATAAGTGGGAAACCTTTCTCCAAAGGTACGTGGTCTGTTTGCTGTTAATTGCCAGCAAACCCTGCTGGCTTTCCCTTTTACTGTTCCCTCAGACAGCTCCTCTGGGTGTGAAAATTTCAGTGATAGTCAGGTACTTCATGCACCCTAAGGCACTTTTGAAAATCTGATTAGATTTCATGGAAATTAAGGCCAGAATAAACCACAAGAGAATTTAATACCATTTAATACCAATAATTAAATGCAGAATATAATACTGCAGCCTCAAAACACAGAATCTGTGTCTCTACTAGAGAGGTTAAATTGTGCCTGACTTTGCCTCCTGGCATCATAGTACAAGAACTGAAACAAACTGGGCAGTCAGCTTTGGATGTATTGAAAGAGCAATCCTTACCTATGAAGGGTGCAATAACTTTCATTCTACTGTGGAGCAAGCAAGGAATGGTGAATAATTTTGGGAATTTCTTGTGAAGCTACTTGGGGAAGTAGAGGAAATAGTTTCCAGGGTGATAGCTCAAATCAGGAGAGCTTGATTTACTGTAAACCAACTCATGACAACAAGTTATGACACTTGTTGGTAAACTTCCAGCATTACATGGGAATCACACAGTGACACCCTTGTATCCTGTGCTGAAAGCGTCTTTCCAGGGTTACCACGGGGGTTAAGCTGGACAGTGTCAGAACCACAAACGGATGTGAACATGTTTATAAAGAACGCCAGTTACCCAAAAACTAAACATTATGAAGCCTGAAAAGAGGGAAAAATATATATGAATGACAATTGCTGTTGTTAGTTTCAGCCTTGGTTTTATAAACAGTTACTGAGCCATTAATTATCCATAAAGAAAAGTGACATGTGCTTTTATTTAGGCTCATTATGTTTTCCGTGACTCATGGAAGTCACATTTTTTTTCTCAGAAATCATAAGACAGAGAGTTCTTTGGAAACTTCCTTTGCCCTCATCTTCTATCCACTGAAGTCTCACTTAGCTGCAGATCAGATCCTGCAGACAAAGAGGAGACTAATACCATTTTATGGCAGCAAGTGTCCTTGGCAATTCCGGTGTGGAGTGTCTACACTGTTGGTTGGGGGGAAGTCGGTATCAGTTTATGTAGTGTGGTCTAATTTTCCCAAAAGGAGGGGTCACTGTCATGAGAAGAGATGAGCTCTGATGACAGCATTGCTCTTTTGTGCACTGTTTTTGTATGAAGTGATAACATCATATGTCCATACTATTTCATTTTCAGACATCAATGAATGTAAAATGTTCCCCAGCCTTTGTACCCATGGAAAATGCAGAAATACCATTGGCAGTTTTAAGTGTAGATGTGACAGTGGATTTGCCCTGGATTCTGAAGAGAGGAACTGCACAGGTAAACTGCATGGGTATCTCTCTCATAACTTTGAATTGAGAAGGAAAAACTGAACTCCTTTGAAAATCCCATGGATGTGTTTTGTGTTACAGATATCGATGAATGCCGCATCTCTCCTGATCTTTGTGGCCAAGGCATTTGCGTCAATACTCCTGGAGACTTTGAGTGTGAATGTTTTGAAGGCTATGAAAGTGGATTTATGATGATGAAAAACTGCATGGGTATGTTTCTTATAGACCTTAGATGTGCAATAGTATGCTATGTACAGATATGCTATGCATGGTTTATTTTGGGGGTTTTTTTTAAGGTTTGATTATGCCTGGATTTAAGTCTCTCTTATTTTGTGAGTCTTATTAAAGCTAACTTTAAATGCGAATTTGCTACTTTGGCAAGTTGCCAAAGCATATATAAGCAAGGGACAGGATTTTAGGATGCTAAATTTATTCCCACGGTCCATTTTGCTAAGTGGGACACCACCCTGATCTTTGCAGTTAGAGTAGATTGAAATTTAGAAGAAGCCTTTTGGAATTAATTTTATTTTATTTTTTCAACTGCACTGTGGGGTAGGGGGTGACTGACTATAGGAAAGGCTTCAGAGTGGATCAAGGCAGATGATGCTGTGATGGGTCCCAGGCTGTGGTGAGGGATGGGCTGAAGCTGTGGCAGTGCTGGCCCTGCAGTGATGCACCTCCCCTTCTCCCCACAGACATCGACGAGTGCCAGCGCAACCCCCTCCTCTGCCGAGGCGGCACCTGCATCAACACAGAGGGAAGTTTTCGGTGCGATTGTCCTCCAGGCCATCAGATATCACCAAATATCTCTGCATGTGTAGGTGAGATGTGCAGGCAAAATCGATACTGTGTGCAGCATTTTATACCACTCTTGTGCTGTGCATTTACAGTGTTTGCTTTAGTACCATCTTCCTGCAGCCCTGAAAGGTGTTCCTCTTTTTCTTTTGCAACAGACATTAATGAGTGTGACCTGAGCACCAACCTGTGTCGAAATGGCCGTTGTGTCAACCTGATTGGAAAGTACCAGTGCGCTTGCAACCCTGGGTATCAGTCCACACCTGACAAGTTATACTGTATTGGTAAGGACAAAATCTACATGGGAAGATAAAACACACAGAATTGTTTCACTTTAGTAGTTACATAAAGACCTTATGAACTGTTATTCAAAAATTCTATTAGAGTCTGTCAGAATAGTATGCAAAACCCCCAAAATGTGCACATCCATTATTGGGGCAGTGCTAGAGTTAGCTGTGTAGGAGATTATTTTCTCTAGTAATTCAATCATGATGCATAAAATTGCATACTATTTTTAATGGCCTCAAACTTCAGACTTTGATCATTAAGAGGGAATAACTTGTTAGATTAGTTCTATACTTTATTAAAAATTATTATTACAAATCATCATTCCTGACAGACCACAAAGTAGAATCATGTGGTTCAGTTACATATGTACATTTTTCCGTGCCATGGAAATACGTGAAAAATCCATTGGCTTTAATTCTGCCTAGTAATTTTTTGCCTTGATCCTTACAAAAACTTTATTGCTCTAATGATACTATGGTAACCCAGCAGTGGTATTTCTATATGTAGAAAGAGAATGATTTGTATATGCAGTCAGATATCATCCCTAGTTTGCATCGCATCCCTCCCAGTGTCTATATTTGCAAACACTTGAAAGTTCAAGTAATGTGCAAATGCCAGGTGTAGATTCTGGACTGATGCTGTTCTGGAAAGCTGACTCAAAGTGTGTTCTTGAAGTAAAAGGTATTGTGGGTTTTAACTGTAATTTTCTCCTTTTCAGATATCGATGAGTGCAGTATAATGAACGGTGGCTGTGAGAACTTCTGTACTAACTCAGAGGGCAGCTATGAATGTAGCTGTAAACAAGGCTTTGCCCTCATGCCAGACCACAGGACATGCACTGGTAAGGGAGATTTTGGGAACTTTTCTGCTGGGAGGGTTTATTTCAGTAGTTTAAAAATGGACCTTCTTTTTAAGATTAAAGGCATTGTAACAAATACATTATTAAAAAAAGAAAATACATGGAAAGTGAAGTTCTTTTTCTAAAGTAAACATCTCAAAAGTATCAGAGTTGGACAACTGCAGACTGAATTGCTTTGAAGGGAATTAATTCTTCATCACTTCAGAAAGTTGATTTTGAATTTCATAACAAAAAGCTGTAGTTTTTTCAGTAGGAGATAAATTTTCTCCCTTAAGGTATTATTTTAGATCAAAATCCAAAATAGTCGAAGACCATGAAAAAAATTATCATGAACAGAAGCTGAAATGCTGTGTATGTGTATTGTATGGTTATATTGGAGAGAGAACAGACAGAAAAGCTAGAAAAGAAGCTGATTGCCCTGTTCTGTGGTTGTGTGGTATCTGCTCTTAAGCAAACAAGAAAATTCCTATTTTTAATTCTTTGTTTAGTCAAATGAAAGTATCCTGCATTACTTCAGAACTGACTGACTTGCAGAGAAGCTGAAATGTGAATAGTATGAATCTTTTTTAGGGAACAGCTCTTTTGCACTCTTAACAGGGCTGGTGAGAAAATTTTCAGAGCTCTCTTATGGCCGGGCTTTCTCCTTTGGGAGCCTGGGAGTCATAATCCCAGGAAGTGAATTGGACTTGGTGATTTCCACATAGGTTACTGGAAAGATGAATCTACCCTACTTTTCTTTTATTTCTTGCTTCACAGCACTGGCCCGCTGAGGCATGGGAATATTTGCCAGCTGTTTGCCAATTCCATCCAAGAGTTCTTGAAGAGCATGAGAATTATAACAGGGTTAATCCCTTGGAATAGAATTGCCTTTATAGTTGAACAAATAGAGAGTTTTCTATACTGAATTAATAGAGAGAGCTCACATTTAGAATTTGTAAATATTTATAGGCCTCAGACCAGGGTCTCAATTACCCTGAGGTCACTCACTACCATTCCAGAAGATAAAAGAGCCTTTAAGCAGAGTAAAATGTAGTTTCCCCACACATTGTAGCTTGCACTGTCAGAAAGATGTCAAGTAGCCAACCTTCAGCAAGCATCAGAATTCAACTAGGAAAAGGGAAGATTTGATTGAGCCTGAAATTAATTATTTCAAAACTTAATATATTTAGATTAGAAGTAGTTTGCTTTAGCTCAAGTTTCTAGAAAAGGCAAGCTTTGGTGTTTGGGGCACTTTTTCGGTGCAAAAATAAAACTAGTTGATCAAAATTGTGCATCAGCCAAAATCTGAACCCAAGTGACAGGATTAGAGTGACATGAGACAGAAGGGAGGAGGGGAGCTGAGGTCTCTGAGCCACTTTTCTCTTTTCGTCTTCTTGGCTTGACTGGGGACTAAATGACCCAAGTATACACTTGGACAGTCTTAGGGATCTCAAGTCTGCTGGCTAGAAGCAGTTCTGTGCTTTAACACATCTCTGAATTCAAAACCAGAGCAGATAATTTAGAGCACCTTCCTTCATATTGAACTGAAAACTGTAATAGAAAACTACTATCTTTCCCTTCTCAAAGTTAAAACAAAAGGAAGCTGTGGGGAGGAGATGGATTCTCCATGGTTTTGTCCACACAGTAACTTGACCATAAACATGTCCATAGAAGTTTGTAGTAAGATCTTATCTTAGCTGTGAGTTTTTACATATTTATATCCAGCCTCGACTCTGAAAAATAGAATTTCATTCAGAGGTCAGCCAGTAATAGCTATTAGCTATTAATTTTCATAGTCTCCTCTAATAAAGACTTGAGTGCAATAGCCACACATAAAAAATTTTGAATATCAGAAATACCAGACACCTTTGAATGTCAAGACAAATGTAAGAAAACATCCAGTGATGTGAGGGGTCATCTTCACTTCCCTTTTAGTATCTAAAATGCCGCTGCCTTCTCTTGAAAAGATGTTTTTTACATATGTAAACGTCTGGTGAATATTCAAAATCTGCATGCTGAAATTTTGCCTCTGCCCAAAGGCACCCCACTGAGTGAAAAATAAGAATAAAAATATTTGTGACATTTTCTTCTCATCTATGTTAGATGTCTGTGCTTGGTGCAAGATATGGCAGGACTGTGACCTGCGTATGTGAAACACCTATTTTACATTTTCAGTTTTCTCTCTGTGTGAACATGTCTTTTATCTTTAACATCACACGATGCTGGAAGCCATCACAGAATATATTTCTTGATAATTGAGCTGGTAAGAATGCTGTGCAGTTCAGTAGTAGGTCAGGTTTGAATTGGTGAGGTTATGCATAAATAATCAGCTCAATTAGGAGAAACAACAGATTCTTTGTCAGCTGATTTTCCCCCAACTGTGAAATCAGTACAGTGACAGGTTAGTAAATAAAGTTCTTTATTTCAGTCATCGTTATGTCCATTTCTGGAGCTTAATTTTGCATGTTAATTCAAATTCCATTCCAAATTAACATTTTCAGGCTAATGTCCATGCCAGTATTATTTGCTTGTTAAGATAAACAGGGACTGGTCAGCCTTCTTCCTTGCAGAATTTGTGTATCCACACAAGCACTGACTGCTAGAAATACAGCAGAATAATGAACATAATATTTTAAATTAAAGTGAGTTCATTTTCTGCAGCTGCATAATTACTGCAATCCACAATAGACTGCTCTGATAATGAGTTACACCCTTTCTCTTGGAGAGGATTCCTGAATCTTGTCCTTTTTGTGCTGATTTTTTTCCCATGGTATCACTAGGCAGAGTTTCTGATTTTTGCTCTTTCTAGTCTATGTTGGTGCTGACACAGGGAGATTCTAGAGATTTTTACAAGGAACACTAACATAACCCCAGGGGCTCTGAAAGATTCCAGAACTTAGCATGGCTGCATTAATATAATAAAGTATCTGCTTCTGCCACTTGGCCCCAAGCAGTGATGGCCAATTTCATGAACTGAGAAAACAACTCACATCCTAGAGGCCTGACCAGTCAGATGAGATGCTAAAAAAGACCATAAAAATCTCATTGTAATAATGTATGTGCTGTAATTATTCCTGGGTTCAACTCTGTGTTTCCAGTTTGTCACCACCCTTGAGACCTGTAGGGATATTTTGCATGTATGATAGCTTTTTAAAGCTCTGTAAAGTTTGATATTTTTTGTCACTGAAATTGTCTTCAGAGCTTCCATCAACTTCAACAATGATGGATTATATCCAAGAATCCCCAGTTATATGTGGCCAGTGCGGTGTGACAAAGGTTCTGTTGGGATTCTTTTCTCTGAAAGAAAAGTTGGTTCCTGTTGCCACTGGAGTCAGAGGGGAATGTTTTGCCACTGACTTTAGCTGGAGATGAAGAGCTTACTCACAGGGACAATTTTGCAATGTACCACTCAGTTATTGCAAGGATTCAGTCTTCATCATGTGCATCAGAGTGTTAAAATGGTTACTTTGCCATGATGATGGTTAATTGCTTTCTGTAAAGGTAACGTATTTTAATCTGATTTTCCCCTGTAGATATTGATGAGTGTGAAGACAATCCTAACATCTGTGATGGAGGCCAGTGTACAAACATCCCAGGAGAGTACAGGTGTCTTTGCTATGATGGGTTCATGGCATCTGAAGACATGAAGACTTGCATAGGTAAGTGAAAGTAAATATATTCTAATTTGCATCAAATGTGGAAGAAGTATTTATTAAGACACTCTTTCTAAATCATCATCTAAATAGACAATGATATTTAAAGAGTATTGCTCTTATCTCCTAATTTTGGCCACCTGACCTTTGCACCTGAACACCTGACTCTTGCACAAATGCAGATGTAAGCCCTGCAGGTTGGGATGCAGACATGATGCTCTGTGAGGTTTTTATGCAGCTCAGATAAAAAAGTGCTTGCAGGAAGGAAGTGCTGGTGAATGATGCCGAGGAAAATTTCTAGCAAGAAAACCACCAGTGCTGTTTTAAACTTGTCTCTAGGACAAAACTATGTGCAAGTCTTGTACCTTGGAAGAATAAAGTCATGAAACAGTATGTCTCCAAAACCACACACATTTGAATTAAAAATCTTGAGCGTATTTGGGGAGAAACATTTGACAAAACTAGGCAATGTATGCATGCGTGTATAAATGTATACACACACACACATGTACCTAGAAATTATCAATAGTCATAGTCATTCTTTGAATAATGTACTGAATCTTAGTGTCTATTTTTAAGAAAAGTTGGAATTAAAGGTATGTTAATACAGATATGGTAATTTAGCATTGTCATCCCAGATCTCAAAATGTACGCTAGGTAAGGAATAACTAACCTGAGCAGTTTTTTTCTTTGCATGTATAGATCCACTTTTTGTACCAAAACTCATAACTCAAGAGATTCTGCCAAATACTTTCTAAGAATTTTATTAATAAATCTTAATTCACGGGTTTTTTTAGATGTTAACGAGTGTGATCTGCATCCAAACATCTGTCTGAGTGGAACCTGTGAGAATACAAAAGGCTCATTTATCTGTCATTGTGATATGGGATATTCAGGCAAGAAAGGCACAACTGGCTGCACAGGTATGATTTAAAGTTTAATTTTTATTTAAACTTGTGAGTCTGCTTTTCTGGTGTTTGGAACCTTCTCTCACTGTGCTTCTTTTCACTTACGTGTGCTCTTTTTGTACCTCTCATCCAAATTTGCTGAGCTTGTGTTCTGCTAATCTTCAGTGGTACAGCCTGATGCTGCTTCTGCTGAAATGAGTGACAAAATGTCCATTGGGAACGTAATTGGGTGTATCACTGTGTTGTTGTTCATCTAAGAGAACAGCAAATGCCATTATCTGTACCTTGACAAACTCCCGAGGACCTCAGTGTGTTTGGATTAGTTAATTGTACACTATGCAAGTAAATAACAGGTATGTGTCCAAAGTGTTATTTGGCAAACACAGATGCCTTGAAATATGTGCTAAAATATATTTTCAATTTTTGCAAAGTGGCGACAATACAGTTACACAACTGCATTCTATCAGCAAAATCAGAATCTGCTTTATTCTGTGTATTGCCAGCAAACAGAAATGAGATTCAAATATACAGGCTCTGAGGGTATGATACTAATAATCTGAGTGCTGGTGTCTCAAGCCAAGGTGTTGAGAGTCTCAGACTCTGCCCAAATATGAATGCAAACATATGTTTAATATAATTTTTAATGTAGACTTAGGGTAAACATATTTCTGGCAGTGTCTTTGAGACACACTTTTATTCTTAATCTGCCCTTATTGTACAGAGTTAATAATATGCTTCTTTAAGTGCCCCAAATACATGAAGCTGTTTTTTTACAGCTCTCATAGAAAAATCTGAGAGCTGGAGTTTTACTTTGCATATTGGACCGTGGACAAATAGTTGTGCATTCGTAACAGCTGCCTTTGACTTACATATGAACTGACCTAAATCCAAGAAATCCTTAATTGTACCCTGTAGACCAACATTTCAATGTTCTTTGTTTCTGTGCTAAATTATATGAAGATCTTCAGGACTCTAGACCTGAAAGCCCTCGCGCTGATCCGTTACACATGGCGCAGACACCGCTCCCAGCAAGGAGCACTCAGGGAGGAATGAGCAACCAGTAGTAGGCAAAAGACAGAGAAAGGTCATGGAGGCAGGGGAGGAATCTGAGGTATGACTTCTGGGGAAGTGCCTGGAAGCAGCCACCATTTTGGCATGATGTGATGCAAGGTAGTGGCAAATATCCCAAGCAGTGGTTTTTTTTGTTAACAGAGAGGTCAGGAAATCCTTCCCTCCTGGCCCCAGCCAAGCCCAGACCTCTGGACGGACACTGTCTGTCATGTGGGCTCTTCCCACCTCCTTGCATATCATTATCTTTCCCCACTGCTTTTATCTACATGCTGATGTTTCAGAGAGGATGTCACTAACTAGGAAAAACAGCAGAACACTTTAATTACAGCATAGAGATACTATAGAGGGGCTCAGTAACTTGAAAGAGCCCAGTGTTCTAAGATAAAAAGTTGAAGTATCAATTATGCTGATACAACTGAGATGGGACCATACTCAAATCACCAAAATCTTTTGTATTTAAATAAGAAAACAGGAAGCAGAGTGGGAAGTTTCTAGTTTGGTTTCATAATGAAGAAACTGGTCCCATTGCAACTACAGCATGCAGGTTCTCACATTCTGTTTTTTAAAATGTCTGATCTGCTGCTGGAGAACATTGAGTTCCCACTTCATGTTTGCACAGTATTTGAGCAGAATTGAAGTTCCCAGGCTCAGGTACTGCAGACCATGGGAGTGTCCTTCAATACTGCTTCTGCAGGGACCTTGCCAACAGCACCTTGACCCCAGGATTCAGTTCTTGTCTTAGACAGATCAAAAGCATCCCCAGTTTTTAGGAATTCCTATGGAAAAAAAAAATTACAAAAACGTGTACAGCACTTTGAATGGGAGATTCTCTGTTTCATGAGAACAACTAAATAATGTCCTTTGGGTTCCATTACAGTTTTGTCTAAATATTTCAGCTCCCTTGTCATTACTGACTGTTTCCACTTTAACAAATAAACTTGTTTTTTTTCCCCCCAATCATTTAACAGTATTCAGAATCCACCCACTGACTTACATTCCCATCCCACACAGATGTTAGTTCTCCCCTCTCCATGGTTCTCAATAAGAATGTGGACAGAATGTAGTAACAAAAACACAGTTTTTAAACTATTATGCAAAACTATACATTGTAGATGCAGGTTTCCAAGATCAAGTGCTACAAATGGTTTAATTTCCATTCACAGGGCAGACTGTGATAATACTGACTCAGAGCAGTTCATTTTACATTTTTCTAGGCAGGCAATAGTGCATAACCACTAGAGAGAAGATTGCTATGCTTTCTCCTCTCCTGGTTCCAGATCGCCCAGCTTTATGAGAAATATCTTGTCTGCACTTTTCCTGTCAATAAAGTAGATGTGTATTTGTGCAGAAATTAAATCCTGGTTTGGCACTTGAGCTTGTATTTTGTGATTCATCACCACTCTGGAGTGCTGCCTGTAAATTTGCAATATTTCACTGTTGATGTAGAGCCTTAGATTTAGTTGCTCTGATATTTTCACAGGGAAACAAATCCTTCTCTGACTCTCTCCCATCCATCCTTGCAGTTATGGCTGTGTTCACAGCCCCCCTGTTTGCCCCTGGTGGAGTCGGGCTGGCACGAGCTTCGGGCACAGTTTGTCTCTTCAAAGAGTCAAACTGAAGGACGTGAACTTGGCGGCAGAAGGTGCCCGACATGGTCATCAGGTCAAAAATAAATGTGCTTTACCAGTCAGCTGGATTTCTCCACAGCAGGCTCAGGGAGTTGGAAGGCTGAGATTAGGCTCTGACTCTGCAAGGGCCATGCTGGTGCCCTTTGGAGAAAGGCTAGTAGAAAGTGTTCAGTTTGATGTGGGGTGTGAGCTTGAAGAGTTTGGTCTTGAACATGACCTGCTGTCATCCAGTAATGATAACATTAGTGGATGCAGGAGCAGTGAGTGCACACTGCATACTTGCATGGCTGGCAATAACTTGATTCTAAGGAGGTCAGACATCTGATTCAGTGAGAGGAAAAGGTGAGCCTGTCCTTGGCCCTCAGAAATAGATCCGTAGTATTTTGTAACTCCGTGTGCTCTCCTCTACATTAGTGGCTTCTGGCCATTAATAATACCTTGTGTTTCAGTCTTGATGGCACAAAAGAGCTCTGGTCTCAATGAAGCACACATCTGCCCTTATGAATCTGGGAGCTGGCTGTGTCAGGCCAAATACCAGAAGATAACAATGCTGAGATCTGCCCGCCAAGGAGGGGTATTACAGAAGGAGCACATTGAGAGCAGGCGTCTGTCCAGCAACAACACGCTGCGCCCCAGCATGCTGATGATGTAAGGATGGATAGCAGGCAGGGGCTGAACCTCCCCATGTGAAACTCCAAGAGGTGCTTATTGTACAGTATGCTGAATAAAATCCAAGAGTGGTTCTAAAAGAGAAAACAATTTTACGTGTAGAAAGATCAGAATAGGGGAATTTTTCCATGTATTTTTCTACCTGTATGAGCACCAAGTTGAAATTCACAGTCTTTTCCCTCTGAAAAGCCTTCCCTTTTCCTACCTGATTACATGGGCAGCAACCCAGGAGGAGGAAATGCCTTGTGACTTCCACCAGACGAGTGGCCCTTTGGGAATTGGACCCAGGCTCGAAATACCAGTGAAACGTCAGGGCGATAAAATGCACAGATATGCAGAGACTGCCAAAGAATGTAAAAGTCAGAAACTACTTAAGGGATTTGCATAATTCCTGACAAACGGTACTGATTTATAGGCGGAGTCTGAATTAAATTCACAGTTTGCTAAGGATCCTTATAGACCCTTGAAGCCCCATGAAACCTAACAGAAAATGGTACACAGAGTACCTAGAGGATTTCACACCCAGCTATGAACATTTTCTTTAGTTAATGTTCACTCTCCTCTGTTCAAATGCAAAGAAATGACTTGAATGTTTCTAGGATGTAGGTGAGAATACAGTGACTTATCCCCATGCTTCTGTCTGGCTAACTTTAATGATCCACTTCCAGACTGTGAAGGGATGTGCTGTGCAGATACTGGCTATTGATTTCTTTCCTTTGCTTGCCACATTTGCAAGCATAGTGCCAACATGGCAGGTATATTTGACATGTATTTTTGCTGCATATCAACAGCCCTAAAAATTTGTGCCACTGTGATTAATGGGAGAGGTGCTTCATTAATTGCCAAAGACTTGAGAGAAAAAAAATATTTGTCCAAAGAAGAGAACTGAAGAAGCCAACAGAGCAGGGTGACTGACAGGTTTTTTTCCCCAGAGTGCTTGGGATTGTTATGATGTCAGACCTGCATATTATTTATCGTGCGTATTCTCATCTGTTGTAGGCAGACAACTCCCTTAGTATTAATGGGAGTTGTGCAATTGCAAAGCTGAGAACATGTGTGCAGCAGGACTGGGGCACAGTGGGACTGGCTGAGGATGCAGTGTCAGTCTTGGATTGGAATGTCTTTATTTTCCTTGGCTTGTCACGGACTCATACTGGAGGCAGAAAGAGAAGGTTGATATAAATCAGTGACTCACTCCTTTACTCTTCAGTGAAAATCCCCATGAAGTCAGTGGGAATAGGCCATCATTGTGTGAAACCCTGACTTGAGTAGTGTCCTCCTGGGTGCTCTTTGGGTCATGATACCTTTACTCAGACCAAGTAATGCCTTTGTCTTCAAACAATCAAATGAAAATAGCTGGAGTATTTGAAGAGTGTAGTACTGTTTGTGCTGCCATGCAGACAGAACAGGCTGGACTCATGCTCTTATTAAAGATATTTATATTGAGTTAATTTTTCCCCAGTAGAGCTCAAGTTCTCCTTTCTGTTTCATTCTGTGAAGCCATAATTCAGTACTTATGGCAACATAAATCCATATTAAGCTCCACTATAACCAGGCATAAATTCCATTGATTTCACTGCCCCGTTTACACAGTACTGTGTTTGGTCTGAGATCTCTTTTGCCTTGGAAATAATTGCAATGCAATAAATGTAGGCTTACAACTCAACTGTGCAATGAAAGGAGAGAATAGGGATTATAGCAAAACAACATCTGAATTAAATGCAGGTAGCTTTGAAAAGAAGTAAAACCTGGGATGAAACCAGTGATGGTATTTTGTATGCCTCAATCAGCTTTCATTTAAGTATCTGAAAACCTTTCCATGCATCATGGAAATAAGCCCTGCAATGTCCCAATAAAGGTAGATAGTATTAGAAAATACATTTTGCATTCCACTTTTGATCTTTACCCAGACAAAACACATCGAAATCTATTGAAAACTTTTCCTGGAAAAAAGCTGAGAAGGATTTCAGGATTTTGTTCAAAGTAAGTGGAATGGCATTTCAGTGGCTGATCTCTGAGAAAGCTGATCCCATTATAAATACTTGGATATAGATTTGTACTTGCAACTTTCATCCCACAGAAGATTCCAAGCTTTTTAGTGTGTGTGTGTGTCAAACAGCTGATGGGGGAACGAGTGTCCACTGTGAGGGCACCAGTGTCATGGTGCTGCTGTTCCACTGGGAGGTGTTAATGGGGGCTCTCTGGTGCAAAGTGTCAGTGGGTCAGTGCAAGGTGGGATGGAGTCCACAGTCACTTTACAGAGAGTGGAAAACTTGGCTTAGTTTGTCTTAAATTTGAGTCTGAGCATGACTTCATTGCGGTGTAGCTGTTGCATGCAAGTTTCTGTTTGTGTTTGCTGGTGGTTTAAAAAAATTCTTGGCAGAAACCTCTCTACTGATGATGGGTTTTTTGTGGTGTTTTGTTGTGCTCTGCAGGGTATAAGGAAACTTGTGATTGTATGTTTCAAAGCATCAAATAATCAAATGCAGTGAAGGCTTAATGTTAGCAGTGGTTTAACAGTTTGGGTTTTAAAATCATGTAAAGGTTAAACTATAGAGTGTTTGTCTCGGCTTTCTTGTATCTTGTATACTGTAGTTGACCTCTCTAAATTCCTTCTACTCTTTCCCTTCAGACCAAGCCAATATGAGTTGGGTTTTTTCCTGACCACCCTTAAGATTTTTGACAGACTCTAGTTTCCTGTTTAGTGTGATGTTATCTTCATATGAGTTTCTGCACATGCTAAAGGCAAATCTACTCTGACCCTTTTTTTGAGGTTACATACGAAAGGCAAATCTGCTCTGACCCTTTTTTTAAGGTTTAAAAAAGTAAGTATCCATTTGCATGTTTTCAGGCCTGTTGGTGCAGTCAACATTCATTAATGGTAGATTCCAGCTGCCACATTTAGATCTATATCTAGACACCAGCATTCAGATTATGGGAATGTTCATGTCTGGGGTTTTGATTCATAGCAATGCCTCATTTAGAAAGAGACTCAGAAAAGGAAGATTAGATGAAATTCCACTTATGCAGACTTTAAACAAACTCCAAAAAAACAAAAGCTAACCAACCAATACCAAAAAACAAACAAACAAACCAACCACAAAAAAAAGGCCCAAAATCCCAACAACAAAAACCCCCAGGCAAACCCCAAACCCACCAAACAAAAAAACCTCCAAACCAACAGTGGGTTTGGGTATTTTCTGGCCTTATGGGTATTTAATTTTAGGATGATGGACAAATATTGTCTGCTTTTCAAAGTCATGTGTTGCCTTTGTGAGAAGGCAAAATATGTGTACAGGGCATAGAGAAAGGACACAACCTTTTGTCTAGAGGAGTGTGGGCAGAAAAACCTGAGAAAGAGTTACGAAGGAAATGATTAAAATCATAGCTGGACACTTTTTCCAATAGCTCCACAATCATGCCCTCTTTAAAGAGCTAATTTTTATTAGGCAAGATGATAGGGAGACTCAAATCTCTGATTTTGGGCCTGAGAACCCCAAAGGTTGTTACATGTTTGATGGCTGATGCCTTTCTTAATCATCTTCTTGAGAGGGGTCAGAGCTGTGGTTTTGTCTGTGGAATCATGCAGTGTTTGTGAGCTTGTTTTCCCTTTCCATGAGCTCATTGTACAGAATGAGATGATTTGGCTTACTGCAACATCAAAGGCACCTGGGAGGGCTAAAATATTGATATAAATTTTAAGTGGCTTGATATGAACTCTAGATAATTTGCATCCTGCGTGGAAGTAAAGCACAGTTAGAGAGAACTCAGTTACAGAAAACACCATAAAATCCATAGCTCAGATGTGCAAGAAAATTCCTGCCAGTTTTGTTGTAGTTACCAGTAATAATTTCTGAAAACTTTGCCTTTGAGTTTATACATTCTCCAAGTACCTACATGGGGCATTAATAATGTTTTGTGAGAAGGAAGAATGGAGTTCAGTTTGGGTTTTGCAGTCTATACATCATGATATTGCCAGAGAATGACCAAGAATGAAAATAAGGTGAAAGTAGCAAGTACTGAAATAGAATGTGCTGGCATGAACGTGTGTGTTGCAGATTGGATGAGTTGGTGTCTTCAAGGGTGCTGACTTTTTTCCACTGTTTTCTGAGGTTTCCTGAGTTCCTTGTAAACACAGCCCATCCTCCACCTTCCACACAGCGTCTGGCAAAGCTTCATGAGCTTCCTGGGCTTATCCTAGGAGGAGTTTGTGAGTGGTGCCTAGCTGGTGTTCATCAGCATCCATGCAGATACAATGGGTGTTTCTGGGAGTGCTGCATTCCAGGAGACATCGGGCATTAGAGTTGCCTCTGAGACTTTTTAGCAAACCATGCAATGTAGAGCCACCAATGTAGTCCCTCTCTGCAGGCTTCAGGATGGACAGATTGGAAAAACTGTCTTCTGAGTTACTGTTTTCCTCCTTGAGTGTAAAAGTTACCAGGCTTTGAAGTGAATTGCAGAAGTACTGCTTTATATGCCTATGAGAAGAATAGGTAGTGGGGCAGCATGTCTGAAATATGCCACATGCTTCTTTGCTTTTCTTTACTTTTCTTTCTTGTGATTTTATTTCTCTTCTGCTTCATTTCTAAAAGTCATGTTGTATGAAATGCAGGCTTGCTTTCGTGTTCACTTTGACTTTCTTGAGAAATTCCCGTGTCACTTATCTGGATATGAGAAAGTGTGATCCATGAGCCTCTCAAACATCTCTGTGTTTTTGCAGATATCAATGAGTGTGAAATTGGAGCCCATAACTGCGACAGACACGCCATATGTACAAACACAGCAGGAAGTTTCAAATGTAGCTGCAGCCCTGGCTGGATTGGAAATGGTATCAAGTGCACAGGTGAGGGTCATATGCATTTGTATTTATTTATAAGGCTGGGCCACAGTGGGGTTCTAGCAATTCTGAAAAAAAACCATACCACACCTATAAATTGTGAAGAAAAGTGGTTATCAAACTTGTTAGGTCGATCTGACATGATCTGTTAGAGGACAAATTCTCCACCATGGTAACTGTGAAATCAGCATTATCTCATATTTGGCTTGTGAAATTGTGAGAACACAGCAAATTCTGTGATTCTGTGACCATGGAGAGAGATGCTGTGTGCTTGAGGGCAACTGATGGCAAGCAGTGAGAAGTCTGCTGGTGCTCCCCGTAAAAACAAGGTACAGGTCTTAGTATTGAGTGCCCTGCAGCTTCCTCATTCACAGTTACCTTGTCAGACTTTTTGATGTGCTACAAATAAACTGTTCCCCTCTTCTTCAGTCAGATGACCTCACATATTTGTGGGTTTTATTATGGAAGATGATTTAAAGTGGAGCTTCTGTGTGCCATACGCTATTTAAAATTTGTATTCATGGTATGTTTTTTTTAACTAATGTTGGTTTTTTTCTTTTCTTTTTTTTTTCTTATTTTATTATTTTAAAGATCTGGATGAGTGCTCCAATGGAACCCACATGTGCAGCCCACATGCTGACTGCAAGAATACAATGGGCTCTTACCGCTGCCTCTGTAAAGAAGGTTATACTGGGGATGGCTTCACTTGTACAGGTGAGCTTCCCTAGGAAAGCATCAGATGACCTCCAGTGGTCCCTTGCAGCCTAAGTTAGTCTGTGATCCAATACACAAAAATAGCTTTTCAACATTTGAAATTATGCACTAATATGTCATCGTTCATTGTCTTCTCCTTCCCCTAGGTTGCCATAACTTGAAAGAAATACTGTATAGTATACCTAGTCTAAATCAATCATTTTTTTTCACTTGATAAAATGCAATTTTTCATTGAGCTTTCCTTGTTAGTTGGCGTGAGTGGCAAAATTATTAGAACAATGCTTGATCGTGTAATTTGGCTAGTTAGTAAACCAGTCCATTGGCCCCTCACCTTAATACTTCAATAATAGGGCATATGCATTAAAATTGCTTCATAAAATTGCCTAAAAATATCAGTTCTTTCCAGAAGTGAGTGTGTGCTGTCTGTCTTTACTACATCATCCTGAGAGATGGTGTCAGGATGTAGAATGAGGGAAGTAGCTGCTTCAGAAACCTCATTTTATGAACTGTAAATGTAATTATTAAACTTTGCTAGAGAGATGTTTCCCACCCACACTTCAGTCTTCTGCTTTGAAGAGCAGATTAGCTCATTTATGCTTAGTCAGGAGGAGCTGTTGCACTGGGGCTGTCAGTGTTGCTCTGTGCAGGGTGATGCTGTTTGGAGCAGAGCCATGCAGCGGGCAGCTGCTGGGCCAGGTTTTCAGCTGGTGCAAATCAGCAGCACTCTATGAACTACAGCAGGTTTTTATGGCACCTGAGAATCTGGCTCATCAGGTTTAAGGCTGAATTAGAATCAGTCCAAATTATAAGTGAACCCTGGGACTCTGTTTAATTCTCTCCATATAATTTAATCTTGAATCTGACTCAGCTTCCTCAGTGGCCTTCCTAACCCGGTGCTCTTTGTTCATTTCCCATGTGATGATTTCCAGGAGTCCACAAGCTACATCCTTCAGCTGAGTGCTTACCGAGTTTCTGCATTCAGTAGAACTTGAATTTTTTTAAAAATTTGGGTACTTTATTGTTCCTGGATTCAAAAGGTGGCTGGGCCTCCAACTAGAGCATGCAAGTGTTCTGTAGGCCCTCTGCCAGAGTGTGCAGCATTCACCCTGTAGGTACGACTTTTGATTTGCCAGCCATGGACTTTCCAAAGCTCACAGTGCCAGCCAGGCTCTGCTGCAATAAGCAAGTGTTTTTGTGATGTGTAACATTTCAGCTAAAGAGTAAGGGCCATGAGCTGTCTGAAGGGGAGCGTGGTCCAGTAGCAAGGCTGTTTTTCTCATCAGCTGTTAACCTGCAGTTTAGTTTTGATCAAGTTTCTTTTCATGCCACATTTTGTCAGTGTTTTGTATGTTTGGCATGGGCAACTGCCTATTGCCATATGTTTGCTCATTGCACAGTAAACCTCTTTTTTTTTTTTCAATTATTGCCTCTAGGCTCTGCTGTAATAGAAACAATAACTATAATAAATTTCACGTGCTCATTCTGAGTCTAAATTTGACCCTGTGTACTGCCTCCAATTGTTATTAACTGTAGCTACTTTAGGAGTCTGTGCCTCTCTCTGATTTTCCTTTTGATTAGAAGCTGTATTTTCAGCATTTTGGAAATACACTGAGCTGTTACATGTAGTAACCTCTGCTCATAACTAGATTGCAGTTTCCTCTGCAAGTGTTCAGAGGTAATAGAATAGTTGAAATGTTTGGAACACTGCAGCTTCAGCTCACATATGTTGGTGAGAAAACCATATTACTGTAAACTTGCTATTTCTCTTCCTTTTACAGATCTTGATGAATGCTCAGAAAACTTGAATCTCTGTGAAAATGGGCAGTGCCTCAATGCCCCTGGAGGGTATCGCTGTGAATGTGATATGGGATTTTTGCCAAGTGTAGATGGGAAAGCATGTGAAGGTAATTCTCTGTAAGCTTTAAACAATGCTCAACAAATTCTGCCTTATTAGTATTTTATGTTTCAAAAGTTTTACAATTGGTTGCAATTGTGATTGAGGTGAGAATGGCATGAAAATTGTCAGTAGTAGTTGCTTTTTTGGAGTTTATACATTTGTTATGGACCTTTAAGTGGTCATGTACCTGTTGTACCTGCCTTTTCATTGACCATTTATGTCCAGTTCCTCATCTTATTCATAATAATTTAACAGAAAAAGTTGTTACTTTGCATTGGTGTGTATGAAACTGAAAAACACTGATTTGGTAGCCAATACAGTGAACATGCTTTGAGGGCTTCTGTGAGGTGCAAAATCAGAGTATGAAGCCTTGCAGAAAGTTTATATGACCACAACAAAAAAATAAATTCCCATGACTGTTCGGTTTTGAGGGTGAACTGTCAGTTAACTGTTTACAACTCATTCATAAGAGCTTTGCATATAGGAAGATTCAAAACAATCAAATAATAAACATGTTGCCAACATGATTAAGGTCATATATTTGATTTCAGCTTTTGAAATCCTCATTTGATATAACACTAATCAGTTAAGTCAGTCAAGAAGACTTGGCCATATCATCTGACATAGTAATAACTCATAGTAACTGGTATTTGATGGAGTTCATAAGTACATCACTATAAATAGGATTTTCCCCCTTGAAAAGTGTTCTGTGTATTTTTTTAGCAATCTACCAAGTGAAATAATTTATGAGAGTGAATTTTTCTTTAAACTAAACCAATATTAGGTTTCATAACGTTTCATGAAACAATTTACTTTCAGACCTTTTAGCTAAGTTTAAATAGCTTACATAGATCCCAGCTCCTGTTGCTAAAACAGACTTGCCTTGATGTTTCAGATGTGTATGCTAAATGCAGTATTTTAAGGTCCTTTGTAAACACACACTTTTTTATTGTATCAAATTGGTCATTCTTTGTGCAGTGCATGTGGCATTCAGTAAATACTGAATCAGACTCATATGATTTGGACAAAAAGCACAAAAGTGAGCTCTGCTTGCCAAACTTCACATCTGTCAAATATAGAAACCTGAGGATGAACATGAAATTCACCTTTGGACACAAGCTTTTCCCTTGCTGGTGTCCAGCTTTCTGCAGATGATTGCTGACTTAGAATAAACTTCATTTTTTTTTAAAGCATATCTTCTTCTATGTTTAATATTGCTACTTTTCAGATTAGCCCACCAATAAGCTAGGATTGTTTCTGGCATGGCTTCCAGAGATATTGGAAGGAGCCTTTTTCCCCCAGAAAAGGTTATGGAGTAGGTTTCTTAGTCTCCAGCATGTTACTTTTTCTTGTCTTATACTGTGTGCGGAAGCTGTTGGCTTCCAGCTCCATGTTGCTGAACCTTTTTACAGTTCTCTGTCTATGTCTTAAGAAGATAAAGAAACCTCATATTTTTCCTGTCCTATTCCTTTATCAGATATTGATGAGTGCTCACTTCCTAACATCTGTGTCTACGGTACTTGTCATAACCTTCCGGGACTTTTCCGGTGCGAGTGTGAAGTGGGCTACGAGTTGGACAGAAGTGGTGGGAACTGCACAGGTAAAAATTTTGAACAACGTGCTTTTTAATTTTCTGTTAGTGTCACGGTCAGCTCCTTAGGAAATTCTTTTAGAAAGCTATACAGATCAAACTGGATATAGGAAAGTGCAGAGTTGCCTACTGTATAACACGCTTCTCTTTCCTGATCTTTGTCAACCTCTGATATCCCCTTAAGAAAGGGAAAACAGATCAGAGAGAACCCCTCTGGCAGAGATGTGTTGTGCCTTGTACAGTACTTCACAGTACTGGGTCGTCAGCTCTGACCTTGTCTTGTATTTTTCTGTTAAGTATTTTTTTAGTACTTTATGTGAATTCATAAAGCGAATGTGAAAACAGAAGTTCATAGATTGATTTTTCAGGAAAAACACTTGTCACCCTCCTATAAAATGATGTATGCATCTCAGACTACTGTTCTTCTAAAAGGTGCCTTTATTTTTTAGAGCTTTCTGGAGATCAGTATCTCATAACTAATGGATTGTGATGGTCAACATATGGTACCTGATATATCCATGACTTGCACTGTTCTTGAGTATTTGCTTACCACATGCTGTATTTTCTTGCAGATGTTAATGAATGTGCAGATCCTACAACCTGCATTAGTGGCACATGTATCAATACTGCTGGTAGCTACACCTGTGAGTGCCCTCCTGATTTTGAGCTGAATCCCACCCGAGTTGGATGTGTTGGTAAGGGACCACTTGTTATGTTATTTACAGGGGAAGTTCCACAGAGGGACTGCAAGCCCAGCTGCATAAGAATAAGTCCCAGGTCATGGAAAAGGGCCTCAATTCCCATCCCAGTGCCCCTGGCTTAGAAGCTGTAGTAGGGCAGCAGGAGCATGTCCAGAGTTGATGCAGCAATGCCAGCAGTGCCCGGCTGCCAGAACCAACCCTTTGGGGCTTGTTATAGCTGTCCATAATTTACAACAGGCGTAGACAATTTTAAATTTCAACAAACTTAAGCCCTCATCCAGCTGGCCCCAAGATGGCAGGCAAATGAAGTTGTGGCATAAAGCCACCCATGCTCTTGGAGCATTGAGTGCAGCTTGGCTGGGTGCAGCTTCATGACCAACAGAAATATTCTTGTATTCGGCTCCAACTGCTTAGTAATGCTCTCATATTTTTTTGGTTTTGTTTGTTTAAGAGGGTGTAGGGATGCTTCTCAAATTCAAATGTGTTTGAAATTCCTGACACTTAGTAGATGCTTGTTAACCTCAAGGAGAGGAGAAAGCAATGAGTTTCTGGAATGGGAAGGATGTACAAATGTGGGGGAAAACGTGAATGAAAATGAGAAAAGGCCTGGCAGAATTGCCCTTAGTCATGATGAGTAAATTCCCTACTTTGTGAGAAGTCCAACAAAGCCAAGGAATGGGGCACCTGTGTAAGTGGGAAATGCTGGGCCTCCCTGGGCAGCACAACTTACTTGCTTTGGCTGTCCTGCAAGAACTGAGAGCCATCTGTAGGTACCCCTCATCCTAAGATGATGTGTTGTGTTTTGCTCTCATGAAATGTGTTTGTCATTATGTGCATTGTGAATAGATACACGATCTGGCAACTGTTACCTGGACATTAAAACTCGTGGAGATAACGGTGGCACCTTCTGCAGCAACGAGATTGGAGTGGGTGTTTCCAAGGCCTCCTGTTGCTGCTCCCTGGGCAAGGCTTGGGGAGTTCCCTGTGAGCATTGCCCAGCTGTGAACACAAGTAAGTCTGCACTTCCTGGGTTAAACACAGCAATGTCTTAGCTGGAGTTTTTTCTAATTTAGTCGGGTAACTCAAATACTGGGGTAATCTTTTATTGTGCACATGCGGGGGACAGGAGTTCACCAAAAACTTTACTAGTCTTTCAAAAAGATTGCTTAGTCAGAATATTATTATCACTTCTGAGCAACTTTGGTGTTACACCGAAACCTACATTATGAGATAGAATAGCAGTTGATGTTACGGAGTAAAACCTAATAACATCTATGTCTGATTACTTTGTAACTTTACATTTAAATAACCTGTAATAATAGGATCCATTTTCAAAAATAGTTGTGCTGAAAATGTTTCTACTATTGTATGCTCATAAATCTGTTTTGGTTTCAGCTGAATATAAGGTTCTTTGCCCTGGAGGGGAAGGATTCCGACCAAACCCTATTACAGTTATATTAGAAGGTAATGTTTACATTTTCCTATATTTACATGTCTAAAATTATGAAACTCTTTAGTGAGGGTTGTTTTTCATGGAAAAAGCATTAATGAAATGTTTATGGGTTTGTTTGGACAGATATTGATGAATGTCAAGAGCTGCCTGGACTTTGCCAAGGAGGAAAATGTATTAATACATTTGGTAGCTTCCAGTGCCAGTGTCCATCGGGGTATTATTTGAATGAAGAGACTCGAGTGTGTGATGGTATGTAGCCTTCACTTAACTAGTCTTCTGTTTTATTCTTTGAAAATGATGACAGATCAATGTACAGAGAATTAATCCGTCCTTGAAAAGGAGCATAACCAGACTAAGCAGTGTAAAGCTTAAGGGTGGGAAAACTGGAAAAAGTTCAAGTCTTGCACTGAGAGAGTGAAAATTCCATCTTGACCAAGTATTACTGACACATTTTTGTTCTCAGAAGCACAACAACAAAGCTTCTGTGGCCACTCACTCACTGCCTTTATGTTCTCTCCTAGATGTGAATGAGTGTGATACACCTGGGATTTGTGGACCTGGAACATGTTACAATACTGTTGGGAATTACACCTGCATCTGTCCTCCTGATTACATGCAAGTCAATGGAGGAAACAACTGCATGGGTATGTGTTGGGGGTTCTTTAAAGCTTTATCTTAGTGCTTTGGGCCAGGTAGATCATCTTCCCTAAGAGTTGCCTACTGCATTGGCCTGGGGTTTTTCTTCATTTTCACAGATATGAGAAGAAGTCTGTGTTACAGAAATTACTATCCTGACAATCAAACCTGTGATGGTGAGCTGCTCTTCAATATGACCAAGAAAATGTGCTGCTGTTCCTACAACATTGGACGTGCATGGAATAAGCCTTGTGAACAGTGTCCTATCCCGAGCACAGGTACATTTTTGTATTGCAGAGCTATTTGAAAGCCTTGGTAACATCATAATTACTGAGTGTGGTGTTGTTAGTGATGCTATGTCTTTCTCTGCTCTTGTGTGTCTAAAGTGAAGGGATTAGTTAATTTTTTGCCTGGGGGTGATCAGCCCTAGTCACAATGAAGGCGTATGTGGAGTGGTTTGTGTTCGTGCTGCTGGGCTGTGCCACCTTTGTGCCAGTTTCACTGTATTGGAGAGTTCATGCTCTGTGTTGGTTAGTCTGTCTCTGCAAGTGCTTGATGATCCAGTGTTGAGCCACTGACCAAGATTTTGTTGGTATTGCTCCAGCAAATGCTGTGCTGTGCCTCGACTGCTGATTGCCACAAAGGGCCTTTTTGGTAGCCAGGAGTTTACAGACATAGCTTGGTCTTCTCTGAGAATGATCTGTATTAAGCAGCTAAATGTAAGATGTGGGAGTTTCTGTGCTAACTGTAAGGGCATTCAAGACTCCTCCACACTGGATAAGGCTGCAGAGTTGAGCAGGACATCCCACTGTGGTTTAAGGTGGTTTGCTTCAAGAGCAACTTCCTAGACACTTATTTGATTAACTTCCAACTTATAGTTCAGGTTTTTAAAAGTCAGATCTGGACTTGTGTGCAAACACTGTAAGGCACAGAGATAGGCATACACAAAGAAAAACCAGCGTTTTATCTGAATCCCTCTACATTTTTTATTTGCTAATTTCAATGGCCTTTGAATGAGAACCCAAATGCAAACTAAGCACCTAACATGGTGAGTTTGGGAAAGGGGCTGCCTACCTCTTTGTGCCCTGCAGGTGCTGAAAGAGTAGAATTTTCTTGGGCAAAGAATATAATGAATTTTTGACTGTTGATTAATTCCAAGTGCTTTAATCACTGCTTTGTGTTCCTGTTGCAGATGAATTCTCCACACTCTGTGGAAGTCAAAGGCCTGGCTTCTTCATTGACATTTATACAGGATTACCTGTTGGTGAGTTGTAATTTATGTTTTGAACGAAATTCCATGCTACCTCTGCCCAGGAAAGAGGGGAGGTTTGTTTTCCCAGTTATTTTTTTCAAGGGAGGAATGACAACTAAACAGTGTGACCGAGTTCAAGCCTCTGTTAAGTCCGAGCCTGCAAACTTTCTGCCTGGCTACTCCTGGCTGGCAGCAGGGATAGTTGCTGCTTCTAATCAAGGCAACAGACAGCTCCAAAGAAACCGTAACCAGGCCTGAGCAGGGCACAGATACCGAGAATAAGAGGTCTGGGAGTAAGGCCAACCAGCATTTGGTCTGAGAGGAATTGGGAGTCTTTCCTTCAAACTAAAGCAAGATTTAATCTGACATTTCACACCAGTCCCCCTGTGTATTGGTTTGACACAAAAATCCTTTTTTCTGCTCGGCTGGAATATTTCTCACATATGTTATTGTGTGTTACATTTGAATCGCAAGTAACAAATTGCAAAACAAAAAGAGGGAGAGAATGAGGAATTCTAGGACAAGGAATTGAGTAAATCCCTAATGGGACTCCCTTTTGTTTTTATTCACACTAAAATGCAAATAAGAAGCAGATAATGTGCCCTGTAACAAACAGAGGCAGCATATAGGCAGTAATTAGATGCTTTAGCATTAAGCTGTTGCTGCAATGCAGGGTTCAGCTAGTTAGATGGAAATATTTCTAGTAAAGTGGGGAATGTAATTTTTAAAGAAGTTTCAAAAATGTAATGTATTTATTATTTGTGAGGTCATTTCTTGGAAGCAAAATATCCGCTCCTAGGTATTAGCATTATCCCAAATTGTTGCTGAGTCTGCTCAAGCTAATTAGGCCATTCATCAGCATCAGCAGGGAGCCCTTGGATGGTGCTGACATTTACAGGTAAAAGCTGCATCTGCAGTGCTGCCATGTGTGCAGGAGTTTTGCAGTCTGCTCTGTCTGCCCTGCCACAGCTGTGCCACAGTGCTCTGTGTACCCTGTAATATTTGCTTACAATCCTTACATGATGTTGCTCTTCTCTTTGGATTAAAGTTCTAGATAGTTGCTCCAGGTAGTTGTTTCAGAGACAGAAGTAGTTCTATTTTTACTCATCCATTATATATCAGAGGGCTCAGAGTTACAGGATCTAATGTAGGAAATGAGGGGTTGGATCCAGCAGCAACATTAAAAAAAAAAACCAAACCAAAACACAACAACATTATCTGTTGGAAACTCCTGTTAGCTGATAATTTCCCACTGTATTCTGTGTCTGTGTACCTCAGTGCATGTGGCAATGTTTACTAAAGACAGGCTTTGGAGGAGTCTCTGAACTCTGTCATCTTGTCAGAATATTAAGATGTGTAAGGGCCCAATAGGCAAGACATATAATTGCAATAGCAGCTGGGGGTTTTTTCTGCCAAAATCAGTTACTTAACCTGGGTGTATATAGAGCATTGGCAAGCCCCAGCTGCCTGGGTTAATCAATCTAATTAATAATGTGTTGGCAGCACTTCAGATATTACCTGGCATTGGCACTTTCAAATTGTTACATAAACCCATGGAAGTCTTTTCAGATTAACAAGGGTAAAACAGTGCAAAACTAGTTCTGACAAGTGTTTGCATTCAGTCTTGCTCTCCTGTATTAAACCAAAGACATTCTCCCTGTTTGGCTCTTCCCAATAACTCCACTGCAACACTCAGGAAGATGAGGAGGTTCATCAGGGCTGTGGGTGGGAGACATGAGGAAGGACATATGATACCCTCTGCATTCCTATGTGGCAGGATATACCTTTAGTATAGTGAAGAGTCAGAACCAGAAGAAGCAGAAAATACCTACATTTCCACAGTTTGGAATGACTCACTGTCTTGCAGTTGGGAAAATTATGATGCTCTCATTATACATTTAATGATTACCTTAAGGATAAATGCCTAAGGACATATTCTGTAGCAGAAGATTCCATGAAGTGCTCTTTACAAGGATTTAAAACCAATTGTTCTCGCAGATATTGATGAATGCAGAGAGATTCCTGGAGTGTGTGAAAATGGGATCTGCATAAACATGGTTGGCAGTTTCCGATGTGAGTGTCCCGTGGGATTCTTCTACAATGACAAGCTGCTGGTCTGCGAAGGTAAAGTGCTGTTCTCCTGCAGAGAAATGGTGTTTCACCAGCTGGCAATTCACACACCCCCACATCTGAGACACTTGCAAGTCATCTGTAATGAGGGGAAAATACCATTATCAGTGTAATAAGTCTGTGTTAATTCAGGCGTTTTGAATTCTGTTGCATAGAAAATACCAGATTTTCCATCAGACATCTAAGGCCTTGAAGGCACATGAGTCAGCAGTCATGGGAAGAAACATTGTTTTTCACGTTTGACACTAAAGCCAAGAAAAAAAATAGTATTCTTGAGTCAGATCATGAGCATAATTTTTTTAATTCCAAAATATTTTTTTCTAGTGCAACAAAGATTTTTTTAAAAAATATAAACACATGATAATTTTTTTCCAGTTTAAACATTTCCTAACATTGTATTAGTCAGTTCAGTGGAGAAATTGAAAATAGCAGCAGGAACTGCTGTCGTTCTCTGGTGTGGGTTGTGACTGCTGGCAACACGAATGCTGCAAGCAAGGCATCGAGAGCTTTGAGTGAAAGCATCTTCTGTGTGCTGCTTCTAATTGAAATCCAGATGCACTTCTGGGGAGATATACTTCTCTTTTTGCAGCAGCTTAAGTAAGGAAAATCCATCAAAATGTTTTTGCCTAAAATTTTGTGCTGCTGTTTATGTTGAAAGCTTCTAATATCCAGCAGGGATCTTGATGCTCTGTTATGCTCAAGGGAGATCCCCACAGTCTCCAGTGGAGACTGTGCATACACACCAGCTTCCTTATTCTGATCTCAGTCTTAAGACTGAAATTCACCCATGTGATGTGTTGCAACAAGCCTTTCATGGGCCCTCCAACACCACAGAAAACTATTACATAAATTCTCAAAATAGGAATGAATTTTTACAAATGAACCATGGGTTTGGGATAATTTCAGGGAGATACCTAAATGTGCCATAAATATCAACTTTCATCTATATATTTATTTTTTCAGAATTAGAAAGAAATTCCTGTATTTGGGTACGGTAATATTCTTTATACTAAGAAAATAGAGGGTTTTGACGTCTTTCTAGTGCCAGCTACTGTAAATATGAAATTCCTGTTTTGCACTGACAGATATTGATGAATGCCAAAATGGACCAGTTTGTCAGCAAAATGCAGAGTGTGTCAACACAGCGGGCAGCTACCGCTGTGACTGCAAACCTGGCTACAGGTTCACCTCAACGGGTCGCTGCACTGGTGAGTTCCGCTGCCTTGGTCGGGTGAGGGTCTGCAAAAATGAGGAGGTTTGAAAAGTCTAAGGAAAGCCTGTCTCCTTCTCAGAAAGATGCTATACCAGGAGGTGATTAGAGCTCCAAGAACCCTTCTCTTACAGCCTTTTGGGGCATCCTGTAAACATTCTGGTAATTCTGGGCACAACCCACAGATGCATAAATAGGAGTTAAAAACCTAATTAGATGTTTGTCTTTCACTTTATCTCTCCAACCGCAAGCATTTTTCTTTAGCCCGTGTTATGTTTAGGGAGGGAAGACCAATTGATTCACTATCTTTTGGCTAGTTTCTGATTTTCATTATAATTTGCTATATGTGTTTTAGCAATTTATTTTCCACTTGTATTTTTACAAATAACTCACTGCGTGCTGGGGTCTCTACTGATAAGGTAGACTTATCTGCTGGCCTGAATGCAATAACTAACTTAAAAAGCTTATTGTTAAACTTCCCAACTTTGATATGGATTTAAACAGGTCACTGAACATTATTTTTACTCACTGAATGGGACTGCAGTTTTCTAATCTATTTGCTTTTTCTTATAATATCATAGTCCAGTGAGGCATTCATGTTATCTTGCTTACCTGAAGATTTTAAACACTGCTGTGAGCCAAGCTACTGTAAATATTATATGCTATATACATTTCTGAACAAAATAAGAATTACAAGAAAAACTGGTAACCTTTTCCTTCGGTTTTTGGTTCTGAGTACTTGAGTTTTAGGAAGTGCACTTTTCCCTGCAGTGCAGTTTTTCATTGTTTCATGTGACTCTTGAGGGAAAAGGGTGTAGGGGAAATCAGAACTCTACTATGAGAACTAAAGCTTTGCTTTGTTAAGCTATGCAGTGGCACATGTAAATATTCAATATGTTCCTAATGCAATTGTTGTTGTTATGGGTTCGTTACAGCAGTACAGGAAGAGCCAGGGGAGGTTCTGATATGGGTTACAATGCTAAAGATGAATTGGCACAAACAGTAATACTTCCCTGTATTTTGCTCTTATTTTATATTTGATCAAAATAAAGTTACACAATTAGAGTCGAAATAGAGGGGGCTGATAATGTATGTGATCTAGCAAAGGAAGGAAATTCCCAACCACTCTGCTGGGAGCAGAGAGTGCTAAGCACCTTGCAATATTGGATCAGTTCTGCCTCTGGATGGAAAATGTTTATGTGCTATTGAGTCAAACCTGATGTATCACAGCCACTATGAGTACTATGAGTGCCTTTATCTTACCTTCCAAATAGCATTCTTCTCATGCTATCTATTGTGGTAAAATAAATAATTTCTCATATAAATTAATTTTTGTCACTTTAGGACATTTCTACCTTCCAATTTTTTAAGAATGTAGAATGTTCTCTGTTTAGTCCAAAAGAAGTGACTTTTCCCTTGGACTTTAATTCACTATTCATTTGCCCACAGAGCACCAAAGAGTCATAGTTTTTCTTTTTTCTTTGCTCCCCTGACCTGTGAAGATTAGGAGTTCCTAAGACATGTTATCCAGCATTGGTTCCCCAAGTACCTCTTTTAAACTCTAATTAGCAGTGGTATCATTAATAATGTTGGGAGAGCTTGGTCATCAGTGAACATCCATCCAGAGGTACTCATGGCCCCATGTGCTGTACAGAAATCCTGGGGATGGGAGCTGTCAGGGTTGTCCCTGTGCCAAGTAGAGAGCAGAGAAGAGGCAGTAGAGGCAGGAAAACAAGATTTAGTACATGAAGTTCTTTGCAATTAGAAACAACTTGACTCTTACTTTTCCAACCACCCGGGGACGGTTTGGTAAGAAGCTGCATCTGCTTGGCTTAGATTGCATATAAAAGAAAATTACTGAACACTAGAGTCTAATCAACTGTAATACAGGCTTATGGCAGCACCTCAGTTCTCATAGTTTGGAGCTGCAGCAGACGAAACACAAGGAAGCACATTGAATCAAACCAGTTCTTGTTGGTGTTGAGGTCTGCAGAAACACCTCATTGGATTCATGCTTCTGATTTGTCAAGGAAAATCTGTGCTGGAGATCAAGCATTTTGTTTGTTAACATTTTGTTTCATTTACTGTTGATAGAATCCTGGGTTCTGCCTGAAAGCATTTGTAAGTAGAGTAGCAGGAAGCAGTTGGCTGTTGAACAAATATAACGGGTGCCCTGCTATTGCAAGGCAGCAATCACAGGCTGTCAGGAGAGCTTTCCCCTCTCTGCAGAATTATACAAAACAGTTTCTGACTCCATATAGCAGTAACTCTTCTTGCTGTTTGAGCTCTGTCCAGTTCACAGGATCATCACATTGCATGGAGGCTGTAACACACATGTATATGTGTACACAGTTTATCTCTGCATGAGGAGTAGGTAAATGTACAGAGCCTTTTATCTCTCTGTAAGCTTAATGAGAAAAGTGGGGGATTCATCTCCCTCTCTGTTCTGTATGATTTCCTTTAGTTAATGAAGCAATCTGTGCTACAATCAAATGTAGCTAAAAGCAAGTAGCTGCTTTCATGAGAAGACTACAAAGTGTGGTTCATATGCATCTTTCATTTTTGCTGCAGCCAATGTAGAGTCCTCAGACTCAGACTCTACAATTTTGTATCATTAATTTTACTTTTCAAAACCATGGCAATATGCTTTCCCTCCAGCAAGGATTTGTGTTTGGTAAACGTAATTTTTATGCTAATTTGTTTTCAGCTCCACAAATATTGGAAAAGATAATTTACATGCAAGTAACCCCTTTTCTGAGATTTACTTAGTAATGGTTTTGTCATTAATAAACTAAAAATACTATTTTAAATTGGGCCGTGCTCTGGATACTGCCTTGGTTGCTGCTAATGCATCTTACCAGCCTTGCAGTTTAGGGGCCTTAACTTTCAGTGCATCTCTTTGTTTTCAGATCGGAATGAATGCCAAGAAATTCCCAATATCTGCAGCCATGGGCAGTGTATTGACACTGTTGGAAGTTTCTACTGCATTTGTCACAATGGATTCAAGACCAATGATGACAGAACAATGTGTATAGGCAAGTATATCAAATTAAGCTGTGCTTAGGTTTCTATTAAGATAATTACTAAGTCTGTCCTCTCTGTAATAAGGAGTTACATTACAATAACTGAGATTGTGAGCCATTTACTGCCAGACAAAGGTGCAAAACCACCCTAACTGGCCTCTGGAGGTGTTAAGAAGCTGATAATGAATGAAAAATATCTCATTAAAGTAGAGTTAACCTTTAAAATTGCATATCCTGTCAGTGAACTGCTAATGCTTTCATTTTTGAGGAAAATATTTCATTCTTAGAATTTTCTAGAGCATCTTATTTCATTTATTGCTTTAGGCAAGGAATTTAATAGATTAATATTGTAATGCAGCAGTTGTACAGACTACTTGTTCACAGAGTAGATGAAGGGTAAATTTCTTGCCAGAAAAGTGCCCTTCTTAGAAAGAGTCATCTTCATAAAGAAGGAAATTTTGTGGTTAACCCCGTCACAGCTGTTAGTCATCTGTTGTCTGAGAAAGCTGAGATTTCAAAATGCTTATGATTAAAGTTAGCTTAGACTTCCTTTGGGAAGGGTGATATAGGAACCACAGTAAGGTAAATGATTGTTCACCCTTGATTATTTTTGTGGATGTTTATATCAAGTGTGTAAACCCATGTAAAAGTCTTCCTTTTGGGAGGTACAACAATCTTTTTCCCTTCTGTACACTTTGTTGACAGTGGATTATTTCTCTTTCCTGCCCAATAGCTACAGACTTTTCCCATCAGTGATTAAAATTCTTGCTGCTTGTTTTTCCTCCTTTGTAGATATTAATGAGTGTGAGAGAGACGCCTGTGGCAACGGGACCTGCAGAAACACCATTGGCTCCTTCAACTGCCGCTGCAATTTGGGGTTCATCCTCTCCCACAACAACGACTGCATAGGTGAGGAGTGCTGAGACCAGGCACATGTTCCTAAGACTTTCTGCTCCTAATAGAAGTACCATAAGTACCATCTTCTCTCTTGCATGATCTGCATGATTAAAGACAAAACCCAGTTATCTTCAGTCTCAAAAGACCTCTTTGATTATGCTCTCCTCACTTTTCTAGAGCCACTCAAATGTTGGTGTGTGATATTGGGCCATTTGGTTTTCTACTCCTGCTTTGACAATTTCAGAACGTAGACCAGTAGTGGTATTTTCCCCTCACTTGTCTTTGAAACAGGGAATTCTCTGTGTTATCAGTTCCTCTGTCAATATAGTGAAAACTGAAATCTCACCTACCCAATTTCACTTGTTACAGGTGTTTCTTACATATCTTTCAATGTTATTTTGTTAGATGTGGACGAGTGTGCAAGTGGAAATGGAATGCTCTGCAGGAATGGTCAGTGTGTGAACACCATTGGGTCCTTCCAGTGTCTCTGCAATGATGGCTATGAGGTGGCTCTGGATGGAAGGACTTGTGTTGGTGAGTGCTTTCTTTTAGGGTAAAAAAAACATTCAGCAAAGCTTGGGGAGATATGCTTAGTAAAACAGTAGGTCAGAGAGAACTGTCACACTGTCATCATTGTACCGAGCAGAGGAAAAGAATGACAAGAGGATGAGAAGAGGACTTCTCTCCTGCTCCTGGGAAGTTCCACCTTCAGTTTGATGGAATCAAAGTTACAGCAGCCTCAGCCAGAGATTTGAGATAACAACAATTATCTCAAATAAATTGTCTTTCTTTTCTTTCAGACGTCAATGAGTGCGCACTGGATCCTGGCAAATGTGCACCAGGCACGTGTCAGAACTTGGATGGCTCGTTCAGATGTATCTGTCCTCCTGGATATATCCTGCAGAATGACAAATGTGAAGGTGTGTACAGAACAATCCCTCTTCTGTCCCTTTCCTAGCTGCTCACAGTTACCAATTTCCTCTGCATCTAAACATGAGCAATGTTTAGTCTTTTGTGTCAGTGTACAGTTCTGAACTGTAGCCACTATAAGTCCCTCACTTCCCATAAGAAATATCACCAACATTTGTTTGGACCAGAATTACCTGATCTGAACCCAAGAAAAATGGCTATTTGCTTGATGGTACATTGCTGAAGTTTGCCCACTGCATGAAGATTTGAAAACTAACCCTAGATTTTGCACCTGGATTTCTAGTTCCTCTTTCTGTCTCTTTTTGTTTGGCCTTTTTGTTTGTCGAGTCTGATAGATGTCAGTGATGATGTAAGGTTGCATTTCATGTGGTACAGCTGCCAGTGTAAATATTTTTATTTCTCATCTCTTTAATTACTTTTCTTCCAGACATTGATGAGTGTGTGGAACAGCCAGAAATTTGTGCCCTGGGCACATGCAGCAACACTCCAGGCAGTTTCAAATGTCTGTGTCCAGAAGGCTTTGTATTGTCTTCCACAGGAAGGCGATGCCAAGGTAGGTTCATTCCTATTTTCTGGCCTTTCAAAATTTGTTTGCTGCTTCAGACAAGCCTTATTAGTGGGCTGTTTCTAATATAGTAGGGAGACTCTGGACTCAAACAGTGTTTTTCATAGGGAAAACATGATAATTCTGTAGCTGGGGCCAGGTTCTGTCTTGCCCTAACATCTGTTTGTCGTTAAACAGAACATTGCAATAAAAAGGGGCGAAGATAATGTTCAATGCACCAGGTTAAGTGAGGAAATTATGTTGCCCTGCAGTCCTTTCTTGCACCCCTGGAAGAAATGCTGAGGATACTTGGCCTCTGTATAGACAGTAACATGACACAGAAATAGAGCATGAACCCAGGCAGGAGCCTAAGGGCAGAATTTCCAGTTACTGGGCTGTCCTTAGCACTTACCATGTTCACCATAACACTTGTTATGTGCTATTCCTCTCCACAAATGTGTGGGTGGAAAAAAGATTGGTGGAAAAAATTTGGAAACAATGTTGTGAGGACAATAAGCACCCATCTGCTTAGAAAAGTCTGAAGTGTCTTTTGGCTTCCAGATTACTGCACACACTGTTCAGAGCCTAAACATGGGCACTAAGACAGACCAGATGCTAAAAGCCGAGCATCTAGTAAAGAAAAGCCACAGGTTAGTTTATTTTGTGTATAAAGAACAAGCACAACAGATTAGGGAGTGAGTTACTTTAAAGGCTTTGAAAATTATTAAATAGATACAGCATTAAATGTCCTATACACAGTGTGCACAGTGGGAACCACTGATGAGTAAGACCTTTATAAGGACCTCTGTAGTTTTGCTTGGCACAGAACAGTGATGCTTGTTGACACCATAGCGAGTTCTTCACTTCACAGTGGGCTAAATGAAATTGTGGTTTTGGTAAAAATGAATCCAACCTGCAGTAAACATTCATCCAAGTCTCCAAACCACCATGCAGTTTGGCACAGTTACTTCACTCAGCTTCAAGAAAGCAGCATGGATGTTTTAGCTGTGCTTATGTAGCTTGCATAAATGAAGTTTCTTCAGTGTGAGGGTGTCATTTTCTTCAGGTAAGGAAAAAAAAATCACAATAAACCCAAAATCATAAAAAAAATGTAACCTAATCTAACACAGACCACTGTTTCACATATAATGTCAGAGGAAAATGCACACTTGTGTGTGAACTTCAGGTGGGCTTCTCTCCATCCCCTGAAGCAGATTGTTTTTTTTTTCAAGTATCTCAGGCTAAACAAAGTTTTGTTTAAAACTTCCCATTACCTCAGACTTCAGTAAAACCTGGACATTGCCCACCACTGATGCTGCACCGGAAAACTGGATGAGCAGCTGCTTCCATAACTGCCCTGTTGCTGTCCCCCTGCCAGTGCAGGCAGCTGCCAGCTCTCTGCCTGCTGAATGCTTGTGGTCTGTGATCTCAGCTCTGCTCCAGCATCCTGGTTACCCAGCTTCAGGGTGCAAAATACAGTGCTACTGAGACAGTTTGCTTTGTTTGTACCTCCGGGAGGAATGAGGAAGGAAAGCACCATTGCAAATTGCCTCTCGTTTTAACACTACGCAGTATTGTCATTGTAAGTTAATTAAAATGTCTTGATTCAAGTGATTCTTACTAGTAATAGAATATAAATAAATTGAGGCAATATTCAGTTTTTACAAAGAGGAGTGAGGATAAGAGGAGAGTACAGCTCTTCCATTTCTGCTGGACAAAAGAGAAAAACCCTTCCTTTTCCATGACTGAAGTAGGACACTCTACCCCATAGCTTTCCTTTACTGAGGTAGGAAGCTTCCCTCCTTCTTCAGGTCTTCCACAGTCAGAGACAATAATGATCCCAATTTATAGACTCAGATGGAAGTTGGGTGTTTTGGTGGGGGTTTTTCTGGTAATTTTGCAATTAACACCTCTAAGTGAAAATTGTGCCAAGTCACCCTAACTGCTCATAACAAGTTTTTTTCTCTGTGCAGATCTGAGAGTAAGTTACTGCTTTACCAAGTTTGAAGATGGAAAATGTTCTGTGCCGAAGTCCCGAAACCACTCCAAACAAGAGTGTTGCTGTGCCTTAAAGGGGCAGGGATGGGGAGATCCCTGTGAGCTCTGCCCAGAGGAAGCAGATGGTGAGTTATTGACCATACTGTCATGAAAGCTCTCAGAACTGAAAGGAGATTGGGATTCTTATAAGAAGGAGTTTTGAAAAATAATTCCCCAGAGGTGTTTAACCTTAACAATTGTTCTTGCTCTCTGTAAAGTAGGTGCCACTGCAGTCTCAAAAACATGTTCCTTGGATAGTCAGTTCTCGAGTATGTTCCTTGTTTGCTGGTAGATTTGTTACTGTGTTGGGGTGCTGAGTATTTTACTGGGGAGGTGTCACATGCAGAAAGCTGAAGGCAGTGAGTAGGTCCTTGGTAGGCTGAGTGGCAATACCTTCGAGACACAAATGGAATTCACCTAATTGTAAACAGGTATAGAAAGAGGTTCTATAAACATGAAATCTAATTAAAAAAGAGAAATCAACGGAAACAGTTAAATTAGATCCATGTCTGAATTTTATTATTAAAAATGTAAATGTGCAAACTTATCAATGTGAATGACTTGCGAAAATAGCGGAGAATGACAAAACACAGGCCTTGAGGAAGGAAAGCCTCCCTGGACTGTTGCTAAAGAAGCAGTTTACTTTGTTAGTATCCTTTATAAGACTAAGTCGGCATCAAGCAAGTCAACAGGCCTCTGTACCATCCTGGTGCAATTTGCTGAATGGACTTTAATTCCTGCTGACAAATGCGGTTTAACAGCACTACTGGTTTCAGCAATACATGATGGCAGTTCATTTCATTAATAAGTCATGGAGATGTTTTGCAGACAATCCTCACAAAAGCCAAGGGTAGAAAAGAGAATTAGATGTGCCAGTTGCAATATTCCTAGGCCTGTTGCCTGTGCATGTTTCATTCTGCTGACGTGGATCATATGAACCGAAGCCGGTTGGAAAAGCACAGTGTGTGTCACAGCATTTTCTTGAAGTGTCAGCACATACATTTTTCAATATATTGAATATATTTTTCAATATATTGCACAGTCCAATATTGCACTCTTCTCAAAGGATCAAGGCCCTTTTTCTCGTCTTTTCAAAAAGACATAGCTTTAAGATAGCTGAGTCTGGATTAAATTGTGTCTTCAGAAAATGTAGGAAATCTTTCATTCACAACAGAAAAGAATGCAGTCAGTACTATTGATACTTCTAAAATAGAAATACTGCATTACTTTGCTCCTTAATGAAGTTAGATAATGCTGATTATTCACAGAATTTTGCACATATGCACACAGGAGATCAGATGAAATGTAAAACGACCATATAGTTTTTGGTTGAATATAAAATTAGAAGTTTATATCTCTACATACTTTATTTCTGGGCCTGAGCGTGAGGAGGATGAACTGGTAGCAGTGGTTACACGTGCAGCTCATGAGTGATGCTGATTGCCAAGATAGAGTTTAACATATGGTTTGATTTTTATTGGTTTTTTTACAGAGGCATTCAGACAGATTTGTCCATTTGGAATTGGCATCCTTGTTGGACCTGGGGATGCAAGACTGGGTAAGTACCTGAACCCCACAATGCTGTTGTTGCATCAGTGTGCCATTTTCTACCCATAAGCCATTCTCCCTTTCAGCTGAGAATAACACCTTTGCAACAGTTTCCAAAAGCCATGAATTGTGGAAACTTCTGTGCTACTTTTTTTTTCTCAATTTTTCCTACCAATTTCAAATTCAAGCTTGAATATCTCATACATCAGAAACCAAACTTCTTTTAGATCTAGGAAACCTATGTAGGATCTAGAGGTTGGATCACGTAGCCCACTTGTCTTTTCTTGTACAATATATGTAGCCTGTTTACAGTAAATGGTTTTAATCCTCCAGAAGTGCAAACCACAGTTTCCCAGATCCCTTCAGTACATTCTGTTCTCTCCCAAGACAAACAGCACTTCAGCCTTACTGGCAAAAGTTTGCATTTAAGGAGCGCTGGATGACTACTGCTTTTCATATCTGCTGCTCTCCCTATAGCCCCAGTCAGAGAGGTTTATATCTGACATGTAGAAGCAGTTTCTTTTCTGTATTGTGAAAGCTGGCCTGCAAAACAAATTCTGTGCCTTCATCCTAAGATATCAGAATTCACATCCTAGTATTTTTTGTGATCTCAGGAATATTTCTTGCCAGAACAACACTTGTTCTTTGAGAGAAGTTTAAAAGCACATGAAGTCAGTTGCACTTACTGTGTTGTTTATATTTCTGGTTAAGATGTGGATGAGTGCCTTGATCCAGATAACTGTAAATTTGGGCAGTGTATCAACACAGATGGGTCTTTCCGCTGTGAATGTCCGTATGGTTACATCCTACAGGGAGCAGAATGTGTGGGTAAGTAGAGCTGTTTCATCTTCCATTAAAAGGTTTTCCTGAATTGCTAAGTATGGCATTAAGGAGCAGTGAGGTTGTTTTACTCTGATGTTGTGGAGTTTCCATCCCTGCTGGTGCTTAAAACCTGCCAGGGCAGGCCCTGAGCAACCTGCTCCAAGTTGGTCCTGCTCTGGCTGAGTGGCCCAGATAACCACTAGCAATCCCAGATTATGCTTGGGAGTCTGTGATTCTAATTCAGTAACTTGAGTGAATTCTTGGATTTTTTATTTTTCTGCTTGTACATGAACAACATAGATTTTATACCTTTTTGGTTGAGTAAAACCACTTATTCTTGTCTTGATCTAACTGCTTGCAGATACTGATGAATGTGCTGTTGGAAACCCATGTGGAAATGGAACCTGCAGGAACGTGGTGGGAGGTTTTGAATGCACCTGTGTTGAGGGCTTTGAGCCTGGGCCGATGATGACCTGTGAAGGTGAGACTCCCACGTGTTAAGGGCTGTGGTTGTGTGCTGAAACAGGTCCCTAATTTTGAAAACAACTGAGGAGAGTAAAGCGGATTTAAAACTAAAATATGGACATTTGGAACAATGCATTTTTATCTGAACCAGAAAAATGGGCTCCTCCTTCCTCTATCCACCATGAACTGGAGTATGTTTTTCTAACTGGAGGTTGGGTGAACAGGCTTTTGTGTGGTGTCTACTCAGGGGCTGCCCACAGAGGAGCATGTTGGGGTGCAGTCCCTCCAGAACAGTTCCTGGAAGGGCTGTGTACTGTGTGTTTTGCCTTCCTCCTTGAGTGAAGAGACTCCCTATGGGTGATGAAAATAGGAAATGGGCTGCCTGAGTTTGTTAGGGAAGAAACGGGAAACAAAACAGAAAATACAAATACAGTACCAGACAATTACCATGGTACCCCTAGGCTGAATATTTTCCATATTGCTTTGGTGTCTCATTTCAAAAATTAAAATTTGTACATGTACAAAGAAAAGAGAAGTAAGGAAGATCAGAGTTATAGAAGGGACAGTCTGAAAAGAAGTTAGAATTTTTCAGTGTGGAAAATGTGGTTGAAGAGATATATGATTTAAATTTATGAAGCCACAAGTGGTAAAGGTACCAAAAATAGAGGGAACATGTTAGACAAACCAAAGCAAACATTTTTATATGCATGGTACGTACTTAAGCTGTGGAACTCTTTGCTACAGAATATTAGTGAGGCCACAAGTATAAATTGACCTAGAAAGAAATTATACAAATTTGTGTGGGAATCCATCAGTGGAAATTAAGCTTGATAGTTTGGTTGTGGTGTTTGGCTGTGGAAGTCCTTAAACTGAGAGGCTGTATCAGGGGAAAGATCTCTGTGTACATGGTATGAGGTTTTTTAATATTCATCTCCTCCTGTTAAAACCAGAGAGAGGAGAATGTCCTAGGACATTCTGACACTCTCTTCTGACTTGACACAGCTGTTCTTAAATTATCTGCCACAATCTATTTCTTTGCAAGCCCATACAAAAGAATGCTTCTATTTTTGCATCAAATTGCATTAGTTTTATATACAGTTAGAGCTTCATTCACTTCCCTGTGGAATTTTGGGTGAAAGCTCAAATTGCAGAGGAGGAGTTAGCAGAGTGCATAAACATCAGTATATAGCAGTACTTACTCAAGTAGTCCAGACCATATGTAAATGCACTTCACAATAATGTTTCTAGTAAGGATACTGTTTTATGGAATTTAGTTTATGAAGAAGCTGAATTAGTGAACATAGAATTTAAAAAATAACCAATCATAAAAGCTGAACCTAGATGTGGAAAAGATACAGTTTTAACTGAGCCAGTATTTTGGCAGCATAGATCTGGAAATTATTTCCATTGGCTGCTTGCTGTTGAACATATTGAAACTTCAGGTAGCTGTGCAAACATCCTGGCATGTCTGGTGCCTGCTTCACACAGAAATCCATGAGTAGGACCGTGGATCCCCAGCTATTAAAATTTAGCTCTCCATAAACTGGGATCTGTGGTATTGCCTGTACCTAAAACCTGTGCACTCAAGTCTGCTGAGTTTTACACAAGTGTTTCACTTTCCCCATGGTCTTTGTCGCTCCAAATCCAGATGTCAATGAGTGCATCAACCCTCTGCTCTGCGCCTTCCGCTGCGTGAACACTTTTGGATCCTACGAATGCAAGTGCCCCGGGGGGTACGTTCTGCGAGAGGACCGGAGAATGTGCAGAGGTAAAGCTCCTACCAGACTCTCACAGTTATGAGAGAATGATTTCAAGTTCCTGCAGGGGCGGGGCTCTGAGTCACTGCACTATTGGGCCAGGGTTTTAATCCCAGGAAGTAACTGAGTCAGAAAGAATTTGGGATGAAATTCTATGGTTTGCATTATACACTTGATTGTATTAGTCCTGTCCTGCCAGTAAACTTACACATCTGCCTAAGTGAGGTCATATCAGATGATGTGGTTTTGTCTTGCACTAAAAATGGGCATTTGGGAGAAATCAATTTGCGCAAGGCTCGTGTATTTTATGGTTAGTTTAGAACAATAAATGTATGTATAGGGTTTGATTACAATTGAGATTCCAAAGTCAGAATTTACTATTGTGAATTTCCAGGATCATCCCTCTATATAACGAAGTCTAAACCTTGTGTTTTAGATCAGAATGAGTGTGAAGAAGGAATTCATGACTGTGACTCAAAACAGATGGAGTGCAAAAACCTAATTGGTACCTATATGTGTATCTGTGGACCTGGTTATCAGCGCAGACCAGATGGGGAAGGCTGTATAGGTAAGTGACACTGAAGTGTTGAAACTCCTGAAACACGCAATTCCTCAGCAAAGCTAGAAATTTTGGATTTAACAAAGCGTTAAGGAACTCAGGGGAAGGATTTCACAACTACCTATGTAATGGACCTACTGATGCTGTACACATTTCGCTTTGCTGTTCAGGTGTGCACATGTGTGGGCAGAAAGTAGAAAATCTGGATGTGGGTGTCTTTACAACCAATTTATACTGCTGCTGCTGCATAGCTCTGAGGGAAGAAAGCAGAGATTTGGATCTGTTGCTTTAGGCTTGTTTAGCTCTGTTAGCACGAATGAGAGTAAATCTGAATTGTTTTTAAACCATGGATGGCATTCAGAAATGCAGCTGAAATTATGAAAAATTTTGAAAACCAGTGAGGAATATATTACAGAGAAGATGTGGTAACAACATATATAGTATTGTGAGCTAGATGGTCATCTTTCCTCTGAAAATTGAATAAAAGAGACTTCTGAAATAAAAGAAAAAGAAAAAAATGGAGGTTTAACCAGGCAGAATGCACAGCTCAAGAATTCTATAAAACCTCTCTAACCTGCATTAATCCAGTAATGGACTTGATTTTTGTCATGTAATTTCAAAAAATAGATGAGAATGAATGTCAGACCAAACCTGGGCTCTGTGAGAACGGCCGTTGTGTGAACACAGTGGGCAGTTACAGGTGTGAGTGCAACGAGGGATTCACCGTCAGCGACGCCCAGGACGAGTGCCTTGGTGAGTCCCACATTAACACCCCAGTGAGCTGTCACTTGGACAGCAGCAGCTGGGGTTGAAATTAAACTTAGAAATGCACAATGAGAAAACAAACTGTTGAATTTACATGCCTTTTGGAAGGGGCCTTTCTATGTAGGTGCCCTCTTGCAAGTTCTTCTTTCCCATCCTCACCATATTCCTGCTTCAGTCAGTTTGGTTGGGGTGACTTGCTATGAAGACTGACTGTTCCATGGTTTCAGTCAGCCAGCCAGCTCTGACATTTCTCAGGTCCTGATTTTCAGCCAGTCCTTTTTCTCTGGGTTCAAACAGAAACATACATTTTTAGAAGCATATTGTAATTTCTTCTCTTCCAACTTTTGCTGAATTTCCTGTCTTTGTTTCCCTTAGACGTCACGCTCTCTTTCTCACTGCTGATAGTCTTTCACTCTCAGTTCCACAGTCTCAGGGTGAAGTATGCCCTTTCTGTTATATTTCTGACTAAATTCCCAGTATCTCATGACCCTCTGGAGGTCGTCACCATTAGGATTCTCTGTGATGCACCGTTTGTCTTCCAGACAACAGGGAAGGCTACTGCTTCATTGAAGTCTTACAAAGTATGTGTCAAATCGGATCAAGCAACAGGAACTCTGTCACCAAGTCTGAATGCTGCTGTGATGGAGGCCGAGGCTGGGGGCAAAACTGTGAGGTCTGTCCCTTCCCAGGCACCGTGGCCTTTAAGAAGCTTTGCCCTCATGGCCGAGGATACATGTCTAACGGAGCAGGTACTGACTCTTCTATTAAATGCTCTCTTAGACAATGCCAAATTAAGTGATAAATTATAAAGTATGTGAACAATGGGAGGTCCTAAATGTTTTGGATATCAGCCGAAATTTTCTGAGAGTTTTCATGTTGAGAAACTCCAGTCCTTTGGGAGGAGAGTGCATAGCCAAAGTCCCTGGATGATGAGGCATCCATCCCATCTTGGCAGAAACTTACTTTGCATGCTGGTTGATTGACAGGCACTCAAATGGGAATTTGCACTCTCACATTTGAGTGTGTTGCAGGTACACCTTAAGAGCTATTTGTGTTCATGAAAGCAAAGTGATGTTTGATTTGTGGAGGCTAATGAATTATGAATTCCAGGTGTTTGCTTCCAATTACAGCTTGTTCATTGCATTTGGAAGCTAGATTCCATGTTTTTCCACTAAATATTTCTATATAATCTGTGCAGTATTTTATTATTTTATGTACAGTGTGGGTTTCTTTATGTCAGGTCACAAGAATCTGTTGGAGCTGTATAAAATCAGTTGTTGTTCCACTGAGAACTAACCCTCCTTTAATTGCAGATATTGATGAGTGCAAGGTTATTCACGATGTTTGCCGCAACGGGGAATGCATCAATGAGAGGGGATCTTACCGTTGTCACTGCAACCTTGGCTATACTACAGATATAACTGGCACTCTCTGCATAGGTAGGTTTTTCATCATGGTGTTTGTACATGAAGTTTATTACCAAGAGGTGACTTGAAGAGGGAAATAGAAAGATTTTGAAAAATGAGAAAATAAAATGTCATTTGTTGAAGTGCTTTGGGGATTTTGGTTTCCTTCTGATCTCTCCTGAATGTTTTGAAAAACATCATCACAACTCTTGGTTACCAGCACTGAGGTATCTGGTTTTGCTTCTCCTAGATCTGAATGAATGTAATGAGTCTCCAAAACCTTGCAATTTCATCTGCAAAAACACAGAGGGGAGCTACCAGTGTTCATGTCCGAAAGGATACATTCTGCAAGAAGATGGGAGGAGCTGCAAAGGTAAAAATCAAGAACAGAATTAACTGCAGAAACTGTGTTTCACAGGCAAAAATGAATGCAAGGACATTTAAATGATGCAAATCTGTCTCCTTGATTCATGTGAATATTTCTACTGAAGACTGTAAGTGGTCCTGCATAGGATGGAGCTGGTTTTCAGTTAGCTTTTTGGTAATCTGGATGAACAGTAGATCCACAGGGATTTCTGCAGGATGATGGCAGCTATCTTAAAAGATTTTGTAGCCAATAGTGTATATATATGACTGTTCTTATTTTGGTAAGCATGTTGGTTTAAGCCATGTTATTCAGTGATAAATGAATTGTAATGGATGCAAAGATGAGTTTGGCTGGCACTGTGCTCACCATCAACAGAATTTTTACCTACTGCTTCTGCAGTGTGCTGGATAAGGCACAGCAGTGCAGGAGAGAGTTTGAAATGTTCATTAGAACTCCATATATTTGTGTATCTTGGTAACAAAGATCTGACTGAATCCACACAAGTTAGAGCAGCAATTCTTAACTTGGCATGGAGAACGACAGTGAAATTTGTTGTTAGTGTTTCCATATTTCTTTTGGAGTAATAGTATGCTTCAGTGCAAGGCCACTTTCCAGTCTGCCAGATCTTCTCATGAAGGTGGTGACTTACATAATAAATGTCTACTCAGTCAATAAATGGTAACAAGAACTTTCAGACAGGTGAGAGGGGTGTCTAATTCAGCACTGACATGGACACTGGTGTAGCTCCAAAGTCCCATTCATTACATGTGAGGCTTCATGAGAGAAGAACCAGAAGCCAGCACAGAAAGCCAGATATAGATTCAGAAGGCTTTATTTGCTATGTTATTTATTTGTAATCACTTCTTTCTGAGTCCAGGGAACGTAAGTGAAAGATGTTCTCTTGGTTTTTTTTTTCAGATCTTGATGAATGTGCAACAAAGCAGCACAACTGCCAGTTCCTTTGTGTCAACACCATTGGGGGCTTCACTTGCAAATGTCCTCCTGGATTCACTCAGCACCATACAGCCTGCATTGGTAGGTGATGGGGGAAGGTAGATACAGACTTGGGATTTATTACTGACCCTTATTCCAGAAGCAAACTAGCAAGGAGGTAAAATCACCTTCCTGAGAAACCAAATGGAAAAATAGGCCAGGTTCTGATCCCAGTCCCCCCAGAGCAGAAGATGCAAAGAGACCCTCCCTCCTACCTTTCCTTGCTTTCATAATTTATGTCTTTAAATTTTGCCCTTGCAAGAACCAGACAGTATAAACACCAATTTGTAATTCTTGCCTTACCCTTTCTTATCCATTGAGCCAAAAAATAGTTCTATTTCTGTTCTTGTAGTTTGTTGAGATCATGTCAAGGCTTCTGGAAACAATAACCGTGAAATACACATTTCTGCAGTTGTCTTTTAAACACATATCCACAGGGTCTGTGGAAATGTTAAACTAAACTGCCTCCTGCAAAACATACTCTCCTGCCACCACCCGTTCATCCTGAGCAGGGCTGAATGATCCCCTTCACAGCAACAACTACAAACTAACACTGAGGCTTTGGTTTCCTCCAGATAACAATGAATGTGCCACTGAAATCAATCTTTGTGGGCCGAAGGGCATTTGCCAGAACACACCAGGAAGTTTTGTTTGTGAATGTCAACGTGGCTTCTCACTCGATCAAACTGGGCAGAGCTGTGAAGGTGGGTACAACACAGGCCTTCTCTTGCTTCCTTCATCTCTCAGCCATACTGTCATCCAAGGAAGGGCCTGTGGAGTGAGCAAGTGTAGATTCAAGGGGAGGAGTGTATGGAAATTTAGCAACAAGGCAGTATTTCTCTCCATGGGCCAGAGTAGATGGATATATTGCAGGATGCTAAAGAGCTGGACAGATATTTTCTGAGATGTCACTTTAGCCTGGAATGTTTCAGTTTAAGTGTTGTAAGTTCAGTGAACTTTTGTTGAATCCTTCATGGATTTCTGAGGGACTCACCAAGGACAGGAAGTCTTGCATCTCCAAGGCGACCTGCTAAACAGAGAGTTCAAGGGCTGTAGGCTTATTCCTCTGGGTCCCTAGAGCCTTCTCCTGGGATAGAGTTTGGTTTGTTTTGAAAAGAGGTATCCTGGGGTTCCTGGGTTGGATGCCTGGGTAAAAGCAAGGGTCTGTCTGCTGAGGAGCTGGGACCCTTAGGAAAACACTGGGGGGGTACCATACACAAATGTCTTCCTGCTGTCTGCTCCATAGCAGAATGCAAAAACTCTGAAAACTGTGGGTGAATGTGAGCTTTCTGTGGTTTTCAGCCCAATGTTTCTTGTTGTGGAGCCACAAATCCAAACCTGAAAGGCCCAAAGTGGTCTCCCAGCACTGACCAGGTTTTTGGAAGATCCTGAAATATACCCATATATATGATATATGAATATATATGATTATTTGTAACATACTTTTCAAATACAGCATAATTTGAGCTTCTCTCCCAAAACTCAGAGTGTATCTCACTCTTTCAGATGTTGATGAATGTGATGGAAACCACCGGTGTCAGCATGGCTGCCAGAACATAATCGGAGGATACAGGTGTAGCTGCCCACAAGGATATCTCCAGCATTACCAGTGGAACCAATGTGTTGGCAAGTCACTTTTGTGAAGTCATACATTAAAATGCATGTTACCTTTGTTAGCAGCAAGAAGTGAAGGGCAATGGTGCAGTTGGCCTTTCTTTTTTCCTGATCATAGTTTGCTAAATTCAGCGGTTTCATTCCAAGTGTGCCCTCCTGTGAAAGGCAAAGTAGGTGTGAAGCACCCAGTAACCTCTGCCCTGGTCTGGCAAGTGTTTAAGCACAAAATTCTCCTTGAGGGTGCTAGAGATTGTATTGGCTTTGAGGGAACTTGTGTTACCTGAGTATTTTGTGGTCTAAACAAAAGAATTCTTAGCCATGCAACAGTCTCTGCTTAGACAGGTCCTGTCTAGGAGTGGATGGTGGATTGGACCTAGCAGACTCAGAACTACAAGTTTGGTTGTTAAATTGTAAAATTCAACTTCTGGCTCAAAGCATCTAGAATTTTATTAAAATCCCACTTGATCTGTGCTTTTGCCATTCTTACAACACCTGCAGGAAGGCTGCTGTGTTTAAGCCCTTTGTACAGAATTAACAATTTGTCATATTTGAGCAAAGCTTCTGCTGTTTGTCTAAAGATGCTTCCTTGCAGCTTTGTGATACAATTTACGAGTGCTTACAAGACAATTCTGTTTAAAATGAACAAATGTTAGTGCTCTTTAGTTATGTTAATTACTAAATGCACTAGTGCATTAAAATGCCTATCCTGAACTATTCTTCCCTATCTAAACTTTGTTTCTATCCCAAGTCTCTGAGCCCTCGTAGGTGGGGCTGCATGTGCAGAGCATTGATGCTGGTTTTCACTTGAGCAGTCAGAACTGGGTCCTGTGCAGCAGTCATGGGAAGAGCCTCTATGTCAGGAGTGTAGTGTGTAGCATATTCAAACAAGAGAAACAGGAGTGATTTTTCCTCTGGCGACAGCTATGTGCAGTTTTCATCACATTTAAAGTGAGCCGGTCTTTTGTGGATACCCAGAGATGTGCTTGATGACCTCTTTGAGAACAAAGGGCTTTATAACTCTCTTTGGCTTTCTTTGCTCTCAGAAACATAAAAATGCCTTTGCTTGTTATCACTGTGGTGCTCCAAGGAGGTCTCTGCTGTTGATTATTCTTACCAAACCTCCTGACAGTTTGTGCAGTCCTTGCTGTGACATTTGCTTGCTTGTGCTCCAGCGCTCCATGCCTGTAACACACAGAGAACAAGGAGAGAGCACAAACATATGGGGGTTTTGAATGTTGATTAAATTAGCAGAGTTTAGGGTTAAATCAGAGTTTAATCTGCAGGAGGATAAAAAAAAAAACAACACCCAACCAGCGCTGTCACGTCTGGCTGCTGAGGGCACTGTGGAATCTGAAAAAGTGCAGCACTGAGTTTTGTGAAACATCTTGGCTGTTTCCAAGTCTTCCTGGGTGAAAGCATTTAACTAAGTGTATTTCCAAACCAGGTCTACACTGTTATTCCAGCTTTTGAGCTCCTTGACTACTGTTTAGATTTATACAGGGAATACCAGTTTCAAAATGCACAAGCGCTGGTATTTCCCCCACTGAAAGAAAGGCTTCAGCCTTGGCACCGAAAATACTGGTCACCAGAAACTTCACCAGGGAAAATGACTCTGAGACCCACAAGTGGGACAAGACTAAGCCAGCACTTCCTCCTTCTTGGACATGGATGGGGCAATCCAGGCAGAAACCCAAACCTGCAGGGAAGGAGGCTCGGTTTCCTCTGTCCTCATGGCATCTCTCAGAGCACAGGAGAGCAAGGCAGCACAGCTTGCACAGAGCCTGAGGGTCTCAGAACTAGTGTTTTTCACTTTTCTTCATATTTTTTCTTCCACCAATCACCCAAAATGTGGGAACTAATCTCACTAGTGTTCACACTCTTGCTGTGAAGTGAATGTATCTGCTCTTGGTACAGTAACTTTCTGTGGCCCAAACTTGCATTTATGACATAATTGCTTTTAGGTGTGACAAATACTGAAACATCATTCTGAGTTAATGGCAAACCCCTACAGGCTTCGGGAACACAGAATTCAGCCTCAGGTTTTATACCTTGTGTTCTCCACATGTTCCCATTGCAGTGTTTGTATCTGTATATGCTTAAGATGCTTATTTAGATCTCCTGGTGTACCACAGGGGAAGAATCTCCATGTAATAGGTTTTTCCGTGACAATTCCTTCATATTCCTTGGCAATCCCAACTCTGCAAACAGTTTCTGTCTTTTTTAGCTTATTTAATGAAGTGTTCAGGGACTTTTGATGTTGCTGCAACACATTTAGATAATCACTGAAGAATGCTTTGGTTCCTCCCATGTCTTGTGCTGTCTATGACTGCATTCCCTGCCCAGGCAGTTCCATAGTGCACCATGCTGTAAATCAGGCTGCAAGAAGCAAAGTCATTGCTTTTAAACAACAAGAGAACAAACAGGCACATTGTTTGGAAAAAAAAATAATGCTCTGACTTAGTAGTTATTCTCCTGTAACCTGGATGCTGAGGTCAGAGATGCTGCTCTGTACTTTCCAGATGGCATTTCTTGTGTATGCACACACATGCAATGTACATGTGCATTAATCACAGAACATGGGGAACAACAGCAGGCAGAACTTTTTTAAGCAATTTGCCACATCAGACCAAAAAAAAATCAGACCAGCTACATTTCAAAAAGCAACCATTTACAGTAAATAAGCCTGAACTGACCTTGAACTCCTACAGTGCCACACTTGGGAAGTTTGGAAAAGGGCTGGCTCAGAATGTGGCAATCTGTTGTACCTACAGCTGTGTTTATTTTTACTTTCCTACTTGCTCCTGCACCTTACCTGTGCCTAATATTTAAATGTGAGTGTGTAGGAAGGAATTTTCAATGCCTGGAAAAGGTGTCAGAGCTTGATTCCTTACTCTTTCTCCTTTGATGTCGAATAGCATTTTGAACAAGGGATTGTTGGACCAGATTGTTGGCTGTACAAAGTTTTATTCTTTTCAGTTGTTTCTGGAACAAAAAAAAAAAGCTACCTCCTCTGTTTCTCTGCTCTCCAGAGCATGAGCTGACGTGGCACAAAACATCCTCTGTAGAGTAGCCCAAATGTTGCTGTGTTGTATGGTTGTAGTCATCTCCTAGCGACCGCTGCCCCAGCCGAGGGTGAGGCCAAGCCCTGCTCTGTTTCTGTCCATCCCATGTGGCAGCACCTTTAGCAGCAGCCAAGCACGACCTGGCAGAAGGGGTAGGCTGGGCCACACCTGAGAGTGAAAGTTAACGTGGTATATTCTGCTTCTTTTCCAGATGAAAACGAGTGTCTCAGTGCACACATTTGTGGAGGAGCATCTTGCCACAATACTTTGGGAAGCTATAAATGTATGTGCCCTACCGGATTTCAGTATGAGCAGTTTAGTGGAGGTTGCCAAGATATCAATGAATGCGGTTCTGCACAAGCCCCGTGCAGTTATGGGTGTTCAAACACTGAAGGTGGCTATGTCTGTGGATGTCCACCTGGTTACTTCAGAATAGGACAAGGGTAAGGGATTCTCATTTTAAACTAACAGATACCAAGGGGACGTAGTTCACTCCTTTCTTTGTAGCGTGGAGCAGCAGAACCAGGGGAATTGTGAGCAATTAAAGAGGGATAGGACTGGGGAGGTGCTTAAGAGCTGGAGGCACCTGCTGATTTTGGAGATGAGGAGGAGGGTGGGAAGGGAGGGTTTTAATGCTTATTGAAATTTGGTCAGGGCTACCAGGTTCAATCATATATTTTAAGCTACTGCTTTCACTCTCCTGCACACCCCAGCAGCCTGCCAAGTCCTCTGAGCTTGCCACTTGGGAGCTCACGCCCCTCGCTGTGATTTGTGGTGTATCACTTGTCTCCTTAAAAAAAACCTCAACAAAACAAACATTAATAATAACACCCCCTGCCAGCTGCAAAGAGAAATGATATTATACAAGTGGTTTCACCCGCTGGTTGGAATAACAATTCTGTATGCTCTCATGTTCTTGTATGTTCCATATTCTTCTGTGTTTCAAATGAATATTTTTTTAATAAATGTCTGCTTTATTGAGAAAACCAATTTTCACTTGCCCCAGTGGGAGTGCTAGGGTAGTGCAACCTATAGGAGCAAGAAACCCAAATGGAAAGCAGAAAGATCGTGGCTTAAATTTTAGAAGAGACTAAAACCTTTGGGATGCATTATGAAAGACCTCACTTTTCCGATTTTAAAGAAGTTTCTGAAAATTGGTCTCTTTAAATGTGTTCCAGGCTGGATAACAGAAATTACTAATAACAACTCAGAGCTTAAGCCTGTGTTTTTAAAACTGTTAAATATTGGCAGGTCTCTCTTGGGCAAAGCCTCGTGGAGCCAGATTCTTGAAATCAGAGGTGGCTGTGTTGTGTTTCAGTGACAATTTTGTCTGTTGACTTCAGCAGAAGTTTTTCCTAGGAAATAAATGCAACATAATTGCTTTATTATTTGTACTCACAGTCCCCCAAATTCAGCTTTTGATAAGATCTGTGTCTTGCTGGAATTAATTTTGAATTTCTTCCGTCCTCAGACACTGTGTTTCCGGAGTGGGGCTAGGCAGAGGTCAAGGACAAGAACTTTCACTCAGTGGAGAAGTAGACGACAACTCCCTCTCTCCAGAAGCTTGTTATGAATGTAAAATCAACGGCTATCCCAAGAGAGGAAGGAAGCGCAGAAGCACTAATGAAACTGCAAGTGAAGCAGAGGTAACTGGCCCTTTTTTTGGGGGGGAAAGGGTTTGTCTTGTGAAGGCTGAACTCAGAAGGAGGTGTGCCAAGAGACAATACCTTGGGAAAAATCTACACCCCAAAGAAAACAGACCAAAGCTGGTTTGGGATGTCAGGCAGCTTTCTGGAGCTTTTCGCTGTCATTAGGCGAGGCCCTGTACCCAACATCTGTGTCACATCCCAGACTGGAATAGGTGCCCACCCAGCTGTGTAGAGAGCAGTCCCCTCACCAGCAAGGGCAGGCTCTGGGGTCAGGGGCAGCGGGTGTGTAAAACCATTGTGTGACCTTGTGGCCAGAAAGGCAGGACATGCTGGTGAGGGTGGATGTGGACCCTGCCAAGCAGTGCTGTGTTGTGCGTCTGGGGCTGGAGCCCTCTCCAAAGCAAACACAGAGCTCTGGACACACACACTCGCCTGGAGGGAGTCCAGGGCTGCAGCCCTTCTGGGTCTTGTCCAGACCCTTGCTCTCAGTCACCCAGGTGACCATCCTGGGGCCAAGGCTACCAGCCTAAAATATAACCAAGAGACACTGAACACTCTGGTAAAATGTTGTCACACTATCACTACTCTGAGGTAAGTACCACCTGGACTCTCTGCTCATGTGTAGGTGCCAAAGAACTTGTTTTTCCATGTACAAATGCAGGGAATTCAGGAGCCTGTTCGCTGTTTCCATTCCATGCTCAGTGCGTGGTGCTCTGCTAATACAGGAAGGCAGGAGACTGGTTTTGCCTAAAAAGTGTGGACATTAGATTTTGGGCAGAGTGCGGTCATAAACGGTGTTTCTTCAGTGTGTTTTACTACTCTCTGGGATTAGTGCTGGATTTGTCTCAGGGATGATGTAGAGCTTCCCTTGCTTTCCAAATGAAAACATTACAGCTGATGTGCTGTCTGAAATGTTACCACCCAGTCGGAGGTGAAGGGTGAGGCTGCTTTTCCAGCACTCTGGTGCACCTGCAGGCTGCCCTGGCTCCACACCTAAACCAAGAGAATCTTGCAAAGCATAAAACCCCCTCCTAAATGCCGTGCCTCCCTCACAGGTCCTGCTGTCCTTTACACGTTGTTGTTCTGGTCAGCCTGTGGCTGCCCTGGCAGAGGGGAGGAGTGTGCCTTGGCTGCTCTCTTTGTAGGAGGTCGGTCATGGGCTCCAAGCACAGACAGGCTTTGTTCATCAGGCAGCAGGACCCACGCGCAGAAACTTCCAGGGCATGTCTCAGGCTCCCATTACCCACACAGGGTGCAAACACTCCACTTCATCCTGAGGAGTCCTGAGCCCGCAACAGTGGATTTGACAGATGATGTAACAGAACCTCTCTTTTAAAATCATTTAATTAACAATGAAAGAGCTGGGCAAGAAATACACACACAGAGGCACATGTGAAACGCTCTCTGACAAAGCCAACTAACATCCTTTGTTCTTGTGCAGGATCAGCAGGAGCTGCAGCCGCCAATCAGTCTCGCCAGCTGGGATATTGAAAAAGCAGCAGTTTTCTCCATCAACATCTCGGATCTCAGTAACAAAGATCGCATCCTGGAACTGCTTCCTGCCCTCACAACACTGACAAACCATAACCGATATTTAATTGACTCCGGAAATGAAGATGGTTTCTTTAGAATCAATAAGAAGGACGGGATAAGTTACCTTCATTTCACAAAGAAGAAGCCAGTGCCTGGAAACTATTCATTACAAATCAGTAGTATTCCACTCTATAAAAAGAAGGAACTTAACCAGCTTGAAGCGAAACATGACAAAGACTACCTCAGTGGTGAGCTGGGAGATAACCTGAAAATGAAAATTCAGATATTGCTTCATTAATTCATCCACCAAAGACCAAATAATTAAACCAAAGATAGATAGGTAGGACTGAATATTCCTCCCGATCAGATTCTCCATATCATAGGTACAATCTTACATGAGTACATTTGTACGAAGGAGCACTATTATATTTTTACATAAACAAGGTACAGGATGAATACCCTAGCTCAACACTACCACTTTCTCAGGCTTTTACGTGTAGCTGAGCTACCTTGATATGTTGAATCTTGAAAACTGGGACTTTCATCATTGGAAGTTGGCCACTGATGCTGAAGACACGTCATCATTTCAGCAGAGGTACAAGAATGTGCTTTCAACTGATGGACAGCTCTATTTTTGTAATTCTTAAACTTCGCTTCTCCAACTACAACTTACTAGGTCAGCCATTTATGATATCCATTTGGTGCTAGTAAATTTTCAACCTAGATTTATAAATGCACTGTAATATTTACACAACTTAGAAGCCAAAATTGCCATTATTCAGTCTAAATACTTCAATCAACCAAAGTTAGCTCAGTAGTTTATCTCAGTTATGCCTATAATACATTACATGTAAATTAAGTGTGTGTATACTGTAATCATGCTATTTTTATCAATGAAGCATTTGTAAACTAGATTAATAATACCCTTAATGTGAGGGTTTGTAATGGTGCTTATAAGACCAACTACTTGTTAACTGTATACACAAACCTGATGATAAAGTTTCTGTGACTTGCCAAAATGCACTGAGGTCAGTAGGGACCATTAAACATTCTCAAAAGTCAGATGACAATCAGTGCCATCCTACACCATGACATATTGTAACGTGTCAAGAGTACCCATAGTCATTCATATCAACAAGGGTTCAATGTCATAAATGTCACAATAAAACAGTTCTTTTTTTTAGTTTATTCTGTGGCCTTGTGTTCTTGCTAAAAGTGTGATAAACTGCATTCTTATGCTTCTGGTGTTGCTGGTAGGGTTGGCTGTATATCTGTCCATGTGTCCAGGTGATTTCTCCTTGAAGGTGCTGCTGCTGTTTATTCTTCATGCAAACAAAGAACAGAAGAAATACAGAAACCTTCACAAAGCTAAACAGCAGTGAACCTCTGCCAAGTTACTGTGTGGCTCCAAAAAGCAAGTTAGAACATTTCCTACGATGTGACCTGAATAATCCTGTCAATAAGTAACTTCGATAGCCAAAATATGTAGAAGTGGATGTTAAATCATTATACAGAAAACACAGTTAAGTGTGTAAAATCTTGTTTGCTAAAATTGCCTTAAGATATTCATTGCTTTTATCCCCACTTCAGCAGCTACTGTGAAATAACCAGGACTGATAACAAAGGGATAATCCAATACAAAGAGCCATTACAAGTTGTAGCTGGGTTTTAATATGAAATTAATTATTTGATGATGTGGGTGTTCTTGTGTCTGCAAATGCTATGGCATATCTTTTAGCAGCAGCAGAATGTTGTGCTGAGGTTTGATGCTATAAAATCTGGAAGAAAAAATGCAGCAAGCCATGTCACTGAAACTGCTGATGGGACAGCACTGTATTTGATAGAGGGAACGTATATTGAGCTATAATAGCTTTGGAAGGGAAATGTATTGTAATAATTCACCACAAATTGTATTATTTTCTGTAATTAGATTTCAGTTCTCTGTGATTTCTTCTGCATAACTATAAATATAACTATATAAAAAAGGAGCTTGTGCACAGGGTTACTTTGATACTTCTAATAGACCATGTCTGGATTTTATTTATTAGTGTGCCAAAATGTTGAACAGTGTATTTTTTCCACGTGTTCCGTAACTATGGAGAGATATAATCAGAACTTTACAGTTGTAAATGGCACTCTTATTTCAGCAGGTTGGGAGTGATGTTCAGTGCCAGTGTGCATGATGGTGTGGTTTATAGTTAAGTGTACAATTTAAGTATTTTCTGTCAGCCCTTAAGCACTGAGAGGAACTGTGAAGAATGATTTCAGAAACACCTGTCAGGACTCTGTCCAGTAGAGTTGGTTTACTTTTAAGCTCTGTATGATGCCAAAGGTTCTTTGATTCTGTTACAGCAGCCCCAGCATTGCCTGCACAGCTCTGCAAATTGCCTTTGTTACGCTGCGGAAACCAGAAACCTTGACAGCAGCTCTTTCAGTGATGTGAAAATGGAAAACCCAGTCTTGCTGTACCAATCAGCATGTAAAAATCCATTTTCTTGTGCAATTATTCACCTGTCTCTTTGCAGCGGTGCCCTTTAACTGGTATGTTGGTTTTGCCTATCAGTTTAGTTGTTGTATGTATGTGATTATTTGCATTAGTTTGAATTTCTGCAGCTTCCTTAGAGGCTCAGTGAAGCACAAAGGTTGCATAACATTGCGTGAGACCTGCAATTAAAAAGTGGTTTGTAACTTACAGTGTGATTTTGAAATAATCTCCTGTATTTCATTTGATAATGGGATCCCAGAATGACTCTAAGCACTAGACAGACAGAAGTAGAGGTCTTTGTGAATATGCATCCTTTTGCAATTACAGGATTTATTTCAAATTCAAGGAAATAGCAAAATGTTTAATTATTTGAAATAACTGGCTTCCCTCCACTGCATTTGTTCATATGACTCTGCATAGGGGCATGCATGGATAATAAATGTAATTTTTGGTTAACAGAGATGGCTTGTTACTGTACAAACCCAATCATGCTCTTGTTGTGTGTTGTAACAGTATCTTGTAAACTTGACAGCCGAGGTGTATTTTGGCAGAACAGGACTGTTTCCACAGTCTCCCTTTTAAGCTGACTTTCAAAGGACCCCAAGTGTTTGCTTTCTTATGGCAGGTCCTGAAGGGTCATACTCAGGTTTTCTCTAAGATAAATATTTTACGCTGCGATTCAAGTTCAGCTTTGTGCTTTGGAAGAGCTAATCAGGGCAAGACTTCTCAGCACAGACAGGCCTGAGCTGTTTGGAGAGCAAGATGGCCTGGCTCTTGTCCAGCAGTTGCCTACACCGTCCTGGGCCCAATTTTGGGCACTGCCAGTCTCTGCCAGCAGCACCACGACAGGTAAGTGCATCTCAAGGCACCAAACCCACTGCTCTAGACCAAGGTGGAGGTGGTGGTACTGGCACTGCAAGAGCCTTCTCACTGCTTTTAAAAATTGACATTGGCTGTGAAGGAATTTTTAGGATTCTCCCTTTAAACTGATGCTGTACTTGAACCATTAAAACCTCAGAATACTCTTGTGGGTCTGATGGTTTCTGCCAAAATTAGCAAGGTTAACAGCTTATGTTGTGCTGCTACTTTCTGAGTAGGCACCAGTCAGAGAGGAGACAGCTTCTCTTACTTCACTGCTGTGATGAGAAAATCTTCTCTTTTCAGTTCTAGAAGGGAAGCCAGAGTTCAGCAGTGGATGAGGCCAGAGCTGCAGGAGCTGTGTACACCCCTCAGGGCCTCCCAGCTGCCCTGTGCTGCCAGGTAGGACAGGAGCTAACAGGAAACACCAGCTTCAAAAAGCTGGGATGTCTGGACCCAGGATCCTGTCTACTTCACCCTCTCCCTAGAGCAAGTCTTTCAGCTTTTCTGCGTGCAGGAGCGGCCAGAAGCTAAGGCCAAGATGTGCTGTACACCTGATTAATCCAGTAAATCCGGGTTGGCAATGTCCTACCAGAGTATTTGCCCAGAGTAAGCCCTCATGTTATCACAATCTTGGCAGAGTAACACTTGGCTAAAACTCTTGTGTTCAGAAAATCCCTGAGCTCCCAGTTGTTGCCTGTGGCCTGAGTGTTGGATGCCTGCAGAGACCCGTGCAGCCTCTGTGTGAGCTCCTGTGGTTACACGGCTGCGTGGAGGGGCTCTGTGTGAACACTGTGCATGGGTGCCACAGGTCCAGGGTGTCACATTAACCTGCAGGATCATGCTGGTTCTGGATGCTGTGGAAACTTAAGACAGGGCAGGAAGAAAGCTGTAATTTGGGGCAAAATACACTGTCGTTTACACAAATGAAAACCTAAATCACTGCAGAGGTTGCAGTAGTAGCAAGAGGGAAAGAAATGGGGAGGAGGCAGAATGCTGCAGCCATTCAATGGCCCAAAACACCCCAATGCATGTGGCTTCTGCTTTGGTCACATGCACTGGTCCTGCACCAGCCTTGGTGCCTCGTGCTTCTCCTGAGTTGTCATTTACAGATCTCCACGCGGGTACTACAGTGCCCAGCAGCCGTCCCTGCAGAGGGACAGGAGCAGGCAGAGGTGCTGCTGGTGCCAGGCAAGTGCAGGTGGTCAGCAATAGGGTTCTGTGGTGTGGCCCCACTCAGTGTTGTGCTTCATCAAGGCCACGGGTGCTCCTGGAGAGACTCTGAGGGCCACACCCGCTCCCTCTGGAGTGGGCTGTGCGCTTTGGTTTGCCTGAAGATGAGACCCTCTTTCTGTGCAGCAAAAGCTTTGAAGATGTTGATGACTTCAGCTCTGACAAATTCCAACAATCTGCTTCTGCTGTCCTTAAAACTTGCCAAATATTTCACACCCTCATAACAAATGCTTTTGAGGAACATCACACCCACGCCAACTTCTCGGTTTTGAGCTTCCCATTGAGTTCAGGAGAGGAACCTTGAGGCCAAGAGGTCACCAAAGTGTTTGTTTTTGTATTTCAGGCTCTCCTTTCTGTTTCTAACTGTGAAGCACAGCAATGGCAGGAAGCAGCCATGGAGGCCTGGGCTGTGGGACCAGCGGGAGCGTGTGGGCATAGCCGGGCTGCAGCCCCATGGTGGTGCCGGCCGGTCCAACGTGTTATTGCTGCTCGTGAGTGTACACTGAGTCCTCAGCCTGCTTAGACACACCCACAGAAATGTATGTGTTCCTTCTGAAGAGCCTAGACAGATTAACTGTAACTCAGTACTTCCAGGCTAAACTCACACTGTGATAAACCTTTTTTAAGTACCCAGGAAGGGCTTCTTCCCCTCTCTTGGGTCCTTCCCTTGCACGTGGTGGCAGCGCAGGCCCAGCCCTTTCCCTGGCTTGGCTCTCACATCTGCAGGTTTGTTTGTTTATGAGCTCCTCTATGACTCCCAGGGCTGCAGGATGTGAGTGCTTCACTACACCCTTGTGAGGTCGGGATGAGTTTGTCATCCTTGTTTTACAGGACAGAAACTGAGAACCAGATGTTTTGGGTTGGGAGAGCCCACAGGCAATGGCCGTTCTGCCAGGAGCAATCCTAAAGTACTGAGGTGTCCCTGGAAAGGAGGACAAGGAGCCACAGGGGCTCATCAGCCTTGACAGCCCCAGCAGGCAAAAAGCCATGGGAACAGCCCCTGTGCACTAAAATGTGTCCCAGATGGAGCCTGCTGGAGCCCTGGCTGCTCCCCACGCTCCTCAGAAAGTCAGGAGCATGTCCCTGTGCCCCAGCACACAGCCCCTGGAGTGGCTCTCCCCACAGGTACCCCCACCCAGGACGCTGCCACTGCAGATGCAGCAGCACCAGTTTAAAAAAAAATAAAATAGGGTGTCAGTGCCTGGTAGTTTTGTACTAGAAAAGAAAGATTTTGGGTAAGTATCCAGGTCAGCAGGCTGCATGGAGATAATCAAAAGTGACACTGCTGGTGAGCAGGACCTGGGCTCTGCCAGCTTGCCTGGCTCATCTCTCAGACTGCTGGATGAACCTGCCCAGAAAACAGGCACTTAGTTTTCTTTGGAGGTTGATTCTTTATCCCTCTCATTCCTATGTGAGGTGCTTCAGACTGATTCTTGTTTTTTTTTAGTCTGTGACACACAGCTCACCTGGGCCTGTGTGTGACTGTACTGCAGTGCAGTACATGATGGAGCCGGTGAGCTCGGACAGGTAGGAAAACTGTCTGGACTTTTTCACTTTGCAGGGTTGTGTGTGTGCTTGCAGGTCTGTATAAATGTGTTGTTATTGTAATCATAATAAATACTAGAGCCGTGAGAAATGTCTATAACCAAACCCAAACCAGGTGAAACTCCCCTGGTTTTGGGTTTCATTACAAACTCAAGATTCAGGCCAGGTTTGTGGAGGTTCATGAACCTCTCTCTGAAGCTGGGCTCAGTTTCAAGCAATCATGGGCCAAGTTTCAGGCAAATTGAGGCCAACTTTTGAGTAAATTTGGAACAAATTTTAGGTGAATAACAGATGATTTATGATTTTAGGTTGAAACCATACAAACCATGGACTCTTTGCTTCATTTTAACCTATAACCAGGAAATCTTGGCACTTTGGCTGAGTTTCACTTTGATTTTGCATTTTGACCATAAAACTTAAACAATCAAAGCAAAGAGGTGAGTCCCAAGACAAACTGTGCAGAAACTGGTTCCCAGTGTGGGTGCCCAAAGCCCTGCACCACACTGAGCACATGGCTGTTTTGCTGCACCAGCACTGAGATCTGTTCCCCCCACTGCAGTTGATGCCATGCATGGCCAGCCAGCATCTGACATGGTTCGTGCTGCTCCACTAAATCCTTCAAATAATTAAACTTTCCCCAGACTCTTAATTTGAAGTTGCATGTGCAATTTCCATGCCTGGAGTGCACTGACTTTAGGTTTGGCTTATGCAACAAAGATCCAGCCCATACTGTGTGTTTGTAGCTTGAGGAGTAAATTCAGCTAAACAGGGAATTAATGAGTAAATTCAGGGAACAGGACCAATGGTCCTCATGCCCATATTGCATTTAAAAATGGCTCACATCCAAGCACATAGTAGAGAAATGGACCTCCTACCTGAATTGCTGAGATTCAGAGCGATGTGGTGCCAGTTCTCCCAGTCTAGAGGTGCCCAAGAGGATTACAGGTCTCAGTTTTCAGTGCTACCAGCTCTGCCATAGCACAGATACCTTAAGGATGGAAAAGAGCTGAAAACACTTCTCATGCAGATTTCTTTAGATTCATTTAGGCACTTTAAAGAGATCTCCAGATATAAAGTTGTCTTTTTAAATAAAAAATTATATATCCTCATTAGACCCCTTTATCACCTGATTCTTTTTGCATCAAACATAAACTGTAGATGGAAAATACTTGAGCAGGAGCTGGATTCAAGTAACAGGAAAAATATGAACAGCTGAACTGAGAATGTAAGTGCTGGGTCCAGAGAAGAAGGTGATAGCACAACTTGCTGTTGCTTTGAGGAACATGTGATAGGAGGGATGGGCAGGAAGAGAGGAGGAAGGTGCCAGTGCAGAGCAGACAAGGAATATGAAGGGAACTGCACTGTCAATCTGTATCCACATCACTGCAAAGCTGAAACAACAGGGAATTGGAAGAGAGGAGATTTTTGATGTGAAGCAACAGCCGTGTGCCTTTGTGGTAGCCACTGCACAAGGCTGCCAGCTCTAATGCACAGCCTGTGCCCTGGGCTGACACTCCTGAGCCAACCAGCACTTCAGGAAGGACTGTAAAGCAGTACACAGGGCTTTGGGTGGTAAGAGGCTACCAAATGAACCAAAGAGAAAAAAATCCAAGGCCCATTAGGTCCAGACCATTATGAGACTTCAGCAAGTATTGCAGGTAGATTCATGGCTAGGCTTCGCGAACGAAGATTTGGGAAGGGCTCTACCCATTTTTCATGCAAGCGCGTTGGTGGCTGAAAAGGCCAATACGAGAAAGGCAGGTCCGGTTGCAAAAGACACAGGTAGATTAATAAGGCCTTAAAGACAATTCCTCATTTACTGAATTAAAAAAAAAGGTAAGTGATCAAGACAGAATTCAACAGATTTCCTGTTCCACGTGTTTAAATTGTACTTGCCAAAAGCATAAATCCCCTTCACTAAAAGCTTTTTACTATCATTTTTTTGCCTCCAGTTTTCAAATCTGCTCTGTCCTAGTACTTTTTCAAGATCTCAGGGTCCTCACAGGGCTGGGGAGAAACCACAAAAAAGAATGTAAAGTTCAGAGATCCCTTGTCTGTTAGTAGAGCTCTTACTTCACAGCACCACAGAGGTGAGATGCTGTGTTAGGTTAGACCAGCATCAGTTTGGTGAGTACAGCTGTGGTGTGATGCAGCACGAGGCCAGATCTGGAGAATCCCAAGGCGAATCTCAGGCCATGAGAGCTGTTATGTGGTGTGGAATCATTTTGGTGAGGGATGGGGGGAGGTCCTGAGGAGACCTGGTCTTTATTTTTAAATCACGTATCATGTCTGTGTTTCATGGATTAAGACTAAAAGCAGCACCCAGCAATGAAAGGAAGAAAAAAAAAAGGCTGAAAAAATCCACTACACGTGTTCAGAGCAAAGGTAAGGAACCAGGAAGCAGAACTCTTTCAAAAGATCAATCTTCAAGGAAGCCAGCTCTGCATGAATCTGCCCATTATGTACTTGCCCTGTAATATGATTATGTCATTTAGGAGACTGAGTTTATTAAAGCTCATGTTGTCGCCCATACACGGGCTATGCGCTCCTATATCCCAAAATATGCTGGGAACAAAAGTGTTTTCTGCAGCACAGAAAAAACCATGGGAGGAAATTTTGGGTCCCAACGTGACCACCAGGCCCAGGTTGAAGGCCAAGTCTGGCAGGAGTTGCACAACCCTCTGGTGAAAAAGACCAACTATTTGTGTTGGGCTCATTTGTGCTAACAAACAGCACAGTCTTGGGTTCCCCACAGCCCAGCCTGGAATTTATTTAAAAAACAGAGTATTGGTAAAGGATTTATGCAGGGGGACCTTCCCACCAGCCCCCTAAGCATTAAATATCTCATGTCCTGCATGATCTCTAACCAGGAGCAATCCTGCAAAGCAGCTTTGTCTTTGAGCACCAGCAAAAAAGAGAAATGCTGTTTTTGTTGTCAGCTGAACCCCTATCCCTGCAAAACCTGCAAGTAACCAAACTTCATTTGCTGCCAGTCTCAGCAGTGCCACCAGCTTGTCCCAGCCAGGCAGTAGCACACTCTTCAAATCTACCGCAACAATCAAGTCCTGAAGCAATAAATCTGGTTCCTGTGCCCCACCTGAGCTGCTGTGACCTGTGCTGGGGTTGCCTCTTCACAGCACACGCTGGTTCAGCACAGTCACATGTCCATGGTACCTGTCTGCTACTTGAGCAGCGGGAGCAAAGCACCAGGAGATTGTTGTACAGCTGCTCCAGAGGCAGCTCCCATGCAGAGGGATCAGCCAGGGGCCTGCAGCCAGGCAGGTCCTTAATGCAGAAATGGCATTGTCAAGGCAGCAGTGGAGCAAAGGCAAGTGAAGCACCTCCAAGTGCCAGAAAGAAAATGCATGGAATTATGTCCTATGTGAGAATGGGTCCTGATACTAGCTGTTGTCCCTTTTCTTGAAAATGAGAACAAAAGTCAAATCCAAGAGTTATTTTGTGTCCTGGTAGTCTAGATTCATCCAGATCTGCCCTTCTTGGGCAGATACCTTTAGCTGAAGGTAGATTTATCTGGTGGAGAGTCACTCTGCAAATGTTTCACTGCTCTAAAAATATGTCAGCAAACTGATCTCTTGTGACCCAGGGTCCTGCTCAGAATAGTTGGATTATGTTTATAAAGTCAAATAAAAAAGATGATGGTTGATCAGAGTAATATAAACTATGGCATGGAAAATGAATTTTGAATGAAATGCACAGATAAATCATTTATCCTCACCAATACTCTATGTTTCTTATCCCAGTAATTGAGACCATGTGTTGTGCTGCAAACAATAACTATGGGAAATTACTCACAATTCTTCCTTCATAAACTTGGGAAATGAAAGTGATGGGAAGTATGATCATCTTATTTTTTTTTTATGTTAACAGCTCTAAATTATTAGGGTGGGAAGAAAATGTCAATAGAACATAAAAGTGCTTTGTATAGTGTTCACATTTGCTCATACTTTTAAATCCACTGTGGCTTATTAGTTCATGGGAAAAATGACAAAAAGGAATAAAACCCAGAAAATGAATCCAGTATCAACATCTTGCCTCTATAGTAACAGCAATTGTAACTTGTGGGTAAAAAATGACAATATTAGGAAATGTTTGTTGGGCAATTATGGTAATTAACCCCCTTCTTTCCCTAGTAAGTCCAGCTGCCCATCAGCCTGACACATTCCTACAGATTAAAGAGTGCCCATTGCTCTGTGCTGCTCCCTGTATTAGGAGCCTGGAGCTGGTGAGGCCCTTAACCTCTGTTTCTAGAGTTTATTGCTCAGCTGTAAAAATTCTCCCAGGGCTAAAACTTGACAGAAAAATGCCTCCGCCTGGGAGGAGTTTCTGTTGTGAGTTTGGTTTGAATTAGTTCAGCCCTTTTCCACTTGCAGCAGGACAATGGAGCAGGATTCCCTCTCTCCTCTTTTTTCTTTTTAAATAAAGTGACCATCCTGCCAGGGCAGTACACATGGCAGGCAGCACTGAGACCACAGCTCTCTCTGCAGCTGTAGCACAGGTTCAGTGCTGGCTGCTACAGCAGCGTCCTGGCCCTGTAACGAGGCAGACTTCTTCCCTTTGCCTGTGCAGATGCTGGCTCAGATGGTGGCTTGAGCCATCTTTGCTCTGAGGCTGCTGAGGGACAGCTTGGCCACGGTTCAAGCCAGAAAAGTCCACCCTTGCTGCTATTGCTCGAGGGACCAGCCCACTGCAACGCAGAACCACCTGGGCTGCACCTGCTCAGGACTTCTGGCTTTTTCCAGAGCTGGGTGGCACGAATGGTTATCCTCCTGTGGTGGAGGCACAGGTCAGCCCCACTCACACCCAGGCTCACAGTGGAGTATTGGGTGGGAGGTTTCCCAGATGAAGGGCTTGGCGCAGGGAAGTTGCTCTCTGCAGACCTCGGCCTGAGCCAGGGGATTCATTTCTAGAAGCAAGAGTGCCAGATCTATTACACTGCTGCATGGGCTGCCTGCAGGGCTGGTAAATCTATTATAACAGTCAACACTTTATGAATGAAGTCCGGCCCCACCAAAGTCAATGGCAAAACTCCATTGATTTCACTGGAACAAGATTTTACCCTGAGTCCTTAAAGTGCCCCTGGGATCTCTCCCGTGCTCAGCACAGCCATCCACAGCTCCAGCATAGGAAAGGAAAACAAAGAGCAGAGAAGGGCCCTGGTGCTCCCTCAGCTGAGCCTGTGTCCTGCTCAGACAGATGTGCTGTGAAGATGACTTTGGCAGTACGGACAGGCCTGGGTGTGGGATAGGTGCTGTGCAGCTGAAAGGGCTGATGGAGATACTTTGGCGCAGAAGCGGAACTTCATAGGCCAGTGGAGTTTTGCTCTGAGCTCTCAGAGGGCCAGAGCATAAGTAACAAACAAAAATTTTTATGGATGGAGAGATGTCCCACCCACCCAGGAGTCCCTTGACCATGTGCCAGTAACCCAGCCTCCAGTCACTTCTCTGTGTTCATTCAATTGACTGAACAGCCACTTGTTATCATCCAGAACTGCTTATAAAATGAAATGTTATTAACATAAGGGCATCTCACAATGCTTGCCAATGACTATTTCAATAATGATGCTATGCTTGCCACTCCATAGATCTGACCTGTCACTTGAGAACTCAAATGACCCATAAATAAACATGTTTTATCCAGCTATAAATTTGGGCAGGTTCATTAAGTGAAGCTGGCACCGTGTCATATTCTGTCCAACCCTTTTACAACCATTTAATTGCCTCCTGCTCATACGTTTTCCCATCACCCCAGGATATATGACTTCTAGTGACAATATTTTGCCACCTACCTGCATAAATTAACAAGTAAGATCAGCTAAGGAAGTTAATTGCCATTACATAACAGCTATTTCACTGGTTTCTTCTTGTTTTGCAAACTCTCCCATACCTTACCATTCATTAAGCTGACTGAAAGGTTTTCTCCATTTTTGGATTCAAGCAACATTTTTTCTCTAACAGCTACCTTAGAGTT